AATCAACTTTGATGATGCCCTGTCCCTTTGTATATCCCCTCTCCCACGAGGACAGCATCCCTCTCTGGGACACAGGATATGTGCTGGGAATTGTGTAGCCAGCCAGAGGTGGAGACAAGAATGCACTGGTCTCTGCCTGGCGTAGCAACTAGAATGGGTAGTGGTGTTTGCCTTTGGCCATTGGCTCAAGACATGTGCTATTTAGACACCAGTGGTTTGGGACTTTTCAAACCATCTCTAGTGGCTTTTCTCATCTCATCAGACCAGAAGCTAAGTCTACTCAAAGGTTGTGGCAGTGTGGATCCTGAATTATTATTATTATTATTATTATTATTATTATTATTCAGAATTATTATTTGGTATACTGATGGTAAACCTAGATTGACAGATGTAGACAGCTGAAAATACTGGTCTTGTAGATGTACAGAATACATCTCCATGCATAGACTACTCAGGATAGAGGACAGCATGCATGATAACTGCCTTCTTATAACTGCCTTTCAAAAAGATTCTGGTCTCAAGAAATACATAGCAGTCTAGGTTAAGGAGAACCGAGTTCTACACACGGTTCTGTCAGTGTCCTATTGAGAGGTCTTTGGCAAGTTTGATAGTTTCTGTGGATCACGGTTTCCTGAAGTAGAAAAATGAGTGGATCTCAGATCTGCTCTTCTCAGTCACTCTAGAATCTAGAGACAAATACTTGCAGACCATCTAGCTGCCCCCAAGACTTCTCCATCCTTTGCGTCCCCTTCCCCTGAGTGTGGCAATGTGACTGCCCTGCGACCACACTGACAGATGGATACCTGGAATTTTGATGTTGGAGCAGCCACCAGGCATAACTTATGATTTTCTGACTCAGTACCCACAGCTGGTGTCAGGCACATGGGTCCCCAGCAGCACTCTGCAGGCTTTGCATCTGAATGGGGACTGGTAGTGGCTCTGCAGCAGAGTCACCCAGAGGAAACACTTACAGCCAACATGGCACAGGGGACAGCACTGGCTGAGCTCAGCCCTCTCTTCCCAGCTCACCAGCAGGGCTCCAGATTTAGAGGGCAGCAGTGCAGGCTTGAAGCCTGCCTTGTCCTTGCTGCTGTGGCTGCTCTGAGCCTGTATACATGCCAAGAGGTCACAAATACTGTCTCTAGGGTTGCGGTGAGGACACCACTGTAATTAGCACTTGGGTTGCCATTGACCCTCCTGGTGCCCAGGGGACACGCCTGCCTTTCATCCAAGGAGCCTGTAGCCTGTTCTGCAGACAGCCCTCTTTTACTTACTCAGCACTTTCCTGTCCTTTGATCCTCTCAACCGTGCTGCCTGCAAGGAAAGCCAGGAAGCTACTTCCTTCCCTCCTTTATAGAGGAGGAAGTCAGCATTCAGAGAGATTAAATACTTGACCAAGGTCACCACATGGCTGTCCTTCCTCCAGGGAGAGATGGAGGGTGGGAAATTGTGTTCTAGACATAGTCTTCGAGGACAGATATCAAGAAAATCTGTAACTTGGAGAGTGCATGCTGCTTTAATTTGGCTTGTGAAATTCCCCCACTCCACTGCTGACCAGTAGATGGGCTAACATGCTTTGGGTTCCTTCGTAGTTAGATGCCTGAGCACCACCTGAGGGACTTTTAAAATGTCCAAGCAGATAGAATCCAAATCCTCTGTGGGTGGACTGTGAGTAGGAGGCTTGGGGCAGCAGGGAGTGGTGCGGAGCAATGCTACTTTAGAAGGTGCTAGGAGGCGCGTGGCTGAGTGGCATGTGGCTGAGGCAAGAGCCAGTGTGACTGCACCTGGCTGAGGCTCTGTGCTGGCTTCAGACCCCAGAGGTCTCGGCTCTTCCAGCCTGGATGACTGAGCTCTGCCAGACCTGTTCCTCCAAGCTTGCACAGCGACTTTTCTTCTATTCCTGTCAGAGTGGAAAAATACATGTTTTTTTCCCTTACTGACCTTACTGAGGTGGGAATTTTTCAGGGAAGTCCAACCCTTCAGAGATCTATGACTTGAGCAGTTCCTCTGGGATCTTGTGCTCTGGATTCTGTGATGACACAGGTGCTTGGATCATTTCTGTTGCAGTGCCTTGGGGTACTGTGGAAGTAGGCACGAATTTCCTGCCCAAGCACCTGGTAGGAGGTGAACCATGGGGAGGAGACCCAGGGCCCTTCCTCCAAAAGTCAGCCGAGGGGGGACCACAGGGTCCTACTTTTCCTTCTGGGCTGGCAGGCGTGCATGCCTAATGCTGAGATTCTAGGCATTTTGTGACTCTCCAGAACAGTTATTACCTAGTCCCACATGAGCAAGCTCAAAATGTGCACTCCTGAGCATTTCATTCTATGGGGGAAATCCCAGGCTGAAAGGATCCTAAAAATTATCAGTGTCCGCCCTCCCTCTGATACTGAAGCTGTGACAATTTCCCTACCAATTACTGGATCCTATGTGGGAGCCACCATGCTCTGTGTTTACATGCATTTGATCACCTTTTATAACAATTAGAGAAGGCAGGTATTTCCAACCTCACCCTACAGTGAGGAACCTGAGGTTTGGAGAGGTTGACCAAACGAAGGGTAGTCAAGCTCTTGGCCTCTGCCTCATGTGGATGCTACATGTCTACCATGACCCCCAGCCTCTTCTTGGACCAATCTGGGGTCCTTATACATGTTAGGCAAGAGTTAGATTGCTGAGTTACACCCCAGTCTTTGGGCAACCCATTCTTCTTTGGTATTGGCTGTTCTTCTCTCAAGGGTCAACTTGTCTCTATCAGTCTGCATCTGATTTGGGGGCTGCTTGGACATGCCACCCCCCTTGACATGGTGAAGTTCTTCACTATAGGCCGTACCCATAGTGAAGTTCTCCGAACCCCAGCTCCACTTCTCTTTTCTGCTGTGTTTAAATATAATACATATTTATGCCTCACTATGTCCTGTCTGTTCTGTACTTTTCCTCTCCTTGGACTCCGTAGTTTTACTGGTCTAGTTCCACAACCTCACCATGCAAGGGCTATTGCTAATTTCCAGAGGTGCCCACCTCCTATTTCACCTGGATGATCTCTTTTTTGCAGGTTGGTTGGCAAACTGTGGGCTATGAGCAGGCCCAGCCTGCTGCTGATTTTGTATGACCTGTGAACTAACAATTATTTTTATATTTTTAAAAACTTTTCAATGTCTAGTCATTCCAACATCACTTGATCTCTTTTCTTGTACAAAGATCTTTTTTCTCCACTGTATTGCTTTTGCATCTTTGTCAAGGATTGGTTGACAGGGCCAGCCAAATAGCTCAGCAGATTAAAGTGCCTATAAGCAGGTGTAGGGACCAGGGGTTCGATCCCTGGGCCTGCTGTGCCAGCCCTGCCCCCGGGGCAAACTGAGATAGTAATTGAAAGTGGGTGTGGTGGCACTCATCTGCCTGAACACCCTGTAGACCCTTCCCTAAAATACAAATAAATAAATAAATAAACCAAAGATTGGTTGACTATAGTTAGGTGAGTTCATCTGGGTTTCTTTTTTTTTGGCGGAACTGGCCCTTGCGCTTGCCAGGGAAGTGCTTATTCCACTGAGCCATCTCTCCGGCCCCAATCATCTGGGTTTCTGTTCTGATCCATTTATCTGTTCTTTTTTGGAGACCATACTGTGTTGATCACTGTAGCTTCTTGGTAAGTCTGAGGTCAGGTGGTTTAGTCCTCTGACTTAATTGTTCTCTTTCAAGGCTGTATTGGGCATTCTGGGAATCTTTCAGCTATCTATAGAAACTTTACAATCAGTTTGTTGAACCACAAAGATTTCGGTGTTTCAAATGGTTCTCAAAAGAAATAGTAAAGTATTTCATGAAACCTGAAAATTATATGCCATTCAAACTGATCTCCATAAGTAAATTATCTTGTGTACATGTTTCTTATGGCTGATTCATAAAGCAACTGTAGAGTTGAGTAGTGACAGAGCCCAGATGCTTTGCAGAACCTAAAATACTGGCCATCTGGCCTTTACAGCAAAATTTCCTGGCTCTGGTCTAGTTCTTGAACATGTACCACATGCTCAGCTTGACCCATGGAGCTACATCGTCCATTTTCAAGTCCTCCGTCACCATCATCTTTATAGAGCCCTCTCTGGGCTTCACTTTCTTATCTGCAAAGTGGGGAGGATGGTATTTATCTCATAAAATCGTGAGGGCTTGATGATTTTGTGCAAGTATTTAGAAGACTGCCTGATATATAGATGCCATATGTAAGTGGTGGCTACTGCTTTACCAAAATAGTCTCAATTCTGTCATGCTGACTCATCTATCCCACTACTTCCAAGTCATGATCATCTTAAAATAACCTTAAAGTCCTCCCTTCAAAGACCCGTCATGACTCCCAGTTGCTCATGGACTGGCCAGCATTTTCCGCTCCACAGCCCAGCTCTTGTCTGTCTGTGCAGGCTCGTCTAACTGTCTTCCTGCTACAAACCCCATATTCCAGCCCTTTCCAGCCTTCCATGCTTCCCTCCATCTCTGTGCGCTCCCATCAGGGAGCTCCTGCCCAGCAAGCTTCCTTCTGGGAATCTCCAAAGAGTCACCGAAGTCTGCATTGAGGTTTCATAGCGTGTACCAGCTCCCACACGGAAATCAGTGTGTGATCTCACAGTGGGCAGGAAACGGAAATATACTGCCTCTTCTCACTTAACGCTAGATGAATTATTTTCAGGGTAACAAAGTAAAGCTGCAGGAGAAGGCTGGGGTGGAAAAGAAATCCAGCCTAGTGCCTCAAGTCAGGCTTCCCTTCAGCCTTCCCTTCAGTTTGGGGGCTGTAACCAAAAGGTTCTCTTGGCCAAGAACCTGGTGTGGAGAAGTTATAGGAAGCCATCTGAATTGCTGCTGATCCAGTTAGAGGATCATAGTGTATCATGCAGATATTGAAACTCAGCTCATGTGACAACATGAAAAATGCCCTGTGGTGGATGCCAAGTAGTGGTCAACTTGTTATACCCAGCTGAACTGAACCAGTGGAGTGCTGGGTGTGGGAGGCCCACCCGAGGATGACTGCCAACAGCACAAGAGGAAGGACTGGAGAAGAGCTGGTAGCGGTTGTTAGGGAAGCCGTGAGGGGGCTGCTGGTTCTTTTGGGCTATTTTACTGGAAGACCTTGCCCTGTTGGCTTTCCTGGTGAGCTTGGTTGGTCTCTTTGGAGGAGGAGCATGGGACTTTGTTGCCACTGATAATAACTGCATTTTATTTTGGGGGAGCACTGGTCCTCACTTTGAGCATTGCTTCCTGGCTCCAGAGGGGAAGATGATGCGCAGCTTAGTCTCCTGGGGAAGTTTGCCATGTTGGCTTTCCTGATGGGAACTCAGCTTTCCTCATCAACAGAGGATTGCTGTGCTACTTTTCGGGGGAGCTCTGGTTCTTACCTTGAGCATCGCTTCCTGGATCCAGCTCAGATGCCTCAGCTGCTGGCACAGATCCTGCATCCCACTGGCACAGACTTTCTAGCTTCCACCACTGACCTTGGGGCCTTTCCAGTGCAGATCCTTAAAACAGCCCGCATGGGACATTGTCTTGGGCTCTAGGCCTCCAGTCAGACCTGTAGAGGCCCTGTTAAGGGCTCTAGGTCTTGAGCTGAACTCGTGCAGGACAATATTGCAGGATCCAGGACCTCAGCTGGATTTTTTTGGTCTTTAGTGTGTGGACAAATTTTCTGCACTCTTTGTATGTGATTCTTTGAGTGACTCTTATAAATAACCTTATAACATATGTGTCCCATATTGTGTTTTTCTGCTTTGCAAAGCCCTTACCATGATGTGCTCACAATAACATTAAAGGAATCTGGCATACACATTGATTACAGAGGAGTGAAAATAATGACCCGTCATGGTCACAAGGACGAAAACATAAATAAAGTCATGTTTAAATGTGAGAATAGCAGCATTGTGGGTGATATTTTGCTTCTTCTAGAGCGCTACTAATTTCACTATTTGCATAAACTAAATATTTTATGGGAAAATCCCACTTGTATGTTTAACATGAGTCTAATTTGTCATATGTAAATTGTACTTTAGAAAAGCAAACTTAAGTGTTTGCTTTTGGTAAAGTGAAAAGTTTTAAAAGGCTGGATGGAAGTAATCTGGGACAAGGATCATGGCTTTGTGATCTCACAAGACCCTCGATGCAGCCTTTGGCTAGGTTCTGAGTATAGCTGTGGCTGCTTGGGACCCCCCCAGCTCCACCCCCACCCCGTTGGCTCTTTTCCCAAATTCACATCACCTGCAGAGTCCTCTGGCCCATGCTTTGCCTTCCCTGTTTTGAGGTGGATTCCCAAACAGATATCTGTCCAACATTACCTTCGGGGTAGATAGGTGGGGTTTCTTCCCTTGCTAAGGACCCCATAAGGCCAGGTGTGGCAAATGCTTATGCATGACACATGTTTCCACGATCCTTCACAGCTCCCACTTCTGCATTTCAACCTGGAGATTCTTTTCCTAAGAGTTTGCATTCATGAAAGCACCATATCCCAAACTCCAAGATCTAGAGGAATAGAACCGAAGCTTTCCTTAACACAAAGTCAGCCCTGAGCAGGCACAGGCTAGGCCTGGGGGAAGTGTGTGAAGACCACATAGCAGTTAATTCCAGCTAAAACACCTGCACTTGTGTCCCTTTTAGGGATCACCCAGATCCATACACCTTCTGGAAAGAATGCGTTGGAAGACCAGCAATGGCCAGAGGTGAGTGCGTTTCCTGTGGGAAGTACAAGAGTGATAGATCTCTGTCCAGGGGGCAAACTTGATTCTTGACACAGGGTGGCATGTCCTTTCTTGAGTGAGAACTTGAGAGAATGGGCGAGATGAGCCACTTCCTAGGGACAGTGGGGCTTTCTGGCAGAGCATGACCCTCTCTCCTGGAATTTAGGACTCCTCCCTATACTGAGCAGGCAACTCCCAGAAGTGTCCAGAAAGCATTATAAATGGGCCGTTATCTCTGTGACCCTTGAAGCAGATGTGCTACATTATCTGAAGGGATCTGGGTGAGGCCTGCTCAGAGCTTCTATGAGAGAAGAGATGAGCTTAGATGCTGTATCTCTTGCTTTACTCAGTAACTCAAGTGGAGCTAGTGTGTGTCCTTCTGTGGTCATGAGATATGGCCAACCACTTCATCTACATTTTCCCCTCGTGAAGTATTTCCCCTTTTGTTCTTGATTTTGGGAGAGCGAGACAATCTTCCTTCTTAAAGCCTTTCATGTTATTCTTAGAAGTTAAAGCTGCTTAGAATTCTTATCAGAAGTCCATCTGAGCTCACAACATCCCAGTCTCATGGGAACAGAAGAGTCTCCTTATTTCAAATTTTCCTGGTTTTCAGCAACAAATAAACATAGTTATTTTTACATAAATAAACTAAAAGAGGGAAAGTAGATAGTACAAACATATGTAGTATAGAATTGATTTTTCAGTCTAGATTTGCTGGGTCTCTTCTTTATTAATTATGGTAAAAATACATGCAATATGAAAGTTTAAAAAAAAAGTTGAGTATAGAATTTAATGACATTAAGTACATTCACACTGTTGTGGCCCTGTCATCATTGTCTATGTCTAGAACTTTTTCATCATTCCAAGAATTAATTTTCTTTTCTTTTCTTTTCTTTTTTTTTTTTGAAACTGGGGGTTGTACTCGGGCCCTTGCATTTGCCAGGCAAGCACATATTCTACTGAGCTATCTCCCCAGCCCCTGAAGAATTAATTTTCATTCTCTTTCCATCCCACTTTTCTGAGATACCCTTATGCGCCACCTGCTAAAATCATTGTCAGTAGCCCCATGTACCCTTTTCCCAGGGAAACTGGTTAGAAGAAACGATGGAAGATTAATGGAAGATTAATGCTTCTAGATTTTTCTGTATTACATCTTCAGAGCTAGCAATGCTTCTTCCCACACAAGGCAGCTGATGTGTCGTTTCAGTTGCAGACTGAGAAGAACTTTCCATTCCTGTGCAACCCAAAGAAGTTAAGATTGAACATACCTTCTGAATCAGGTATGTGCCGCTGGCCATGAGCAAGAAAGGCCCAGCTTCTTCTCTTTAGGGTGGCTAACAGAGTCCCACACATACCTTCTTGGATGCTTTAGCTATTCAATTCTCTTCCTACTTCATCCTTAGTCATTTTCACCACTTCTGTTTCCCCCTCAACCATTTCTATGGTGAGGTAGAGCTCAATGCCCTGGTCAGGAATAAAACCAACATGGTACCACAGTGATTCTCTTGGGCTGAGCATCTTCTAGGGCCTTCCCTCCCTGTGGGTTGAACACGCCATGGGGGCTGTGAGCACCAGCTTGATCTCCCACAGGGCTTCCCTATTCTGTGATGTAGCCACAGTGGCCATTCAAGCCATTTGGCCCGAAGAGGGGCTAGGCTTCCTAAAACTTGGATGCCATGAATGCTCTCCTTGAACTGCTCTTCCCTGGCCTTAATCCATGTTAAGGGACTGATTATGTTTAGTGCCTTTATATTTGCATTGTACTGACTTGATCAGTTTGCACACTATTCTTACTCTTCTGTTATCTAAGACTTTAGGCAGAGAAATAAGCTGATGTACTTTTTAGGGAATGGCATCTCTAGCAGGTTCCACCTCACATGGTATGTTTTTGCACGTTTACAGGCTCTGTGCATCATCATTCCCTAGCAATCTTCAAGCTAAACTTAGGGTACCCACATGGCTTTAATGTTAACTTCTTTCCTTCTTACTTGTTAGTGATGACCCGGAAAGGCAGAGTCATGGGGTAGAGGGAAACGAGAGGCAGGCAGAGGGCTGGGTGAGTGGGGAAAGTGGGTTCATGCAGGACCTTCCTCCACGGGACATCTATCTGGAGAGCCCAGGTCCAGGTAACACTGTGGCCCCAGCGTGGAGGGAGGCTCTTTCCAGTGAGGGCCCATGATCCCCAGCGGCTGCGCGATCAGCTTTCCACGCCCACACCAACAGATCTGACTTGGCAGTTATGCAAGAGCTCTAGGATGTGGGCCTGCTCCGCGCCCCCATCTGACACCCTCAGCCTACGTCATGGGAATATGGGTCTGACCTCGCGGTGGGGGCTCCTGTGTTCACAGTACACTCTCTGACGCCTGCTGACATCAAACTCGTGGCAGCCATTGGCAACGTAGAAATTGTGAGTATTTAAAGTAGCTGGGGAAGGGATCCGGGTTTGGTATGGGTGAGACTGAGTAATCTCCTCCTAACCAGGCACAATGTTCCATTTAGAGAGAGAGTATTCTATGCATTGAAGAAATCCTGACATAAATCTTAACATTAAAAAATGTACTTATAATTGTGTTAAATATGCATACATAAAATTTACCATTTAAAAAAAATTACCATTTTAAGCATTGGTAAGTGTTAGATCCGAACCCACGCAATCAACCAGGCTAGGCATTCTGATGCTTGTAGAAGATTTATTGGGGGCATCAAGCAGGCTGGCTGTCTAAAGGACTGAGACAGCAGTGAACAAAGTGGGGACAGGAGTCTTTATAAGGTCTTTTAGGGAAAGTGATTGCAACTAGAACAGCTGAGGGAGAGCTAATCTTAGCAGGACTCTCTGGTCTGTAGGGGACCTTTAATATTAACAAAGGAGAGTTTCGTGATTGCTTTCCCCAGGTCAAAGTTGGGTGGACCTGTTCTTCAGTTTTAGGTTTGGCTCTGTGTGGAGCCAAAGCAGAGAGAGTTTGGGTGCAGGGTGCCTGGAAAACCAAGAGGGAGAGTGTTTGGGGAAAGGTGCCTGGAAAACTTTGAATCCTGACCTATCAGTAAGGATGCAGTTCAGTACTATAAAGTATATTCTCATTGTGGTGCAAACAACCTCTAGAACCTGTTTATCTTTCGAACTGACTATGTTTAAACACATTAAACATAATCAGATCCTTAACATGGTTTAAAGTCAGGGAAGAGCAGCTCAAGAACAGCATTTATGGCATTCAGGTATTAGGCAAGCCTCACCCCTAATAGGGCCGGATGGCTTGAATGGCCTCTGGGACTACACTGCGGAGTAGGGAAGTGCTGGGAGTGACCAGAGCCTGTAGGCACAGCTCCCACAACACGCTCAGTCCACAGGGAGGGAAGATGCACTCTCCTCCCTTTCAGCAAGTCTCTTCCCTTTTTCCATCCCTGACAACCACTATTCCACCTTCTTTTCTGTGGGTTGACTGAGCCAGGTGCTGCATACAGTGAAGTCAAACAGTATTCATCTCCTTGGGACTGGTGTACTCCCCTCACCATGATGTGCATGGGTGCCAGAGTCTACCTTTTTAAAGCAGAATAATATTTCACTGAACACAAATATACTTTGTTCGTCATTCAGCCATGGGTGGGCGTTAAGTTTGCTTCTGTCTTGTGGCTGTTGTAACCAATGCTGCTATGAACATGTGCTCACAAATATCTCAAGACCCTGCTTTCCATTTTTTAAAAAAGATCATGTGCCCTGTGCCCCTACACCTGACACCCAGAAGTGTAATTGCTAGATCGTGTGGTAATTCTGTGAGAAATTATGTTTCCTAGTGGCTGCACCATTTTATATTCAAACTGAAACTGTACAGGGTTATAATAATTTTTCTGTATTCTCAGCAACACTTGCTTTCTGGTTTTTGTTTGTTATTTTAATAAGTAGCCATCCTAATAATTATGTGGTAACTTATTGTGATTTTTATCTTCATTTTTCTAATGATTAGTGACACTTCGCACCGTTCATAAATTCTAAGTGGTATACTTTATACGATCCAAGAAAAGTGAAAGAAAGCAATGAAAAAAGGAAGGGAAGGGGCGATCCCCCAGAAATGCTGGGAGCAGGGGAGACTGTCAGCATCCCCACTGGTCCTTGGTGCCCACCTCCCACCTGCCCCAGTCTTGCAAAGCTCGGCAGACCTATTGCTCTCGAAGTCCCGGTGATGCCAGTTGGGCAGAATGCTTTCTCACCAGGCCTAGATCTGCCCCCGAGCTGCCCTGTGCCCCCTACACCTGCCACCTGCCACCTGCCCCTGTGTGCAGCTCTCATTTCCTTCCCAGAATCTGTCCCCTGTCCCTGCTGCAGTCTGCACTCCCTGCAGCTGCAGCGTCTTCCCCATACACCATGGTAGTGCCAGCTGACCTAATGTCTCAGATGCCCTGGGCCTGTCCTACCTTCTCTTCTCAAATCAGCACCCTCTCTGGAACTTGCCCAGGACATTCAGTCCTGCTAGGGTCAGCTGCACCATATTTACAAAAATACCACCTCTGCTTCAGCACTGGGTGAAGCTGCCCAGACCCACAACGTCCTGTGCTGAGTCAGCAGCTGTGGCCAGTGTGAAGAGGGATGTGGGTGCAGTGAGAATAGCAAGGTACCGGAATGTGAAGGTGGGGCCTTCATGTCAGGAGATGGCCTTGGGCGGGTGGCATCTGGCAGCCAGAGCTTCTCCATCCTTGTTGTATTTTTCCTCTGCCTAGGTGGCTAGCTGTGTGCTGATGGGAAGGGGCCAGGTTCACCTCAGAACAAGGAGAAAGGCAGAGGGAGGCTGACGGGGAAAGAGTTCCTGGGTCCTGTGTAGCAGGTTGGCTTTGCTGAGCCTGGGTGTCTCTGCATATGACATTGACATTCTGGGGCCTGAGGGTGTGACCAGCTTGCAGGAAGACTTGGATTTTACCACCTTGGGCAGGCCTTGCAGGGGAATCTCCACCCAGGCAAATTGCTAAAGTCAAGCCCCTCAGGGCCTTCCACCGTTCCATCCAAGCTTGGAGAGAGTGCTCCTGTTCATGAATGATTCAGGCCTGACGACTCCAGGCTGTCACTCACTCCCCTAATCCCTGGGTGAGCCTGGGGGCTGCAGCACAGGACACAGCTCAGTCAGGATGCTCGCCAGCCAGCCCAGCATCATTACCTGTCCACAGCTGGGCAGCTTGACCTTCAGGATCAAACCGGAAAGCACAGCTCCTGCAGGCCTTCTTCCTGACTGTCCTGTGAGATGCATGTGAACCTACTTGGCTTGCGTGCTTAAAAGAATAATCAGGAAAAAATAATGGAATGCAGTAAATTTAAAAAGAAAATGTTGATAACTCTTGACACTTCTGCTTTGCATTCCTAGAGTTCTGTATAACTAAGGCACAGTCACTCATTTGGGACAATAACCACTATTTCAATTGTTATAGGTCCTCCTTTTTTTCTTACAGAACTTTAAAAATTAGATATGCAAGTATTCATAAAATTTGTTTTCAGGGCTGGAGAGACGGCTCAGCAGTCTAAGCACCTGCCTGGCAAGCACAAGGATCCGGGTTCAATTCCCAGTACTGCATGCCATGCCCACCCTGCACCATGCTGGCCACCAAAAGTGGGCATGGTGGTACACACCTGTAATCCCAGCAGGGGAGGCTGAGACTGAGGGTCACTATGGGTCTGAGCTGCACAGCAAGACCCTGTACCAATCAAATAAAAGATTTTTTTTTTTCCAGAACTGAGGATTGAACTCAGGCCCCTGTGCTTGCCAGGGAAGCACTTATTCCACTGAGCCATCTCCCCTGCCCCTATAAAAGATTTTTTTTTTAATTATTTTCAAATAACAGAGGACCCAGTCATACCTTATTTCTCTTCCTTGCCCTACTCTCTAGTGTATAGCATTACATAGGGACGTAGTTGACATGAAACCTAAACAGGATCACGCTGCAATATCTACTCTGTGCACTGTTTGTTTTCCTTGAGTCTCACAGATATTTCCATTCCAGGAGACGGGAGGTTAGAATCCACTGCATGGAATTCCTTGGGTGAAAAGCCTGTGTGAGAGTTGGCTTTGGGTCCCTGATACCAGGGCAGGCATTCAGTGAATGAGGACAGAGGAGAGACAATGGCTGGGGGGGAGAGGAGCACCCAGGAGAGAAGTAGGTGTTGCCAGGGTCTTTCCAGTCATGCCTTTCCACTGAACCCTCACCCTCTTCTTGTCCTTGTCCCTCTTGTACTCTGCCCCATCCTCCTCCTCTCCACCTCTCTCACTACCACCTTATCTTTAGACACAAGCTCTGTAGTCCACCAACACAAATCAGTGGTCCTAAGACGACATCTTTTTTTTTTTTTTTTTCCTTTTTATAGTATAGGAGATTGAACTCAGGGTCTTTGCACTGAGCTAGATCCCCAGTCCATTTTCCTTTTTGAGACAGATCTTGCTGGCTTAAGTTACCCAGGCTGGGCTTTATCCTCCTGCTTCAGCCTCCCAGAGTATTTGGGATTTCAGGGCTGCACCAACACTCCTGCCTCAGCACTTCTGCCTCACCTGGGATCTCTGCTTGAATGAACTGCCAGCACTTAAACAAATGTATCTAGGTTTTCTTTTTTTTGGTGTGTGTGTGTGGGGGGGAGGGACAGGGATTGAACTCAAGACGTTGTACTTGCTAGGCAGGTGCTTATGCTGCTGAGCTATCTCTCCAGCCCCTCAGCTTTTCTTGAAAACTGAGCTCTTGTGGTTATGGACCAAGTACCTTTGGTTGCAGTCAGCCTAGGCCAGAGGACAGCACCCCTCTGGTTGGGCACAGAGTGGCTGTCTTGCCAGGGCCTGCAAGGTCTTCTCCCCTGTCTAGCTAACCTATCTGCATTTGCCATCCTGTTTTCACCTTGGTGTAGTTTTTGTTTAACTTATCATCCTTCCTTGGGAGAGTGATCTAAGTCCCTCTTACTGAAGGTCAAAGAAACCTGTGCGCAGGGAGAGGCATTTCATGGCCACCTTGCCCTCCCTCGAGAGCTCCAGAGCCAAGACCAGTCCTATGGGACTGGTCCTGTGGCCTGGCCTGCGCTTGTGGCAGTGAGTAGGAGAGCTGCCAGGCTTTTCAAAGTTCTGAAGCAGGCTGGGTGCAGCTGCAAAGGTCTCACTGTCACCACCACAGCTGACATCCTGCTTTCTAGGAATTCTGAGAGACTGTGTCAGAAACTGTGAAAATAATACTGCTAACAATAGCTAATATTCACAAAGCCCTTTCTGTCTCAGACATAATTCTACACATTCCTAGGAACTTGGCAATGATGTGACCCCAGCAGGGCATGGGGGTTCCATGGTGTCCCCTGTAGCCCTTTGAGTAAGATTTCTCCAAGTGTCTGTATTACCTAAGGGCAAAACCAGAAACTTATTTTGTTCATTCAGAAAATATTCGACAGATACTCCAGTCCCCTGATATCCCATCAGGCACTGTTCTAAGTCTAAGAAATCTAGTCAAGTTCAGAATGTGAAAGTCTCCGCCCTTGGGGCACTTACATTCTAGCTTGGAAAGAGGGCAATAAACAAAGTCAACTGCAGAACACAGCTGGTGGGGGGTCACCACAAAACAGGCTTTGATTCTAGATCTCTGAGGAAAATACTTCTCTGCTCAGAAGCCTGGAAGAGATGCTGCCGGGGCAGCGGGCTGTGTTTCCTTCCCCGCCAAATGAGCAAGCTCTGCTGCCTCCCAGACGCCTTGCTAACACTTATGTTTTTTCCAGCCTCCAGCCTCTGGGGTGGTCAAAGTGGACTCAAGCGAAAGGTACCTCTCCTGGGACAGTGAGCAGGAAGGAGCCTCTGACACTGCTGATCAACTATTTACTTGATTGGTGGGACAAATCAAGGACCTGAGAATGAAGGGGGCCTGTTTCTGGCTTCCTAAGGTCAGGGGACAAGGCAGGGACCAGGACCAGCCTTTGACTGCCCAGCCCAGATTCTCCAGGTCTATGAATCCCAGTGGCTCCACTGTATGAATCAGACAGGGAAAGGGTAAAGGGTGGAATCCTGCAGAGTTTGGATGGAGTCACTTTACGCTGGGGTCATCCTCACCATCGACCTTTGAGCCAGGCTGGTGAGAGTGGGGGACTGTCCCACCAGGAAAGGGTGCTGGTTGGTGACAAGCAGAGTCAGATACTCACAGGCCCCTCTGCTTGCAGGACTGAGAGAGAACCACAGCAGGAGTGCATGGGAGTGACAACGGGTGAGTCCTGGCCTCCATGGCCACATCCTGGACTGTCCCCCTCCCTCCCAACAGAGCAGCAATCTCACTAAGAAAGAAGACATACTGTACTGCCTACTTTGTCACTAGGGCCTGGGGAAGAGGGGAGGCATTTTAAGAGGGTAGATAGGGGACCTGGGCTCTGGAAAGCCGCACACCCTGAATGGAAGGCAGGAGAAATGTGCCCAAAGGTCTCTGGGCAAAGAGAAGCCAAGAAACATAGACTTAAGGATGTAGAAGAGGGGCTGGGACAGGGTAGGCTAAGCCTGCAACTCCTGCTCTCCCAGGAGCCCAGGGCTGGCCTTGGATCAGTTCAGCTGGAAAATGTCCTGGTTTGTTCCTCCTGCCCAAGGGGAGGGCCTAGGTCTAATTTCCAGTTTGTTTTCATTTCATAGCTCCCTCATTGGTAATATAACTACATCACTGTGTTCAGGAAAATGAAATAAAGGGAACAAAAGTCAACTCTAATCACCTATTTAAAGATAATTATGGTTCGCATTTTGGCCTTTCTATATTCAAGTGTAATTATATTTCCTGTAACCTGGGCTTTTCTAACCTGCTAATATCAGAGTTCCCTTTTGACAAGATCAAGTCACCCTAAAACCCCCAAGTTCCTTAACATTAGCCGAGTTAGCCCAGTGGGAAGCGGTCTGCTCTGCCTGGTGTTCCTAATTCATGACCAAGGGAGGCCACTTTTGCCTGGGGGATCAGAGAGAGAAACCAGGAGGGATGTGAATGCTCTGCTGAGCTGAGCTGGTGGAGGAAGGGATGGAGGGGGTAGCTGGTGCTCTGGAATCTACAAGAAGGGCCTGGAGCCTCAGGCTCCTGAGAAGGATGGGGTGGATGGGCGACTGCACCCCCTTCAGAACTCGTGATCCAGTGGAGAAGCGTGGGGCCTGCTGTTCAGCCCACCCTGTGGCCTGATGGACAGATGAGGAAATTCTGGTGGCCAGAGAGGTAGGCAGGTCCCCTGGGAAAGAGGCCCACTGATGTGGTGGCTATCACAGCTGTCCCTAGGGCTGGCCTTGTTTACCTTTAAATGGCAGGAAGAGGGAACCAAAGGAAGCGCAGTGGATTATTTGGGGATGTCTAGGAAGATGAGGTATAGTTCAGACCTTGCAACTACAGACACAGCTGCTGTTGGGGCTGATTTCTCATTTTGTCTCCACGTTTTTCCCTCCCTCTCTCTCTACTGAAGTCTGATTGCCTTTTATTTTCAGTACTGGGGATTAGAAAGCAATTCTCTTGCAAAGCCTTCTCACTTGATATTTGTGTTTTGCCACGGGTCCTTACAGCTTGTCTTCCTGTGAGGAAGGAAGTGTTTCTCACACACACATATACACGTCCCTATCATCTAGAACTTGGCTCAAAGCCACACATCACGGGCTCCTGCAAGCTGCTGGGACAGCGCACAGAGAAAATGAAGCTTTTAATCTGGGCAAAAGAAGAAGCCACTGCCATGTCCCACAGGAGTTAGGTGGCTGCCCAGTCACAAAGCCAAGCCACCAGTCTCCTGACTTCTATCCTGGCTCTGGCACAACCCTCCCTGCTGGTTGCCAGCAGAGTCAGCTCTCCTTGCAGGGAGGCCCTTTCCAGCCAACACTGGGAGCTGCTACTGTAAAGCCCCAGGCACTCCTGGATGGGGACAAAGGAAAAAGAGCTGGTTGGGGAGGCACCGCCCCTCCGTGACACTCTCTGGCTCTGCTCTCTCCTCCCTAGGGAGAAAGACACAACTGCTCCTGACAGCACTATTTTTAGAAGTGCTCTGGCTGTCAGCACTGGGACGTGTTCTCTGTGTGTTCCCTGGAGTTTTCCCACCCCTCTGTCACTCTCCAGAGGAAGGATGGGAACTGGAGGACAGCCCAGACAGTTCAAAGCCTTGGCATCCACAAGCTATGGTTCAAGTCCTAGCAGGCTCCAGTAGCTGAGAGACCCTGGGCAGCTTGCTGGTTCCTCTGCCTTAGTTTTCTCCTTCACTAAACTAGAAATGGTGTTGACTTGAGGTTTTTTCTTTCTTTCTTTTTTTTTTTTTTCCACTGAGGATTAAATGATGGAGTGCAGGGAAACATTTAGCACTGGGCCTGGCCTCCACCACACAGGTGCTTTATCTCGGCTCCAGAGGCTTCCAGGGCCTGCTGAAGGGGTGACCTCAACCCTGGCGCAAGGTGCAAAGGCCATGCTTTGAAAAGGGGCAGTAACCTTGGTACCTCTTTCTAGAGAAGAGCGGGCTGTAGAGGTGACTTCCAGCAGTCAAGGCCAGGGCTCAGACCAGCTCTCTCTTTAGTCCTTTCAGACATCATCAGACACTTCAGTCCTTCTATTCTGATGTCCACATGCCCTCCCGGGAAGAGCCCTGCTCCCCATGATGGTGTTGAGTAAGCTCCTGTTCTGGCTTTCCAAGGTCGTGTATTTCTGCTGGTCTTAGGCAAGCAGGTGGTAGGATTTCGGGGGATGGCAAAGTCAAATAGGCTTCAAAGTAGTGGGGGGGGGATGTTAATAAATAAGAGCTTGCTGCATAAGGTTTGTGGAAGATTAAATGAGTTATTAAGTCAAAACTGAAATGCCTCCCTTGTGCTGTTTTTTAAAAGTTGGGCTCAGAGATTGGCACTTCAGCTGGGGTGAGGGGTGAGCTTCCAGACCCGGGAAAATTTTGTCTCCCTGATTTTTTGTTCTGTTCCCCTCCCCCTGCACAGAGACTTATGGATTCAGGCTAAAGAACTGGTGAGGAGCTTGAAGGAGAACTCGGTAAGAGACCATGTAACTCTGGCATGGTTGGCTGCCGTGGCTACTGCCGGGCGATCAGACCAAGCACGCAGGGTGGTAATGGTCCTGGCACTCTCTTGCCGTGAACACAGCCACCAGTGTGTGTGAGGGGCTCTTCAGAGGCACCCTTTCCACTGTGGTTGTCTGCAGGTCACTAGAAGAAAAGACTAACCAACTCTTCCTTTCAGAGTGGTTGACTGTGCTACTGCTGAAGTTTGGTGGATGGGGTAAATGACTCCCCACACAGGCTGGTGGCTGTGTCCCAGAGAGAGAGAGTGGCTTGAGACTGGCTGTGTTTTCTACCATTCTGTGTGATGCCGGGTCAGGCACTCAACCTCCTAAGACTTGATTTCCCTACTTATGGGCGTAGTCAAGGAGCTTGCTGCATAAGGTCTATGGACATTAAATGAGTTATTGAGCATGCCCAGAGCAGCCTCAGTAAACTTCTGTAGCTGTCGTCATTGAAAAATGGTGGTTGCTAACATTAATAATTACCATATTAATTTTAGCTTTTAGGATAGAGGCCTCTATAAGATATACTATGATGAACACCTTGTTATCTATGCTTCTAAAAATTCAGATGCTCTCTGCCCAGTTACTTACATAAGTTTGTAATAAGCATCCTGCAGTCTTTTGTGTTGCAATCTTTTGTGGGCAAGTGTCAAATCAAGGCAGGCTTTGCACCAGCCTGGCTTTAATTGATGGCTGTGCCTGCAGCCCTGGACCCAAGGGAAGCTGCTGTCTTAGTCAGCCAAGCAGACATCAAAGGGTCAGGAATTAAAGTAGAGGCCATTCCAAGTTACACAGGGCCAGCCATTGTGCAAGCTGTGGCATGAAGTGTTGGTTTCCCTCAACAGGACAATACCAGAATTTCTATGATAACAGAGTATAACCATCCTTCAGATAGCTGGGAGGTCCTGAAGCAAACCCCAAATTATTACAGATGAGGAACTAAAGGTCCAAGCAGTCATGTGACTGGTCCCAAATCACACCCCGAGTTAGAGCTAAAATGTAAAGTGCTTGATTCGCAGTCCAGTGTTCCTTGGCCACAGGACTCTGCCTCAGAAGAACAGAATAGGAGTTTGTTTTTCTTATGCAAGTAACATATATTCATTATAGAAAAATCAGAAAATACAGATAAACAAAAAGAATATTAGCAAACATCTTTAAACCTAATAGCCAAAGATAATTACTGTTAATAACCCGGTCCATAGTCCTTTCCACGGTTTTGCTCAGTATATAAATGTCAGTATACACTTTATGAAACAGGGATGTTACTGGATGTAGATACTTTTTATAGCCTATTTTTCTCAATATATTATTTCCAATGGCAATAATTACATTTTCCAGCATCATTTTAGTAATCACATAATGCTTCATCTTATGAATGTGCCATAATTTATGTAGTAATTGCCTATTTTAGACATGTTGGTTCTAGCTTTTCATTGTTATGAACAAGGCATCATTATAGCTAAATATTTAATGTATCCTTTTTTCCTTAAAATAAATTATGGGAAATGACACTGTAGGATTCAAAGGTATGCCCTCGAAAATGTTTTTATATTTTGCCAATTGCCTTCTAGTAGTTGTACTGCTCTAGACTCCTGCCATTTTTGCTTCTGATTACAAAGTCATACATACAATTAGGATGGGAGTGGGTTATGAAATTGGAAGACATGGGAAGAAGTTCTTCGGGCCTAAGGTCTTACTACGCTTTCTTTTTTATGTGATTTCTCTTTAGCAACTTGATTTTCAACATGACTGGAAACTCATCAACGTGTTCTTCAGTAACACAAGCCTGTGTTATCTGTGTCCCTCTGCTCATGAGGTAAACCACAGGTTGGGAGGCCAGGAGATCTCAGAGGCTGGGGTCAGGGAGAGAGAACTACTGCTGTCTGTCCGTCTGTGCCAGGCTGGGGCAAGATCACCTATTTCGGAATTACAGCAGATGGGTGGGTGAGTGAGTGAATCACCACTCACGAAAACCCACATGGGCATATGTTTTGCGTTTGCTCTTTTTTCTCCGGGTTGTGTTCTGATATAATATTCATAACATAAAATTGACCATCTGAACCATTTTTGAATGAACAGTTTGGTGGTATTAAAAACATTCATAAATAAAGCAGAATGCATATCTGTTGTGACCCTTGGCCTATGAACTCTAGTTGTAATCAAAAGGGTGCTGCTGACCTAAGGTCAGCTGTAGATTACAGCATCTAGGCTCTTGGGCTTTCCTGGAAACAGGTCATGGAGCATGTGGCTTCACTTATTACTATTCGTGTAAGCAGCTCTCCATGACTAAAGTCTTTTATGAAGATCAACCAGGTTATGATCAGTTGAAAGTGTGATGGGTAGCTGAGAAGCCAAGGCTATGGTGACAAATGGCAGACAGATTCTTTCCAGGAATCTGATGCATGATTGCCACAAGGGTGTCCCTGCTGCTTATGACAGTCTCATGGCCTGTCCACTGTCCTCTCAGCCACTCTCCCAGGGCCTCTGCTAGGCCACGGCACAGGCAAGAGTGAACCTTCTTGAGGTGTTATTCTCCCCCTCTTTGGGCCCCTCTCCTGCTTCCTCCTTGCCTCCCTGTGACCAAGCCCCTGACCACCATAAAAACTCCCCTTCCTTGAGTGATGGGAACCCTAAGAGAAGACTGACTTCTTCCAGGTTAGCTCTTATTGATCAGGAACATTCCTGCAGCTTTCCTGGGTGTGTGGCACACAGACCATGAAGGCTCTTTATTTCAGGCCACCCTCTGTTCTTGGCCAGGGCCAAGTGAAATTTACATGCCACTCCCCTCTTCTTAGTCCTTTCATGCATACCAGCCTTAATTCCTGAGTTTAATGCCTTTGTCTTGGTTACTCTTCTCTCATTGCTGGGACAAATGCCTGACACTCAAAATGAAGGAAGGGAAAGTTTATTTAGCGTACAGTTACTGAAGGTCCATACTCAGCTGGCTCCAAGACAGCGTGGCACATGGCACAGAATAACCTTTCCTGGTGGTGGCAAAGAGCAAGACAGCCAAGGGAGTGGTAGCAGCCCAGGCAGCCTGCTGGCCTCTCTCCCCTCCTTTCAATGTAATGCAAATTACCTACCCCAGGGCAAGTACAGCATCCACACCCAGAATAATCACAAACTCCAGAAGCACCCCACAACTCCATGAGGCTTTGGGGGGACACCTACATACACCATAATAGAATTCTTGTGCTGAAATATTCAAATAAGCATTTTGGCATCACAGCATCTCTTTATATAGCCACTCATTCACTTTTCCATCCGTGCATTGTTATAGTCACGTGTAGATTTACTGTTTTCTTACATGCAGAGGCATGACACTGTATTTGTGATGAGTTTGTTCATGCTAGAGTTTGATTTCATAACGTATGTTACACTTTCATGGCTGCTTACACTCCTTCGTGATTCTTCCATGTACTCTCACTTGCAGTCAAACATTCCCACATAAATTCTTGTACTCTTCAAGCTATCCCTTCAGGCATTCCTGCATATGTGACATATTCTTTTGTACATGTATCCCAGTTATGCATTGTTTGCTTTTATTTTTAGTTCCACATGCAATAGACAAATGTTTTTTTAAAAAGACTGAAACATTACAGGTGAAGCTAAAATTTACTTCGACGAGCACCCTAATCTTATCACTGTTTTTCTTCTCAGTCCCTTTCTCTAAATTTTTTTTTTTTTTTTTTGAACACAGGGATTGAACTCAGAAGACCCTTACACTTGCCAGGGAAGCGCTTATTCCACAGAGCCATCTCCCCAGCCTCCCTTCCCTAAATTGTAATATTCTTTACTTTATTTACATATATTAATTGTACATGTTAATGAAGTTCTATGTGATATTTTCATACAGGCATACAATATGAAATGATCAAATTCCCAATCCCCATTCCACCCCCTGAAACACTTCCCAATCCCTGGTAATCACTATTTTACTCTCAGGTCAACTTTTAATTCTTTCACATACAGGAGAGAACATACTGTCCTTATCTTTCTGCATCTGTCTTATTTTACATAATGTCCTCATTTCTATCAATTTTGCTATCAGTGACAGGATTTAATTCCTCCTATGACAGAATAATACTCCATTGTGTACATACATCACATTTCTTTATCCATTCATTGTCGATAGACACCTGCATAGATTCCATATCTTAGCCCTTGTGACTAGTGCTACAGTAAACATGGGTGAGCGAATATCTCTCTGGTAGGCTGTTTAATTTCTTTCAGATGTATAACTAGAAGTGGGATAGCTGGGCCATGTGGTATTTCTGTTTTTAAGTGTTTAAAGAGCCTCTGTTCTGTTCTCCATAATGGCTGTACTGGCTAACATTTCCATGAACAGTGTATAAGAGTTCCTTCGATTTGTTTTGATTATAGTCATTCGAACTAGGATGGGATGACATCTCATAGTTTTGATTTGCACTTCTCTGATGGTAATGGTTTTGAGCATTTTTCTTACATTTTTTAGCCATTTGTGTTTCTTTTTTCCAAACTTTTAAACATGTCTATGAACCTTAGCATTATTTTCATTCATGTTGATAGACATGAGACTTAGCATAAATAGAATATTTTGTAAATTTTTTGTTAACCAACTACTTTGAAGAGCTAGTCATGTTAATAACACACAGATTGAATTTATTCCTGCTACTTTAACGCAGTGTATTCTGTGCAAATTTATATTTTCTTTAACCATAACCATGTTGATGGCCATCTAGGTATTTTTAATTTCACTGTTATGAGCAATTCTATAACAAGCAAACTTGTTCATTTACTTAAACATGCAAAAGTATTTTCTAGATATGGTGATTTTCAAACTGTGGATTAGAATTGAGCTAGTCACTTTACTCGCTGCTGGGACAAAATAGCCACAACTTAAGGAAGGAGAGGCTTATTTTGGCAATTGGGCTGGCTGTTAGCACGGACAGCTTGACAGAGGTGCACAGTGGGAGGTAGCAGCTCACAGCATGATGAACAGGAAGCAGAGGGAATCCAGGAAGGAGCTTGGAAGGAAGATAGACCCTTCAGGGCCATGCCCCTCTTCCAACAGGCCTCGCCTCCTGGGCAGCAAGTCAGGGACCCCACCTTCCTAATCTGGTCACCTTTCCAAAGCCCTGTCTAGGAGTGAGGAGGCTCTGGGGGGGGGGTCATGTAGATATAAACTGTAACAGGAAGACATCCATGAGTCCAAAAAAATTAATTTTAAGGGCTGCAAAAATGAAATCGAATGGAGTAAGTGATAAAATATTCCAGTCCATTTCAGCTAGAAAGCAATTATTGGTTCATGAAAGTTTTGCTTCATTTCCATATGGATATGAGTACTGGATTAGGATCAGAAGTGTATCTCATACTGTGAATCCTTGTCAAAATAGCTCAAAGACAAGTGCCCAGAGTAAATTTTCAGCAAGAATCACCAGTACTCAGATATATACTCCAAGTTGTAGTAGAGTCTGCCTAATTGCCCTCCAAAGAAGTTCAGCTCTTCTATATTCCCACAGTCCCTTGTGACTGTCTAAGGGCGCCTCTCCCAAGAGCAGTTCCAACATTTGCTATCAAACAGAATGCTTTTTGTTAATATGTGAGATTCCCTCAAGATCTCCCATGTTGATACACGAGGGTTGAGTTTATTCACACATAGAAACTCACACTTTTAATTGGTTGCAAACACATGATAAAAGTGACTGTGCCTCACTCCTGATTTCTGAGCCGCGAGCCACTGACTTGCTCTCCATAAATTTAGCTCGCTGCAGCAGCACTCCTTCTCCACCCTCCTCAGCCAAATCACACTCCCTGTCTGGTCTTCCCAGCAGTGTCCCTGGCCCTGGCGCACTCTAGGCTCTTCCCGTGCTGTAGTTTCACATCCTCAGTAGAGTTCTTGCTGTTCGTTTTTATATTCCTCCAAGCACCTGTCAGGTACTGTCACTCCTTCAGTGGTTGTCAAAATGTTCACAACAGGTGCCTCTGAGGGCAAAGTTTGAACAGGCAGACTCCTGGCTCCCACCTGACTTCATAGAGCAGCCTTTTCTGGCTCTGTTTCAGCAGTTCCTCAAAGTTCATATATACATATATATATATATATATATTTTTTTTTTTTTTAAATCTTATTTGGTACTGAGTCTCACACAGCCCAGACTCATAGTGATCCTCCTGTCCCAGCCTCCCCAGAGCTGGGATTATAAGCATATGCCACCACTCAGTTTCAGCGGCACAGCTGGGGAATGAATCCAGGTCCTTGAGCTTGCTAGGCAGGTGCTTAGACCACTGAGTTATCTCCCCAGCCCCTTAAAGTTCATATAAACAAAAGGGCTTTACCATGAAGAAGAAATGTTGGACTACTGTCTGGCACTAGGACTTGGATTTCTCTTCTCCTGAGAATGTGGGTCTTTTAGTGAGGAGTAGACAAGGGCTTGTGTTCATTCTTAAAGGGCTGCTTAGGACCAAAGTCATGAGTGAGTGAAATTGGAGCTATTCATTAGTCAATAGCAATGTCTCACCCTCAGAGGTAAATGATGACCAGGCTCACAGCAGTGACACTAATGCATTCCGGGTCTGGATTGAGTGCTCACTTCGTGTTCCCCAGTTAATGTCTAGTTTTATGAGTGAGTAAGGTAAAAATCAGAAAAGAGTGAAAAAAGGAAGAACCCCAATGGCATGACAAGAAAACAGGCATTTATTTATTTATTGCTGATGCCATTAGAAACGTGTCAGCACTCGTGAGCTTGCACTGGCGGTGTGAGTCAGAAAGTTTAAAACTGTTCTTATCTTTTAACCTAACAATCACCTTCCCTGGAATAAATCCCAAGTAAATAATTTATTAGACTTAACTTTTACGGTAACTTTGTTTATTAATGAAAGCTGGCTTTGGACATGTATTTGTAATAGACATTCTGCTGAGTCTGGGGGCAAAAACGAAGTGGAAGGACACAAGCTCATCAAGGAAAATAAGATTTTCCCTGAATGTGGGCTCCATGAGGTTACACTATGTGTGGCCATATAGAAGAGGGGCGTGTTCTAGGAGCACAATGTCTCCCTCGAAGAGTTGGGACAGTCGCCAGCCCATGCAATGACCATTCAGTGCCTGGAAGATGGGCCCCATTCCCTGTACAGCTGTGAACAAAACATCTGGTTAGGAGTTTGCACTCAAGTCAGCCAAACAGTGTTCCCCGGGTTCCCCTGAGGAAGATGCTCATCCTGAATTGGCTCAGAAGGGCAGCAAGGGCATTGTTAGGTGGCTCCCAGGGCTCTTTAGGAGGGAAGGTGTGATGGTCAGTGTCGAGCTCAGGGAGAGATTTGGAAAAAAAAACAAACAGCTAGAAGGCTTTACAGACCTGACCGAGCTGGCCTCCCACAGCGGGAACAGACTGGAGAGACGAGGGCATTGCCATCGCTCCCTACGCCCTGCCTTGCAGTCCTCCTCTGTGACTGGCAGCCTGTCTCGTGTGTCATCCCTCCTCCCAGAGAACAAAACCATGCCTCTGACATCTTTGTCTTCTCTCTAAACCAAGTTGCCACAGGGAACAGGCAGCTTGCAGGCAGCTTGGGAGTCCATCTTCTATTTATTTATATTTCGTACTGAAAAGGTAAACCAGAGTCAGTTTTTGAGGTGCTGTCAGTTGTTCATTGTCATCACCAGCAGAGAGGAAGTGGGGGTGGGTAGGGGTGTGCTTACGCACGCACCTAGGTCCTAGGGGCCCTCTCTTGTGCTCGCTCTCTAGCAACCTTTCTATTACTCAGTGCAAATGTGGCAGGAAGAGAGTAAACAAAATGGTACTGGTTGGCCATCCCTGTCTGAAATCCAAAATGTTTCAAAGTCCAAAACTTTTTGAGCATTTTAGGTTTGAGTTAGAGTTGTTTAAGTGGCGAGTCTACGCAAATATTCCAAAACCCAGAAAACTCCAAAATCTGAAATACTTCTGGTCCCAAAGCATTTTAGAAAAGAGATCTTACTTTGTGTCCGCAATGGTGACCCTGTTAGAACTTTCCGTGATACTGAACAGCCGGCCACAGCATGCGTGCTGTAGGTTTGCCACCACTGCCTTCCATCCTTAGAAGTTGCAGGGCCCATCTGGGGCCTTAATTCCAGGATTTGCTGTGTGTCCCTGTAGACCTGATTTTCTACAGATAAAAGTGATTCTATGAGCCTTTGAAAATAAGCCTTGCCCCCCCCAATTCAAACATCACCATCATACCAGGTGTTTCTGACCTTGCTCTAAGGCCTTAGTTACTTTTCTCATTGCTGAGACAAAATATCCAGTGCCCAAAGTTAAGAGAGAAAGCTGTGAGTTGCTTAGCTCAGTTTGGCTGGCTCTAAGGCAGGTTGGCATGTGGCGGAAGGGGGCAACTCTTCATGATAGTGGGAGATGGCAAAAGCAACAAGAGTTCTGCGCCTTGTACTGCAGGCCGGCTGCCTACTCTGGGCTAGTGTAGCACTCATACTCTTAATCCCAGCACTGGCCTATAAATCAATCACAAACTCCATTCAGCCCTCTCTGAAAAGTCCACTCCGATGACTATGTGAGGCTTCGGGAGGACATTTAGATACAAACCACAACACTTGGGCTTGCCCTTTCCTGACTCAGAGCCTCTCACCTGGGAGTTTGGTTTTTTTCTTCTGGTAGATGACAATTTGGGAAGCCAGAAATGTATACCCCTCACAAAGAAGATGCACTGGGAACTCTGTACTTGTTGTGGGAAAAGGGGTCTCCATCAGGGCTTTGTCCAGGACCCTTCTAGAGTGACCTGCCTGGATCTGGGCATCTCAGCCTCATTTCTTCCCTGATACTGCCTCACTTAGTTCACTTCTTCTCTCACAGAATGGACCCTTGATGAGGGACATGGACAAGCTGGCTGAGGTGCTGCACTACCTGTACCAGGAGGTGAGGCCATACTCTGTGCCCTATGAGACCCAGGGCCCTGCCAAGGGCTGGGAGTGGGTTCTGGCCCAATCTGCCAGAGTGGGGAAAATGGACCCCTGAGAGGGAAAGCAAGACCCTTAGGGGAAGAGAACGCCAGAGAATCCATGTTGTCAGCCTCTGAAACAACAGTGCGGGTCAGGTTAGGGCATGCACTCACACAAAGGATGTTTCCAGAGGCAGATTGGTTCCTGGGCACTCTGTGGTCCTGCTGAGGCCACTCTCCAACCAAGTCTGGGGCAATGATGGCCAGAGGGTTGGAGAACCTCTAGAGTCCTCTTCCTAGAGCTACCATAGTAGCTCTTCAGGTTCTGAGAGCTTGGGGGCTGTGCTGTGGCTTCCATCTGCCCCTGCGTTTCTTAGTCTGTGGCACTACTGGTTTTGAGCTGGGAAGTATCCTGCCCACCATGAAGGAAGTAAGAGGCAAAAGCACAGCTGTAGAGAGGAAGTCATGGGCTAACCTCAACTGAGTATCTCCCAAGAGACAGTCCTCAAAGTAGGCCCAACCGGGGGGACTCCAGAGAGCCCTCAGGCAGTCATGGAGGTTAGCCAGTAATCACCTTCATATTCCTTGTGTCCACTTAGGTCCCCAGAGCATTTGTGAACCTGGTGGATCTCTCTGAGGTTGTGGCCATGCCTCGCTGGCATCAGGAGACTCAGCTCAGGTAAAAATGGATGTGAAATGGGATGAACATGTGCTGTATGCTTGCCCTGTGCCAGGCCCTACATGGGCATGCCTGACAATCTGTCCCCCAAGGGGTCCCCAAGTGTGGAGGCTGGAGAGCTTCAGTAGTACATGTGACTGACACGGTCTGGGGGTAGAAAGCCCCTTGTTAAGTACTATTTTGGGGGCCCCATTAAAGGTTTAACTGTTCAGTCAGGTTGGTGGGGCACTAGAGGCCCTCTGTCAACCAGAATGATCAGAGCATTTAGAAGCCTGTTTTAGGAAAACAACTCTAAGCCAAGAAGTATAACTTCCAGAAACCAGGTGGAAATGAATGCTGCCTAAGTGTATTTAACTTCTCACAACTTGACCTGCATATATTTCTGATAATTTTCATAGCATTTAAACTTTTGGGAATCATAGCTTAAAAATCCTGACTTGAAACCAAGCAAAGGAGTTCATGTAGAAAAAGTCAGAGCAAGGACATCTGGAGAAAGGACAGAGGACAGGACTACCAGGAAAGGAGGGTTTGAAGAGGAAGGAAGAAGAAAGGAGTGGAGAGTAGGGGAAGGGAAGGCAGGTGCAAGGAGAAGGATGGGGAGAAGACAATCATCTCCACAGCCCACAGGCTCAAAAGCCTCACACCTGGGTCCTTTCTGTCCCTAACCTTTGCTGCCTTGCTTCTATTTCTCCTAGGACCCCAGTTCCCCCCTCCCTGCCCCAAGTGACTCCCAGGCCTCACCAGCCCCGCATCCTACCCCTAGAGGCAGCCCCAGGCTCTCATTTCCCTCCTGTTTTCATCCACACAGGCCCAGACCACAGTCCTGCGGTTGCTCAGGGGAGAACTCGAAGCTGGCCACGGTTGTAATGCAGTGGTCCTATCAGGTGAGCCCACTGCTGGGGTCTGGGCTGCTGGCTCATGCCTGGGGGTGGTTGGGGAGCAAAACAGACATGCTGGGGACCAGGAGCTGAGTTTGCTCATGCTGAACTAAGAGTCGGGATCCAAAGGGAACTATTCTGTGTTCGCTTCCCCGTGACAAGTGAGCTCACATCCCTGTGTGCAATGTGGGGCCTGTGTTGATGCTCTAGTCAACATAGCGTGCGGAGCTTTGCAAACTCGTTCTGAGACACCTCTCATCATCACTCCTTCTGCCACACCTGTGGCTGGTGAGCTGGTTTTGCCCAGGTGGGGTGTACCCCAGGCTTCAGACCAAAAGAAGCCAGGGATCCCAAAGATATGTGTTTCAGCTGACAGAAGAAACACTTACAGAGCACAGAAAGCACAATGAAAGCCATGATCCTCCTCAGCAAACACTCAAAGCTCAGTCCCCACTAACCTGACTTATCACGATGACCTATGTTTAAGAAGACAGTTGCAAGTGAGCTCTGGGGGATGCTGCTTACTCTGGAAATGCCAACACTTTAAGGAAGCTCATGGCTGGGAGCACAGACCGCAGGGTGTTCGGGGCTGCCTAGCGCTTCTTAGGCTTCTAGCAAGTTCTTTGCAGGTTCCCTCCAGCATGCCTGAGGGCTGGAGGTTCAGGAGCAAAAGAGAGCTCAGTATAGGTCCTTGGTAGTCCAAAGCATGAGAGGAGAGTGACCTTCCAGAGTGTTTTCTTGGACAGCAAGCACAAAGGGTGGCTCTGTGTGAGGGGCTGCTGGGAAGCCCTCATGACGTCGGGCAGCTCTGGCTGGCCTGCACCCCTGGATATACCCTCTGCTCCGTTCTCAGGAAGCCTGGGACCACCTCCTGGCTGCCAGCAGCTTCAATGAGAAGGAGTCTTTTGCAGTGGTTTTCCAGCCTTTCTTCTATGAGGTGTCACCTCCTGTGGTGAGTGAACTGCAGGTGATGCCAATGGTGTGGGCTTGGGGAGGCCTGGACCATGCATCAGCTCTCACCTGTGGCCCTGCAGAATCCCCAGCCCAGTCTAGTTGACGGAACCTGGGACACTTAGTCTCGGGGTCAATGGCAAAATGTGCTCTTACATTTTTCAATGTAATTTCCCTAAGGGACTGCATAGCCCCAGGAAGCAGGCTCTTAGAGGCAGGGAGCCCAAGATGAAAGGCAGGAACTTAAGGCTGCATGCCTTGGCCTCCATACCTGGCTCTGGAATGGGCCAGCTGGTCACCTGGGACAAGTGGCTGAGCTTGCTGTGCCTCAGTTTGAAATCTGTAAAGTCAGAATCGCTGTTGCTATTCCCTGTCTCTGCAGTGGTTGTCAGGACCACATGAGCTAATTCACAGGAAGAACTGGGCACCTCTCAGCTGTTGTTATTATTCAGGATGGCACCTCCAAGGTTCCCAGCAATCCTCACGTCCTCTTCCACATCCATCCCTGAAGGGTCACTGGGCAGGGTCTGCCAAGATCACATGGCCCTGGGCATGGTGCCATACTTGCTCCCAGGGTCCCTGAAGCCTGAGCCCTAAGGTTGTGTCTGGGAACACTTGCTTCCTGCAGCCTCCTGGCTCCTATCCATAGAGGTCCTTGGGCCACCTCCAGAACACATCTGATGTTTAAAGCAGACAAGATCAGGGTGTGGTGGCACAGACCTGTGATCCTAGCACCTGGGAGCGGGGACAGGGGGCAATACATTCAAGGCCAGCATGAGTGACATAGTGAGTTCACTGCCAGTCAGAACTACCTAGCAAGAGAGAGAACTACCTGTCAAAAGAGAGAGAGGGAAGCAGGCATGCAAGCAGAGGGAAAGAAGAGCAGGCTTCTGGCCCCCTTCCCCATCCTGGCAGACCACACCTAGATGGCTCCCTGTTCCCTGCAGCTTTGAGACTTTGATTCTGGCAAGCCCATGACACCTGGAATAACCAGACACTTACCCTACCCCTACTGGCCCTGGCCTTTGAGACCTGAACCCACACAATGCTCCCATAAATTCTAATGATATTGATTGGAGTGGGGAACTGAGGGGCAAAAGGGAGGTGGGATGGGTCAGGACCACCTAGCTTTGTGCCAAAGAAATTGCTGGAGTGTGTAGCTGTCACACCTCTGATTAGCTCCTTTCTACCTGCTTCTCTTACAGGAAGGGTCCCCATCCCAGGACCCCACCACACTTGCCCTGAGCCTCTGGAACAACATGGTGAGTGGGGGTAGGGCCACCAAAGCAGAGGTAGGGTTGATGTCATCACAGCACCCACAGTGCCACTGTGCTGAGGAGGGGCTGTAGGACACCAAGAAGACTTCTCAGGCCTAGTGCCAGCCCATCTCTTCCTCTGGGAGCTCAGCCTCCTGGTCCCAGGGCTGGTCTATCGCTTGCCAGGCACAGGCCTACTGTTTCCTTGGAGGCAGAACCATTTCCTTGGAGTCTGTACAATACCTGCTTTGAGTGGGGCTCTTGGGCACAGGCTCATCCTCATCCCTACCCAGCTTTCTCACATACCTAGGCAGCATCATGCAGACATGGAAGTTCAAAGTAGTGCCTAGAACCTGCATGGACTTCAGAGTGGCAAAGATATGGGTTCTGATCCAAACCCTACCTCATATTTCTGTGTGGACTCAACTCCTTTCTGCAAAGCCCCAGCCACAGCTGGCCTTGACAGCACACACTTATAATCCCAGCTATTCAGGAAACCTAGGCAGGAAGATCTTAAATTCAAGGCCAGTGTGGGCAATTTAGCAAGACCTGACTTAAGTGGTTAGATGGATGGATGGGTGGATGGATGGATGGCCTGATGGCCCTGGGGATATAGCTTAGTGTGAGCCCCTGAGTTCAGCCCCCAGAACAAGACATTTGCTATCTCCCCACATCCCACACATTCAGTGTGTAACCCAGTCCTGGCCCATAGTGCAGTCTCTGCATGTGTTGGCTCTTTGTACTGCGATAATGACAGGATTCTTGGATCCTGAAGGTGCCCTGGCAATCTTAGGGATCAGTCAATGCAGGGACTGCAACACCAAGCCTTGGATCTTTCCAGAGAACCAGGCAGGGGCCTCCTTTTGCCATTTATTTTTCCCCATCCAAGCTACCCTATTTTTAGAACTCCAGTGACAAATTTGTTTTTCTTCTGTCTTAGATTATCTGTCTCAGCGGGTGTGCTGTGCTGAGAGTGTGAGCAGCCAGTACAGCAGCAAGCAGGCAGGGAGGGGACAGCCCAATGGATGAAGCACCCTGGCCTTCAGACAAGGCACTTGACTTCTTTGGGCAGGGATGGTGGTTAGTAGACTTGAGCTAGGGTGAGCTATTCCCCAGAGAAGCACTTGGTTGCTGAGCTGCTGCAAGGGGCAGAGAAAGGATATCGCACCCTCCAAGCAGGGCTGCCCTCCCACCCGCTTCTCAGGCAGAGAAGGCCATTGCTCCAGCTCAGCCAGATCTCTGTCTTCCTCCTCCTACATCACCTTTCTCCTCACTGATGACTGGCACCTGCAGTGTGTCCTGTGCTGGGAGCGGAGGAAGTACAAGAAACACTGAGTGTGGCCTCTGTCCTCGTGGAGCTGAGCTCCCGAGGTATAGCTGGGAAGGTCAGGTAACCAGAGGAACAGGCAAGCAGCCACTCAGCCAGCGAGGTGAGCCAGCTGTGCACTCGAAGGCAACATGGACCTCAAGTGAGGGGAGGAGAGGCTGTGAGGTGGGATTAGAGGTGGCTCAGAGTCTTGTTGAAGTTGAGGACTCTGGGAATAAGGGATGTGGAGAGAAGAGTGCATCAAATGTGGCAGCAGGAGTCAAAGAAGGCTGGCCTCACCCAGTGGGCATGGGAATAATAAGACCCAGAAAACAAACATTGAACTCCTGACAGAGAGTGCCTGGAGAAAGATGGGGGCAAGGCGAGGTTCCTTTCTTTTTCTATTTTCTTCCTACTGTTGATTGTCCATGCTGTTGGTGGCAGCAGTAATAATAACTACCTCTATTGGGCTGTGGAGAGACATACCAGTGCACACAGGCGGGTGTGCTGCACACCTCGCGCCTTCTAGCCTCCCTGAGGATCAGGAAGAGCAGGCACACAGAGAAGCTCAGAGGCTCCGACTAGCAAAGCCAAGGGCCTGGGGTGTGGTGAGTGCCACAAGGCACCACAGAGGAAGCGACCACTCTCTCCAGCAAACCACAGTCCTCAGCTTCCCCAGGAGTTCCTGGAGGCTCTGCAGCCCAGGAAGGGGGCAGGGAGTCCCCCAGGGCATCCCTTCCCTAGTTTTCTCTAGAACTCACAGGCCAGAATCCTGCAGCTCCTGCAGGCCAGAAACCATCCACAAGTGATCCAAGATAGGTGAGGGTGAAGAGCACAGAGCCGGAAGCCAGAAAACCGGGGTCTGGTTCCTGTCCTGTTTTGGGTTGTTTCTTCAGGCAAGTGGTGTGGTCTTTTGAGGCCTCTACATTTTCCCCTGAGATACGGGTACAATGACCTCAGTCAGCCTGAGGGCTGGTGAACAGACTAGTGAGTTGGGGCTCCTTCTCCTTGTGGGTTTAATATCATGTCCCCCTGGGACCTGGGGCAGGCAGTGCCTTTACTCCTTGATTTCTGCTGCATTAGGCTTAATTGGGGCCATTACCATGAGAGTCAGGTCCACCTGTCCTATGCTCACGGTGAGGGCTCCTCAGTGAGGAGCAGGAGGAGCAGGATTCTGGCCTGTGAGTTCTAGAGAAAACTAGGGAAGGGATGCCCTGGGGGACTCCCTGCCCCCTTCCTGGGCTGCAGAGCCTCCAGGAACTCCTGGGGAAGCTGTGGACTGTGGTTTGCTGGAGAGAGTGGTCGCTTCCTCTGTGGTGCCTTGTGGCACTCACCACACCCCAGGCCCTTGGCTTTGCGAGTCGGAGCCTCTGAGCTTCTCTGTGCACCTATTTTTCCTGACCCTCAGGGAGGAGCAGAGAGTGAACCATAGGATCTCTGTGACTATGGGGCCCAGGCCAACCCCTTGGTCCTGACTGCACCCAGAATGCACGTGTAGGGAGAGGGTTTCTGCAGCTCACAGCCGCACACAGACCTCTGCCTTCCCTGGCCCAGCCCATGACAGGTTGAGCCCTGAGGACAGAGAGGAAAAACACCTGCAGTGGTGATTGGCCTTTTGGACAGCAGGCCTAGGACTGTCCCCTGGGGCATGAGCCAGGCGTGCGGCAGAGGAGTTAGTGTTCAGCACAGAGCTCTTTCTGGTGCCCTTCTGCTGCCACCTCCGGAGTTTCTGGGAATTCTTGCACAGTGATAGTATCTAAGGGACCTACTCCTAGGGAACTCGGGTCCCAAAGGCTTTCAACAATCACTGACCCAACTTTGTCCGAACACTGCACAAAGTGCTGGGGCCATCAACTAGGATAGGGAATGTGGGAATTGCTCACTCTTGAGAAAGAATTCTCCTCCTTGGAGGACTTTTTTTTTTTTTCCTGGTAGCACTGGGGACAGAACAGAGCCTTTCTTACGCTAGGCAAGTGCTCTACCACTGGGCTATATAGGCCCCAAAAGAGGATTTTTTTGTAAAGGTCCTCCTTCATGCCTCCTATACTAGCTAATTTCACAGTGCAAGGAAATGCAAGGAGTTTAAGGGCCAGAAAAATGGAATGAAAGAGCAGTGTTCTGGCAGTAAAAAATAAATAAATAAATAAATAAATAAAAATAAAAGTAGCATGTACTCCTCTGCGCACAGCACAGGATGGTGAGGGAGAAAGGGATTCTCTGAAGTAACCAGGTCATTTTCCATCCTTGCTGAGGATACACGATTAGAGCAGATGTAAGGGAGATTAGTGGGAAACGGAAGGATGCAGAAGACTAACAGACACATTTAAGGCAAGATCTTTAATAGAAATGGATTTATTGGGGGTAAATCTGTGTCTCCTTTTTCTAAGATCTTTGAAAAATAGGCTCAGTTTCTATCCATTGGATCGGAATCATTTACATGTGTGTCTCCAAGGATTCTCTCTGGATTCTCACTGATTAAACTTTTGGAAGACTGGCGAAAAGAAGAGGGGAGTGAGGCGTGAGCACCCTTTGGGAGCTTCTCTGAGGGCCCCAGGGGCCACTCTCAGAATAAAACCGAAAGAGGCCTAGGCGAGCCAAGCTCCTCCCCACCCCGAGGCTATTGGGCTGCTGCTCCTTTTCCAGATGTGACCTTAATGACACCTCCTTATCTGCCTCTCCTTCCTTTTGGGTCAAGCCTTTCTCCTGTTGGGTAAAGGTCCTCCTGGCTCTTTGTTGGCCAGGTCACAGCTTCTGGCTCAGGTGTTGCTAGGGGATCTGAAATCCTCATGCCAAACGCAGAATCTGACTGCAGTGGGGGACCCAACCACCAGCTTCCTGCATCCCCTGTTAAAAGGAACGTGAGGACAAAGGTGCCACCAGAACCCAGACTCTGTGCTGCAAAGCTGAGACCCAAACATGAAATGTTCAAAGAGTAGAAAATATCCCATGTAAAAGAAAAATCTATATTCTCTCAAAGCCATAAGTGTTTGCTTTAATCATTTAGACATGTCGAATGAGCATAGTAAGTAACAACAAGGAAAGCCTCCACTTTCACTCAATTATTCGACTACCTTTCTTTGCCCCTTTTACCTTTGTAATCTGCTCTTTTCGCCTGCTGCTACATGTACCATGCGCCGTTGCCTATGCTGTTACTACTGTCATTTAAGCAGTTGCTTATTCCAGAGTCAGGACCACACCACCCTTTCCTAACTCCCTAGGTATCCTGGCTGGTTGTGAGTGTGGAGCCTGAGCTGTGTCCCTTGTCACCATATCTCTGTGCCCCAGTTAGAGACATGGGACTTGCTTGGCCCAGGCCCCAAACCGGCTCCACTTGCAGCTATGTCAAGTGAGTGGTAGGAGGCTCAGTTCTCCATCAGGCCTGGGTTTGTATGGACACAGGAAGTGGGCAAGATGAGCGAAAGGATGTGGGCTTCACACAAGCCACAGATCACCCCTTCCTTCCTGTCTTCCTCTCCTATCCAAGGAAATGTGATCAGAGAGCCAACTAAAAGTGGACAGCGAGAAGCAGGGCAGGAAGCCAGGATGGACACCTGGCTCCAAAGGGATTAGGGAGCTGCATGACCCACTAGAGACATGTGTTTGGATCCCGGGCACCAATGTCATAGTCTGTTGTGCTAATTGGGCCCCATCTCATTCTCTCTGTGTTCAATTTCTCCTCCAGCACGGTCAGGACTAGAAGTCCCTTCCATAGCAAAACCCCACCAATTCCTGCCGTGCACTGGCTCTCAGATTCGAGCCTCACAATCAGCAGCAGCTGACTCAGTAGGTCTGGCACAATGGCTGGCAATTTGCCTTTGCCATGAGTTTCCCATGGTGCTCAAACTGCTGGTCCAAGTACCAAACTCTAGGAATGCTGGTCGGATGTACCTTAAAGGACTGCTACCTGAGCAAGACTTGTCTATGCTAAAGGTCCCCTTCTTTTCTAGATGAAGCCAGTGGGACAGAAAGATGAGCCTTTCAGTGCAATAGAGAGAAGGCCAATGAAGTGTCCATCTCAGGTAGGAAGGGCTGGGCTGAATGGGGGGGGGATCGGGTGGTCACATGGACTTTGCTGAGAACGGTGACTGTTTCTCCAGACCTGAGCACCCTTTTGCATACAGGGCTGCCCTAAGGCTGATATCTAAGGGCTAGAGGAACCATTCTAGCAACTCAGAGTCCTCCCTCACCTGTGGGAAGCACAGGACCAAAGCCAAGCTCCCGTGGTCCCAAACAATGGTCCAACCCACCTTCTCTTACTCTAGGCCTCAAAAGCCATTCCACTGCTTCCTTTACCTCAGAGTGGAGACAGGAAGGAATGCATATTTAAGTGGTCTTGAAGGTAGCTCATTTGAGTTGTGTCTTAAATCTGTGGCTAATATATAATAGATACATAATTAATGTTGTCAAATAAATGAATGAGAAAAATAGCTAAATATAAATGAATTACTTCTATCACTTAATGCCAACCAAAGTATTTGCCTTACTATACAATAAGAAGTATGTAACCCATCCTGTTTCCCTCTACTTTGGCAGCCCCAAAGCTTAAAATTAAGTCCCTGTCTCACTCAATACTTCGCCTGGTAGCACACAATCTTCCAGGTAGAAAAAGCCAGACACTGACTTGCATATGGGACATTTCAAAGCTGAACGGCAGCCCAGGGAAGAGAGGCCCAAAATAGCTTGGTCCTCACTCAGGGAAGGATGGGAATGTTCAGAGTCAGCCAGAAGCACTGCGGGACACAGACCTCTGATTACTCAGGAATGCAGATTCCTGGAGCACGGTTTCAACACATTGCCTTTCTCCACAGGAGAGCCCCTATCTGTTCACCTACAGGAACAGCAACTATCAGTCCAGACTGCTAAAACCCCAGAGGCAGCCCCAGGTAAGAAGAGGTCTTTTGTGACTGCCAAATACTCAGGGGCCACTCCCTGATGCTGACTCTTGGGAAACTTCCATGTGTGCCCCTGGGAGAGCTATAGGCCTTTGAAATTCAGTCAGGGCTGGCCGGGGGAGGGGAGGGAAGGAGTGTGTGACCTGTCTGTGGTGCCTAGAAGCAGATCTTCCTACAATAGCACCCAAGAACAACCTGAGCCACCAGCTTCTATGGCATTGTGGGCTTAGGGTGTCTGTTCCTAATCCATTGGGACTCTCAGGCCATATCAGATCTGTAACAGATTTATCAGAATTGATCCAAGTCCTTAACCTGAAGACAATGTTAGGAAAATCAGTTCTCCAATTTTCCTAATGTCATGAACTCTGGAACCACAAAGTACAGAAACCAAAAAGCCTTCGAAGTTCTTATACTTGCTCCTATCTTTCCTGTGGTTTATCTCAGTGTCACTGTGGATACTTCCTGCTGAGATTAGATAGGGAACACTGCTCCTCCCGGGATCTGACAATCACTTTAAGGTTGATGTCTTTGTTCTCAGGGAACTGGAGACCTAGGGGGTTGTGTAGGACTTGGTTCTAATCCTTACCTCTGCATTTTATGAAGGACAATGACATTTATCCCAGTGGTAGAGGCCAAGTTAGTGGCCTGGGCTCCCACCCTGAGAGATGCAGTGTGAAAAACTCTTGATTTACAAACCTGTCCCAAACTTTCTAATTTCATACCAGTAAGGACACCTCCAGAGAGCAGTGGCATAGTGAATAAGAAAACTGGCCCTGGATTCAAATCCAGACCCTTCTTACTGACTCTGAGTTATTCACTAAGGTACTTATCTTCCTCATTCCTTGGTTTTTAACCTGGGAAATAGTGACATTAATAGTTCTATTAAATAAAGTTGCAATGAGCTAATAAATAGAATTGTATCTGGCATGCCACGAGTACATTGTAAGAATTGGTGTTATCATCCAATAAGAAGGAGTGATCAATTTCTTTTGTGTATAGTTATTAGCATCTGCTGTGTACTTCTAGAATGCAAGCTCAAGGCAAAAGTCAGGGTCAGTGCCTATAACTATGTGTTGAATGAATAAATGGATGGCAGGATGGATTCCAGGCAGAGGGAGTAAATCAAATGAAATACATTTCTTGTCCCAAGCAATTCAGATAAGGCAACCAATAATTATACCACAGTGTATTGAGTACCATAATTAAAGCTTTCATGAGGTATTCTGGGAACACAGAAAAAAAAGAAGGCTTTCCTAAGGGTGCCCATGACCTCTGCCTTGATGACTAAGGGTGAGCCAAGGGGATGGAAGGATAAGAAAATTGAAGGAAAAAAGGGAGAGTAGGGCTTAGTGTGTGGACAGAGACACAGAGGTGGGGGGGGGGCTGAGGGGACTTTGGTCAGGGTCTAAGAGTTTGGAGACCTGTTAGGCCATGTGTGGGAGAATGGACTTTGGGTTGACATTGATACAGAGGAGTAATTTATTTGTTCAACCCACAAGTATTTCTTGAGCATGTATTATGCTAGGTACCATTCTAGGCTCTGTAAAAACACAGACGATAGTAACAGAGACCAAAATGTTTGGCTGCACCGAGGACTTGGGATGGGAATGCCATAGCTACATCCTGTTGGGAGAGGCCACTCTGAATTGACCAGAAAGTGCGAGCGGACCCACAGACAGGGTGGTGATATCGGTGAGGGCCACCATGTTCCAGGCCAGAAAGAGCAAAGTTCTGCATTTGGGCTAGGAAAGAGGCCCTGGAGAGGAGGGGACAGACCAGGGAGCAACTGGACAGGACATTGTGAACGATGGGGTGCTAGGGCTGAGGGAGGGGGAGAAAGTTTTAAAACATCAAAGATTTTTTATTTTCAGTGATTTTTTTCCAACATAGAGAGTCACTTCTCAGCCAGTTTCCAATTTAGAAAGATCCATTTTTTTCTTATTTCTCTTATTTGCCCTTCTTATTTCATTTCAGATGAGAGAAGGCACAGAAATCAGATGTCCTGACAAGGACCCTTCCGACTCCATTCCCACCTCAGGTACCCACTTGCGCTCAGTGATTTTTAAACTCAATGGAAGCCTGAAATCACCCCAGGCAGAACAATCTTAAGCTGGTGAGGGATCTCCACACAATCTGAAACACTCCAGAGGTATTTTTCAAGGACAGTAGAACTAGCTCTGCATGTGTATTGAGGTTGTGCTTGTATATGATTATTCTGTAGAGAAACTATAAGATAATTAACAGAAAGCATTTGAGTACTGACCCAGTATTAGGCCATACTCTGCTTGATGCTAGCTGAATGGACTGATGTCACTGTCCCTGCCTTGAGGACTTGAGGGCTGAGTTTGTTCCTCAAAAGAAGCGAAACTGCCTTCAAACACAAGGCAGAATAGCCAGTCTATAATCTCCACCCAGGTATGTGCAGGATGAGCTCAAAGCTCCGCAAAACAGAAAAATGCGCCATCTGTGCATCTCAGTCCCCTTGGCATTTCTAAAATGTCTGTTTTGAAGGAGAGTCATGGAATTCTGGGCTAGCGCATTTTCCAAAGACAGACTGCCTGCGGGCGGCCCCTTTCCTCCAGGCAAGGTTGCCTGGGAGTGCTGGCCCATGTGCTTATGGCCTGTGTGCCTGTGCAGAGCCATGGGGGACTCATATGGTGACCCACAGAGCTCACGGCATTAGCACCACAGTGTCAGGGATAGAGGTCCCCTTGCTTGGTCCTGGAGGGTGACTGGATTATGTTCGTCCCTAGAGAATTGTTGAGTGCCTCCTGTGCACCTTCCAAGAGTTCGTACTCCAGTTGATCTATTACTGTTCACAGCCTCAAGCTTATTATTTAAAAAAGTAGAAAGTTAAGTTTAAAGCTGTCACATTGCCTACATGGGTGAAAAGTCTTTGCAGTCCGAATGTGTTCTTGTACTATGAGTAGAGTAAGCAAATTGCCCTGGTGAGCTTGCCTCTCACACATCTCTTACCTTTGCACACTTACCTTTGTATTTAAATTAAAACTTTCTCGCCCAAACCTTGATCTGTAACTGCTGCTGGTTCTAAGCTGTAGTAAAGGAATTATGATTGCATTTGATCTGTTTTCTGTGGCTATCATAGAATACCTAAAGCTGGGGAGCTGAAAAGAAACGAGCTCTATTTAGCTTGCAGCTTGGGAGGCTGAATGTCCAACATCAGGTGACATCCCTCTTGCCTGGGTTACAACATGGTAGAGGGGAATTTGCCTTGTGTGGATGAGGCTAGGTTTGTGGATTGGTCTGTTTATAATGACTTCTGCTGAGGTCTAACTCACTTTGGGAGACCAACATGAATCCCTTCCAAGGGCAGTGCCCCTGCTGATCTAATTACCTTGCCCCAAGCTCCCTCTCTTCAGAGATCTACTGCCTTGATGAGAAGCAAGTCTCAGCACTTGCACCATGGGGGGCAAAGAACATCTAAGCCACAGAAGTGATAAAGATCTTACAGTTGCATGCATTTTAGTCTTTAGACTTCTTGCCCCTTGCTTCATTTGTACGGGTTAGTGTGCCAGCTGGACTTTAATAGCAGAAATAGATGATCAGCTTCATATGTAGGTCTTCCTGAGTAAAATCTCTTACTCAAATATATAGTCATAGATATATGTGTATATAGATGCACATATATCTATGACTTATTGAGATAGAGACAGATAGATTATCAATCTGAATGTTTTAATAGCTGTACTGTTTATAGTGAAATAATATCTATTTCTTTTTAATCTTATCACTCTGGAAAGATGATCATAAAGCATTTTGCAGTCTATGTAGATTATATTTCTGTCATGACAACAAGTCAATTAGAACATATCTCAACATCTAAAAACTAGATAAAAGGTGAATCTCTTATTTATTCCATGACCTGATGATTATTGTGTTTATTGGCACTTGAAGATATAAGAGAGAGAAATCTCAAGGCCTTGGAAGCTCAGATACCTTGGTGATAGGAGTTGTTTTGAGTAAACAGTGTGTGGACAGGTGGCATGGAACTAAAACATTCATGGTTTCTAGCCAGGGACAGACTCATCAACAAATGTTGGCCTAACGCTGTCTCCTCTGCAAAGGTGCCCCAGCCAAATGGATGATAATGAAAAACATATGTCATTAATGTGTCATTGCTCTATAATTAAGGGTTTTAACCATACCTGTGGCTGTCGATATCAAAAATCTTACTATACAGGACCACATGATTATTTTCTCTTAATAACTCTCACGAGTTCTTTCCCTCTCCTAGATATTTTTCTCAGTTACTCTTCTCTCATTGCTGGGACAAATACCCAACACCCAAAATGAAGGCAGGAAAGGTTTATTTAGCTCACAGTTCCTGGAGGTTTTAGTCCATACTCAGCTGGCTCCAAGGCAGAGCAGCACGTGGCAGAGGGCAACCTTCCATGGTGGTGGTAAACAGCAAGAGAACAAATGGAGGCGTAGCAGCAGCCATGGCTACAGAGAGAGAGTCTGTCTCTCTTATATTGCATTCAGGCTATTGCCCCAGGCTGGGGAAGGTACACATACCCATAATCCCAATGGTACTAAAACCCATAATTCCTGTGGATCATGAGTTAGTCTCAAACTCTAGAAGTCCCCACCCCATGATTGCATGATGCTTTGGGGGGACAACTAGACACAAATCATAACAATATCATATTTGCAATTTCCAATCAAAATGAAAACACTTGATGTGCATAAAAGCTGATCGTTTCACTTTATGCCTGGTAGGAGTAGCACATGGTAGGAGTCTGATAAATGTTTGGTGAATGTCTGAATTATGACCCTGTACATTTCCAATCTATCAAATCACATCTAAGAGTTGAAACAGATCTTAAATATCATCCAAACAAAATGTCTTCCATTAAAATAATTTTTCACTAAAAAACCTACCCTATAAAATAACTATTTCACCCTCAGAATCATTTCCAAAAACCTTTGTAGTCCTCTTTTCCAGTGTTTCCCTCAACCCACAGATCCAAGGATCTAAACATCCCTGAGACTGACATTTCTAAGTAAGTGGCTACCTATCATCCCAGGCCATCTCTCTGCAGCCCAGGGGGCCTCGTTCTTATCAGACTTCTAAGCTCATGAGTAATGAGCCTGCTCCACTGTCCTGTAAGCCTTGGGGATGATGTGGAGAGAGCTACTATATTTAATTCATTTCATAGCCCATTGCCATTTGGTGGCTAATAAAACACAAAACCTTATATGGTCAGTGCACATGTGCAGCTAGCTGGGTGCTAGCTCTTGTAGGCCTCACAACTTTGAAAACACTTGCACCAATATTTTATGTTACTAGTGGGTATCTCACAGAGTCCAGATGACTAAGGAAAAAAAACCCATATGCTGGGCTGAGTGGCTGACTTAGGGTTTTCCAGTGAGAAAAGCAATAGCTTTGTCAAAACAGTGGTGATCAGGAGAGGGGAGGTGGCACCTGGGCCCTTGCTGAAGTCGGCTGTCTTGAAATGAAGTCACTAATTCCACACAAAGGGAAAAACTCACAAAATTCCTGATTTTGAAAACAGGAATCCACAAAGCTAATTATATGCTACTGTTACCAATAGTATAAGCCAGAATGGTTTGTTCATTTATGGTGAGTCATGCATTTCCAGCTAAGTTTCCAATGTCATTTATTTGATCCATTTAACTAAATTGTGACCTTTTAAAAGCTAATATAAATATCTCCACATTAAACCAGACGGCATGGCATAGAGTGGCTATAACCCCGGCTCTCTAGAAAGTTGAAGCAGGGAACACAAGCTGGGCCACTTAGCAATTTAATGAGAATCTTTCTTCTTTAAAAAAGGTTAGAGATGTAGCTCAGCATGAGGTCCAGGGCTTAATCCCCACTATCATAATAAATAAACCCATGTTAATTACTGGGAGATTGTTCTAGCAATTTTGCCCCATTGGAAGCCAGGAATACAATGTTCAGTATAGAACCTAAAGTTGTTTCTATGGTCACCACTTGTCCCTGTGTCTTGTGATTTGACCTAACCTGCCATCAGGAAGGAATGATGCCCTATGGGAAATAATAGCCCGCTTGTCCCCACATACAACCAGCTCATCGAGCAAGTACAAATTCATCCCCGAGACACTTATTTGTCTCTTTCCCTAAAGTATGGTTTTTATCACTTAAAGCTCTAAGAGCTAATATAAAGTCTTCCCACCAACCACATAGCCTTTATTCCAAATTAACACTTCTATTATATTTTAATTGACATGCAGTTGTACATACATTGGGTGTACAGTATGGTATTTCGATGCATCTAGATGATTGTAATGGTCAACCAGAAGTAATTGACATATCCATCATTTTAGACCCATGTCACTTTGTGACAATAACACATTTCTTGAGGTCCTACTAGGTACAAAGCATATATTGATCTATATAAGCTCATACCCAAGGCTCCAAGGGCAGAAACAAGGTTCCAGTCCTGTGGCAGCAAGTTGCCGTCATTGTGGAAGTGTTTTCATAAGCCCTTAAGACCAGAGAGCAAGCAGGTTGGGCCTCACCAGCTGACGATTGAAAACGCTGGGTTTTCCCATTGCAGTCCCAGATGGTTTAAATTGTTTGGGTTACATAAGACAGAATAGGAGTGTGCCAAACATTTCTCCTGGAATTAGCTTTTAGAATATGGGGAGTGTTTCCCCATTCCATGCTCAAGGGCACAGAGGTACTCCATGTTGGAGATACTTCATCAGCACTCACTCAGATGGCCTTTAGATAAGAGGCTCCTTCCATAAGAATCTTGTCAGTTAATGATACGTTTATCAACTTCTTTCAAGGTAGTGGACAGTATGTACCAGATAATACTTAGCTAATCAAGCTCCCCAAGTTTAATCTTATCTCTAAATAGTTCTTTTGCTAAAGAAAGTGATTGCTAAAGTTCTTTGCTATATGAGGTAAGATAGAAAAATCCAACGACTGCATTCCATGAATCCTCCTCCAGTTACTCCCTTCTGCGTGAAGACACATAGCCTAGCTTCTCGCCACTTCCTGAAGGGTTCCACAAGTCCTCTTTTTGGGAGTGTTTTTAATTTTGTTGTGTGGCAATGAGTTGGACAAAACATTCACCTTTTGGGACCACTTTGACTTTGGGGAAGAGCCAAAAGTTGCGTGGTGCAAATCCAGCAAAATCTGCTGGATGAGCATACGCAGTGCTTCTTCCAACCTGCCTTCCTGCTGGTGGCGCTCAGCAGCAGCATTCTCTGGGTTTGACATCACACCTCACAAAGAGGACTTCACAACAGAGGGCTTCCAGAGATGCTTCAGAAATTGGCAAGCATGATGGGATAGGTATGTATGAGGCAAGGAAAATTATTTTGAGGGAAACTAATAGTAACAATAGTAACTAGTAGTAACATTTTTTTCTATTTAAACACACACATTTTGATCATCCTTTGTACTTCTTAAGCTGTGTCTTTGTCATATCCAATAGCATCAATGAATCTCAAACCAAGATCTGCAGAATATTAGATCAATGCAGTGCACTTGACCTCTAACTTAGCAGTGAGATCTGGGTAAGCCAACCTTTCTCACCCGCACTTGTTTTATACCACTTCTTATCTTTTGCTGAGAACCCATTGGAACATCAAACTGGAAAACTCCTCTTGCAGAAAGGGCCTAATTTACACATGCATTCACTGTTATGGTTTAGATCTAAAATGTCCCCCAAATGTTTGTGTGGGGACAGGGGGTTGGATCATGGGAGTGGATACATTCATTGATGAGTTGGGTAGTGAAATGTGCTATTGGGAGGTGGAGACCTGGGTGAAGAGGGTCCCTAGCAGTGTGACCCCTCCCCTCTGTTCCTGGCCCCTCCCCTCTCCCCCTCTCCTCCCCCCTCTTCCCCTTTGCGCCTCCTTCCTGGTCTCCATGGATTGAGCACCTTTTCCTCTGTCATGCTCCTTTGCTGGCCTGGTCTTGCCTTGGAGACAGCCATCCATGGGCTAAAAACTTGAGCCCAAACAAACCTGTCCTCCTCTGAGCTGTGGGTGTGGGGTACCATGCCCCAGGGTTGGAAAAGTGGCTCACGCATACACAGAGAGATAGATATAGATATGTGTGCATGCACATTTGTTTCTGTCCTTTCCAGCCCAAATACAGGAGGCAGGAATGTCAGTTTCAGCTACCTTTTTTTTTTCCTTTAGAAAACTGTAATAATAAAGCTTTTGAAGCAAATCTGCCAGCTCTTCCACATTTTACCAGCCCTGAAGATTTCCCTTAACCTTTGCATGCCAGCTAGTGTTCAGAGAATTCACTCTATTATGGCAGTAAAAATGTAGTGATTGACTATCATCATTGGGAGCTAAAATAAGCCCCTCTGGAGTGCACGGGAGGGGTGTCATTTTCCACTTTTGTTTCCTTTTTTACCCATAGCCTGATTTCTTGCAGAAGGGGTCATTTTCACATCCTCATGCTTAGCCCTATAAACGTGTGCTAATGTGCGCAGCTGGCTTTGTGATTTGATATTGTTCTTCTAACCACATAGCGTAGTTGTAGCAGGCTGAGAAGGGCCATCGGTCTATGATCACGTGTGTGTGTGTGTGTGTGTGTGTGTGCATAGTGCAAGGCCTGGTGGGTGATGGGAGGACTCAGAGGATAAACGTACATCTCATGGCTCCCAAATCTAAAGAGGCAAAGCTACAAGCACACCATCAGACTTGGCAAGGGCAGTCCACTTAGTGGCTCTAGGTTTCTCATCTACAAGGGCACAAACAGACTGCAACCACAGCTTTAGAATAAAACAGTGTCTGTATTAGTAAGTTCTCAAAATGTGGTACCCAGACTGACCTGACAGCATTAGCAAGAACAAGAAATTTATTAGACACACAAATTCATGGACCTACCTTAGACCTACTGAGTCAGAAATCAGCCATCTGTGCTTCAACAAACTCTCCAGCAAGCAAACGCATGATCAAGTTTGAGGATGACTGTCTCTATATCTTATATACATATATTCATAACTAAGTACACATCATTTTGTATCCTTTTGTAGAAAGTGGTAGGGACCTTTTCAATGGATCTGATGCTCAGTGGGGGTGGTAGATTGCCCTCTGCAGGCCTCATGGAGAGACGTGGCAAGAGGACCTACAGATCCCTCTGAGCACCTTTTCCACCAGGCGTCATGTGGCTTCCTATGCATCTAAGAGTACTAGTCAACCGTGATTTGGATGTTGCAGAATTGCGCCGAACATATCTTCTGTGACTCACTTCAGATGTTATAGGTTGTCTTGGCAAAGAAAGCCATCAAGAAGGCATCCTGAAGACAGATTTGTTTGTCCATCTTAAGCAGTAGCCCCCTGTAAGGATGGGCTTCTTTCTCCTGGCTGGCCACTTCCTAAAGAAAACTGTGCACTAAGCTTCCTCCAAGGCAGGACAGCTATTTTAACAATTTAGTGTACAACATTACACCATTAAGGACAACAGAAGGCACATGTGGGAACCATGGCAACGTCAGGGTAGCCATGCAATGGGAAGTAAGTTCATGGCTTGAGGGCCTGAACTGTACATTGGCCTGAAGCATTGTAGGTGTGATGCTCAAAATTCACTTGGATTTATGTTGACATATTTATACTGTAAAAGGGAGAGGTATAGGGCTAGGACATGCATGTAACTACATAGAGAGAAACTGTCATGCTAGTCTCCAGACTTCTTAGCCAGGCATGCAGTGATTTTTGTCATTGCTGACAATGTTATCCTCCTCCACACAGCCTCCCCTTAAGCCAGAATGTACAACTAGATGTGCTGGATAGACTCTGTACACTTTATTAGACTACATCTGTCCTGTTCTCTGTCCATCACCTGCCTTCCCTTTCCCCTCCCCCTCCTTCCCTCACCATTTCCTGGGACCTAATTCAAATGCCACTTTCTCCATGAGGTCTGTTCTAACACTTCCTCTTCCACACGCCAACGGGCCTCATCCTTCTAGCTCTAGATGGTCCATCACTTTGTTCCTCTAGCAGTGCTTGTTGGGCTATGAATAGTTATAACTAGGGACACTTCTCCTTATCTGGTCTCCTTAGCCAGTGGGTTTCCAAAAGACCTATCCATATCTGGTCACTATCTCTTAAGCACCAGCCACTGCTGGTGCAACTAGCTAGCCATGTGACAAACACATGGATAGCTGCTAGGTATTCGATGTGTTTGGCATATGGCTAGCTAGTTGCTTAGCCATATCACAGTATGTGTTCAAGAGTTTAAAAAAAAATTAGAAGCAGGATGTGGAAAACAATTTGGTGGTTCTTCAAAAAGTTAAGCCTAGGATTATCATAAGACTTGCTAATTCTTGCTAATTCTCAGGTACATACCCCAAATAATTGGAAGTAGGGGTCTGAATGAGTAGTTGTATATAAATGCTCATGGTATCAAAGGTTGGAAACTATATGCATGCCCATCAACAGATAAATGGATAAAAAAAAAAAGATAAATGGATAAAAATGTGACGGATCCATTCATAGTGCCATACTATTCAACTAAATGAAGGAGATTTTGGTATATGCTCTAGCCTAGATGAACTTTGAAAGTATTATGCAAATAGAAGGAGCCATACAGAAAAGTATGTGCTCTATTTAGATAAAATATACATGTTTAAGTGCCTGCTGACACAAAGCAGTCAGGCTCAGGATGCTGTGGTTCGATCCCCTCATCCTCAAGCCAAACCAGACCTGCCCTGAAGGCATGCTGAGTGGTGCTCCCCCACCAAAAAAAATCCTTATATAAAATATACAGAATGAGTAAATCCATGGAGACAGGAGGTAATAATCTGGGGCAGAGGAGATGTGAAGTGATTGCTTAATGAGCATAGAGTCTCCTTTTGGGAGCAATGAATATGTTGAGGACCAGACAGGGTTGATGGTGGTACCACATGTGATTTCACCAAGTGCCACTGAATTATTTACCCTAAATTATTTATGTTATGTTATGCAACTTTTACCTTAGTTATACATTTCATTGTCTGTAAGAATATTTCCCTTTTCACTTTGGAGAAACTGAGCTGATCCTTTACAGGATGATGCAACATTTTATCCCAAAGATCGCCAGATCCTAGCGTAGATTAAGTATTGGTGACATCACCACAGTTCCTCCCTTATGTCCAAGTTGCCTGTGATGTCTAGCGTCACCCACAAATGATGAGACTGACAGGTGAGCCAGTCCCTGGCTGCTCCTACAGACTTGTATCGGGTGGGATTTTCATATCTTTTGTCCAGGGTGTCCTGCTGCTGAAACTGACTCTCCGTTTCCTGGATAGTGTCCACTGGCTTGGGGGGAGACAGATCCAGTGCCCTCCTGGAACCGCATTTTCCATTCACTTCAACTTGTGCTCTCAGTTCACAGGCTGAAGCCCGCTGACATCAAGGTCATTGGTGCCATGGGCGACTCTCTCACAGTAAGTTGCTCCAATTATAGAAGCAGGAGAGGAGGTTTTGATGAAATGAGAACATGGAGGGGAAAGGGAGAGAGGCTTTGCTCCCCTCTATCTGACGCTGCCAGAGCAGGTCCTACTCCAGGTCCCACCATTACCCCAGCCACCCCAGCACCTAGCAGTCCCTTCCTCTATGCTCCCAACTTGTTCCCCTCCCAAAGCCAACCTGCAGGGGCACCCAAGGGAGCATGGTTGACAGAAGTAACCCACCCTAAATCATCCAGCTCATCTGTGGTGGGACTTTGTTAGCTAGGTCTCGCAGCCATGGTGTAGGACATCTTCAAAGACCTGGTGCCATGTCTTGTTCACACAGAAGAGCTAAGGGAAGGTACCAGAAAGGAGAGAAGAGATACTAGGGCAGAAATGAATGCACTATGGGGAAGAAACAGGGGTCAGTGGGAGAGGTGGGGGTCCCTAAGCTGACCAAGCCTCATCTTTGCAAGTGCCCCACGCTCATACCCCAGACTTCACAAAGCGCAATCACAGAATAAGGTCCTTAGCCTGCATGGGGTAGGGAGTATCCCAGAGGTTTCTAGACACAAACTTTCATTCACTAGGCATTTGTTATAGAGTCAAGCTGTTGCCCTGGGTCAACCAAACACAGGTCTCCAGCTGGGCCCTCCCCAAGGACTGGCTGACACCTTTCATGTCTACAGCCTACTCATGGTGACATTCGCTCACTCAGTCTCCTCATGACAAAACCTGGCGGTGTCTCATTTTCCTTACACTCCAACAAGGAAGCTTCCCCCTTCTCAGCTTAAAGTGCTATAACCTGCAGAACTCTGAGATCCTGACCCATAGGGTGGATCCTATCCCTATATTACAGGGGCCTCCTCCATGACCCTCAGCAGCCCCTCACCCCAAAGGCCCTCAGCCCCTCACCTTCCAGGAAGGACTGGCAGGCTGGTCCCCGGCATATGCAGCTCATCCTACTCACTTCCTTTGTCCTCAATCCCCTGGTCTCCTGGAAGATGCTGTCAGAATAAGGAGGCATCAAAACCATACAGATGCTCAGGACTTTGGGGGCCAGGGGGGGCACCTTTGAGTGTGATGGATCTGGCAGGTGGCAGAAGAATTAGGCACCATAAAGTGGGGGTCACAGCTGGCTAATAGGGGGCAGTCATCAGCATACCATTTGGAATAGCTCTGTATAGAAATAACATGGTTCAGGCAAGGGACATATGCCTATGGACTGTGACTTAACCTAAAATCCCAGCACTCAAGAGGCTGAGGCAGGAGAATTGCCAAGTTCAAGCCTAACCTGAACTATGTAGTGAGAGCCTGTCTCAAAAAGCAAAAGCCCTATGCTTACTTCAGCTGGGTACTAAGTGCACAGGATTTCATGTTGTTCCTATTTTTAAACTGTACCTATGTGATAGAGATGTTTCCTTTTATAATGTGTCACAACTTTTAAAAATGGGAAACACAGGACTGAAATAAGTCCTTTTGAAAATACCTGCTGCAGCCTCAATCCTAGTGCCCCTTGCTCGCTGGCCCTGGCCCAAGCAGGTTCCCTAGGCTGAGGCAGTGCTGTGCACAGCACCAAGCCTTCATCTCTCTGCACCAAGACTCACTCTAGACAGCACCTAGCGGGGCCTATCCAGGACAAGGACGTGGATTTTCTGGCAGACGAGGGGCTGGGGAGACACCAGGAAAACCCACTTGTGTTGTTCCCTCTCAGGCAGGCAATGGCGCTGGGTCCAAGCCTGGGCACATTCTGGACGTCATAACTCAGTACCGAGGCCTCTCCTGGAGGTGAGATCCCCCGAGCCCTCTAGCCAGTAGTGCCTCAAGCAAGGGGTAGACCAGTAGTTGTTTTCCACGGCCAACTTCCAGGTTCGCTTTGAGAAAGGTACTTAGCAGCTTCCCCACACCACTGTGTTCTCCAAAACAGGAGGCTGAGATGGGAACAGGAGGAGTTCGGAGGAGAAAGTACATAAACGCTTGGGTTGGAAGTGCTGCTCGGCCTCCCATTTCTCCCCCTGTGACATAATCTCAAAAGGAGGCAGTGGCCTAATGATGAATGTGTCTTGGCCTTTGGAACCAGAGTCGTATCTGAACCCCGGCTGCCTGGCTATGTGTGACCTGGGCAAGTTAGTTCTCTGAGGTAGTCTCCTCATCTCAGACACAGAGAATATAATACTCCCTGAGAATTGATGGGGTGAGAGGGAATATAAGGGCCTACCCCAGTGCCTGACACAAAGCAGATCTAAATGGTAGCTGGCATCAGGATTAAGTGGCATTCACTGTAATAAGGCTGAGAGGGCAAATAACCTGCCGAGATCACACAGCCGGATGTTAAAAGAACGAGAAGCAGAGCAGCTGGTTCCTGGCCCCAGTCCAGCACACTGCCCTACCGTGTATTGCTTCATGCAGGCAAGAGTCCTGCTGCGATTATGACCCAGGCGCTGCTGAGAGCTGCAGCGGTCAGGACTCCTGCGAGTGCTGAAAGGCCCACCGGGGCACCTTGGGGCTTTCCTTGGCCTGCTGTGGGGCGTGTCCCTCTCTCAGCATCAGTCCTAGTGAGTGTGCAATCCTGGCACCTCCTTCCATGTCACTGCAGAGTTAATGGTGACAAACATGGCCTGTGTGCCACAGCCAGCTGTTTGTTATCGCTAAAGCTCTACACAGTTTGCCACATCCGTTTTAGGTGTGCCCCGTCGGGCTGACAGTGCGGAGGGATGTGGAAATGCAGACTCCACTTAACTCTGGACTGCTGAGCATTTTCTTGACTAGAAACCCATCCACCTTGGATCTCTCTGGAAGCAGCACATCCTTGAAAAGATGTCTTTTTAAAAAGTCACTTTTCCTAAGAGAAAGAGCAAACCAAAAAAAGAAAAAAATTAAACTGTTTTCACTGCTAGTGACAATATACAGCTGTAGTGGTTAATTGGGGTGGCGGCTGCGGGAGGGCCACTCTGACTTTGGAAGGCTGAGTGCCAGGGACTTAGTTCCCCCTGCCTCGCAGCTTAAAGGAAAAGAAAAACGAAACCGAAAGTTTAAACCCGTTTGTGTTTTGTTTTGTTTTGTTTTGTTTTGTTTTTGCTGTTGTTAGGAGGTTCTCGAGTGCACCTAGAGTGGAACGGGGCTGTTGTACTTTGGTTTGCTTTTCAGTTTTTGTGCCAAAATGGTCAGGGAAGGGCAAGCCCTAGGCTGTCGATTGATTTGTCTTGATCCTGTCTGAGATGCTTTATCACCGTTGACATTCTAAATTTTAGTGTTTTTTGTTTGTTTGCTTGTTTGTTTTGTTTTTCTTGGTTCTCACAGTGTCGGCGGTGATCACAACATCAGCTCGGTGACCACTCTGGCGAGTGAGTACTCGGGGGCTGGCTGGGGGTGCTCGCTGGGTGCGTGAACGTTGGTGGTGCCGGCTGCAGGGACAGCTGCGTGCAGTAGGAGGCGCTGCTTCCCCGATGCTGCCACCCGGGCTCTGCTCCCTGAGCCAGATTAAAGCCTTAGTTTAGTGGAGTGGGGGAAGTGGAGGAGGGGCGGGGAGATGGTTGTTTTTTAAAAGAAATTGTCCTTGTCCAACGAAAGAAGAAAGAGGGAAAGAGCTCAGACAAAATCTTGGAGTCAGTAACAGATGATTCGTGACAAAAGAAAAGGGTTTTGCCCGGCATTCTGCTCAAAGCAACATGGGGAGGCAGGTGTGGGCTGCTGAGGTATCACCACTCACGGCATCGCATTCAGTGTGTCACAGCTGCAAGACATGAGGTTACCTTGTTCAGGTTTTCCAGACATAGCCGTATTTGGGGCTCCTTAATAACATCTGCAGCGACCTCTTGGTTGTTGCTTGGTTAAAAGCCTATGATCTCTGAAGGGTCTGGTCTTACTAACTTTTTCTTTTCCATTACTGGGGAATTCAACCCAAGGGATGATGAGCTATATCCCTTGCTCTTTTTATTTTGTTTAATTTAATTTATTTATTTATTGCGGAACCAGGGATTGAACTCAGACGCTTGCACTTGCCAGGGAAGCGCTTATTCCACGGAGCCATCTCCCTGGTCCCTTATTTTATTTATTTTGAGACAGGGTCTTGCTACATTACTCTGGCTGGCCTCCCTCATGAGGCCTCCCAAATAGCTGGGGTTACAGGTGTGCACCACGGTCCCCATCGCTCCATCTTTTTGTTCTTTTCAGTACACACCATAATGCTTATTCATAACATACAACCACAAGAGATGCTAGCATTGAGCTCTTTCCCTTTAAAATGTGCTGGCTGATAATTTTGCCAGAGAGAAATTTAATTGGTCTCATTCTCATTAACTTTTCTGACATATATCTATCCTTTGGTCCTATATCTTTAGGTGCCAATAAATTAATTGAATTTTAAGTCTGAAAGACTTTGACAATAAGGAAGCTTAATCTCGACATAGGCAGAACTGACTCAACTTCACATTTGCTGTCTGTTTTGGTGGTTGGCAAATTGTGTTGTATTTAAATTGGTACAGTTCTATTTTACAAGTACTCCCTGTCCTTTTTATTTCTAGTTCTACACACAAGAACTATAAATAAGCTCCTCTATTGCTGAGAAATAGTTTGGGATGCTTTTCTGGGTGTGATGAACTTAGCTTAGAGATGGCCTGGCGTACAGGCTTTCCCCTTCCCAGGCCATTACTGTAGCCAAGACATTTGGAAATCATCTGGTTCAAGATCTTCCACCAGAGTGATTTATAAATAACTGAGACAGTGTCACCCTTCAGTGCAGTCCCTGGACACACTTAGCCCGAGGGAATGGTGGTGTTCAGACTCTTGCTAGACTCATTTGATTCTATGGGCCAAATAACCCAGAGGAAGATATCTACATGAAACCTGTTCAAATTTTATGAGAATGTAAAGATCAGAACAAAGTCTTTGCCCAACACCCTGTTCAGTTTAATCCAGTGCTGGCTGCTTGGGAAATAAAACAGTGCTCTGAAAGTATCACTTAAATATCTTTGGGGGAATGGCTCACGAAACATAGACACAAGAAGAGATAATTTTAGCCACGCATACAACTTAGGGAAAATAAGAAAGAAGACTGTAAACACTGTCTTTGGAAAAAAAAAAAAAAGCCTCAAGAACTGGATTCCATCAGGTAAGGGAAGGGGATGGAATGTTCTTGGCAGAAATCACTGCATGTACCTGCTAGTTCTTGCCCCATCCAGTGTAGAATTCATTTCTATGATATTCCTGCCAAACAGCTAGATAGCCTGTGCTCAATTTCTCCAGTAATAGGAAATCTACCCCCTCCCAGAACAAATCATTCCATTTTTAGATCGCTCTGATTCTGCTGTTCCTTTCTCTATTGAGTAAATACCAGACACAGTTGTAATCCATTAGTGCAGTGTGCTCACAGCCTCAGAAATAAGTCCAGTCCACCTGTGTTGAGCAGACTCTACAGTAGTTCTCTAGAAAGCAACCTGCTTGATGGGATGAGCCCTAAAGTTCTGACTGACACCCAGTCAGTCCCTTACCCACCTAGTAGGTTGTGGGACATGGTACAGTGCTCTGTGTTGGAATTAAGACCCTAGGGTTCTAACCAAGGGTTCCATTCTCAGTGACTGTATGATGCTAAACAATTTTTCTACCTTGTCTAAACTTCATTTTATTCCTAGTGTTCTAATTATTCCTAATTCAGTTCACAAATATTTATTGAGAGGACATGAGGCCCTTGGGTTTATACAAACGCTGCTTGGAGGAGTTCTTGGTCAAGTTGCGGGAATAGAGAAATGAAAAATCAAGTATAGATCCAGTATAGGAAAGGCCAAGAAATGAAATAACCTAGATGAAATGGTTAAGTGGATCCTAAAAAAATACAAGCTACTGAAATGAAATCAATAAGAAATAGCTGGGAATGATAGTACATTCCTATGATCCTAGGTACTTGGGAGACTGAAGCAGGAAGATCACAAATTCAAGCCTAGTGTGAGAAATTTAGTAAAACTGTGTATCAAAATTTAAAAAATAGCTCAGCTGATTAAAGCGCCTACAAGCAGGTGCAGGGGCTGGGGGTTTGATCCCTTGACCTGCCATACTGGCCCAACCCCCAGTGGCCCTGAGACGGCAATTGACTGGGCATGGTGGCGTATGCCTGTAATCCCAGCTCTTGGGAGACTGTAAACAGGTGGATCACTACGAGCCCATTCTAGTAGTGAGACCCTGAACACCCTGTAGACCCTTCCCTAAAATACAAAGAAAAAAAAAAACAGAAATGCAATACTAGCGTATGCTACCTCAGCAGTAAACTTGAAGACATGCTGAGTGAAAGGTACCAGTCCCAACAAACATTTTGTATGATTTCATTTTTAGAAAAGGTCCACAATAAGCAAATCTTCAGACAATAAATTAGTGACAGGAGTGTGGACTGAGTGTTAATGCACACAGGATTCCTTCTAGGGAAAAAATGGGTAAAGTGACCTGAGTGTGCACAGGCATAATTATGTGCACATGCATAATCCCAGCACTCTGGTAGGCCAAGGCAGAAGGATGGAAAGTTCAAGCTCAGCCTGGGCAACTTCAAGCTTAGCAAAATCCTGTCTCAAAAGTTAAAAGGTGGTACTGGGGTTGTAACTCAGTGTGAGGTCTTGGGTTTAATCTCCATTACTACAAGAAAAAAAAAAAAAAAAGCAAATAAAAATAAATAACAAAAATTAAAGGTGACTGTGGTGATGGTTCACAGTTACAAACATACTTCAAGGGGCAGGGGAGCTGGCTCAGTAGAATAAGCGCTTCCCTGGCAAGCGCAAGGGCCTGAGTTCAATCCCTGGTTCTGACAAAAAAAAAAACTTCAAAGCTATATAGCTGTATACTTTTTAATTGGTATACCTTATGGTATGAATTATATCTGAGTACAGCTTTATATATTGAGAAAAAGGCAAAGATGCTTGAGAACAATTGCCTAACCTTGACTAACATTTATTTATTAGTAACTTCCTCGTCCCCTACTCTATGTTGCCCCTGTGGTAAGACATCAGCCTGCTGAACACTTTATTCTCAGGTTGGGTGACCTGAAAAAGAACCCTGCTCTGTCCCCAGCCTCCAGGGACATTCATGAAAAGAACTAAAGATCACTTTAGGCCAGCTACTAATCAAGTCTCTTCCTTATGCTTCCAGACATCCTCCGGGAATTCAACCCTTCCCTGAAGGGCTTCTCCACTGGCACTGGTAGAGAACACAGTGCAGGAGCCTTCTTTAACCAGGCCGTGGCAGGAGCCCGTGCTGAGTGAGTCAGGACACCCCGTGGGGAGGACAGCGCAGACCCTGGTGGTCAGGCTCAGGGAGGGGCCTGGACTGGGAGCATGGTCTGGAGGAGGGGCCTGAGCTGCAGTCTGGGCAGGTCTCCGTGTTCATTGCTGTCAGACACAGAAATCTGCTAGTGTACCCCCAACGTTACCCCCAGGAACTAGTGACAACTAACTCTGACGTCTGGCACATGCTTCACCTTGTCTGTTTCTCGTGTACGCACTGCGCAGTAGCTATCTGAGGGTGCCCTGGAAGCCCCAGCTGTGCCTGTGTCAGGCTCTGGGTTAGAGCCCTGCCCTCCCTCCCCTCCTCATAAGGGCTCTGCACTTCGTCTGTATCCTTCCTGTCTCACAGGAAGAGCAGCAGCCTGGAATGGGAGGCCCTGAGTTCGAATCCTGATTCTTCAAATTCTGGTTTCTCTAAAGAGGGGCTGCCTGTGAACCTCCCTTATCAGGGCATTGGAATGTCCGAACACCTCTTCAGAGCAGAGGTTGTGCTGAGCTGTGCACACAATGGGCCAGGATGGAGCCCCAGCGATGGCGCATCAGGGCTGCAGGGCATGCCTGGGGGAACTGCTAGGGAGCACCATGACGACCATGGGGCTGTGCTCCATGGCGCTGAGTCCCCAAGAGTAAGGCAGGTAGCTTTCTTGGTCCCGGGCTCGGTTGTGCTGCTAAAGTCCAGAACCTGAGCACACAGCCTGGGGTTTGCCGCCCGGACAGAGAACAAGTATGTGCCACACCCCATTAAAGAAAAAGAAGTGGAGAGATTCTTTCTGCTTAATCCTATTTTTTCTCCCAAAATAATACAAATCTCGCTTTCCGTGTAGTTCCTAGGATTCCTGTGGTTCGATCCTTAGGTTCCCTGATGTTCTCCTCCCTCCTAGCCCCATCCTGAGGTTACAGACCACTTCAGTAGCTTTCCCATGTACTCTGACAGGAAAACTGGGTTATACAAAGCTGGCCAGGTATGACCGAAAACCGACTGATTTACTGCTTTAAATTTTTTACTTGTTTTAATATGGCCATGATTTTGCTTCTCCCAAGCTTACGTCAGCTGGTGGTGTGAGAGAGGCAGTGTTGCGTATGATCAGGTCAGAGTGGAGTCTCAGAGCAGACAGTTTAGGAGTAATCAAATGAGCGTCTCCCTCAGAGTGAGGGACGCATGCTCAGCTGTGCACGACACGTCTGTGTAGACTTCCATTTGCCTTGAAGGAGCCTAACTTGAAAAGAAAAACAAAGGAGATCATCAAATATGTCAGCCACAAAACAGTCACAAGGAGTATCACTCCTTAAATGTGCAGGTCCCTGCCCTTCCCAGGCATGGCTCCACCTTCCTTCTCCTCCCCTTCCCCCTCTTCCACTCCCCCCTCTTCCCCCTCTTCCCCCTCTTCCTCCTCTTCCTCCTCTTCCTCCTCTTCCCCCTCTTCCCCCTCTTCCTCCTCCCCCTCTTCCCCCTCCTCCCCCTCCCCCTCCTCTTCCTCCTCTTCCTCCTCTTCCTCTTCCTCCTGCTCCTCTGTGGAGCCCCTATGGGGAAGGAGGTCTGCGTACTGGCCCTCGGTCCTGTTTTCATGCAGGCCCCCTCCCAAACACACACTGTCCAATCTTTCTGCTAAGTTCCCTGCCCGTTCCTGCCTCTCACCCAACTTCGTCCTGTGTGTGCTCACAGGGGTTTGACTGCCCAGGCCAGGAGGCTGGTGGATCTGATGAAGAATGACACGGTGAGTCTGGAGCAGTTGGGGAGGAACTCCCAGAACAGGAAGTGTGTAGGAGAAAGTTCTGGACCCAAAGAAGATCAGCTATGGGCTAAGGGGTGCCTGTGAGCCAGGCCAGTTGCCTAGCAGACACCTCGGAGGCAGGGTTCTCATTCACCTATTTAGTCCGTGAGCCACCCAGCTGCTTGAATTAGACAGCATGAGTTGGGCACTGGGCTGGGGTCAGGGCTTGGAATACTCAGAGGACTACGACACCAGTCTTTTCGGGGTACATGAGGAGACTGACGTGAAGGATGAGGATTCATAAATAGTTGCTGGGTGTTACAGAAAGAAGACTATGTGTAAGGAAGAATAGGGCACAGAGGAAGGGACCGGCAGTGTGCTTGGAGAGCCCAGGAAGGGTACAGAGACGTAGGACCTAGGTCCTGGAAGAAGCACATAAGGTTATTCCTCAAATGAAGCAGATTCTCAATGCAGACTTTATGTTGTAGCTGTTCCTGGGTGAACAAAATATTGAAAGAGATGGACCGGGATTTATTATTCTGTATATAAGTGAATGTGCTGTGAGGCCTATTATTAGGAGGTTTCAGAGTATTTCCATTTTCGTGTCAATCTTTTCTGAATTTTGTTTCCATCTTTCTCCCTCCACCTGTCTTGGAAGCATAAGCCAGAGGCAAAGTTATGTACAGTGGGGACAACATAAGGGGCTGTGAAGGCCACACATCTCCATGGCCACGGCTTTTGGAATGTGTATGACCACATGCCTTCCACCAAGCCCTGTGATTTCAGATGCTTTCCTGGTGCCCCACGGAGGTGGCAGGTGGCAGGGGCAGCACGGTATTTGCAGAGCACACACTTGGTGCTGCTGTGCTGCTCTCTCTAGCCTCCCCAGCCGGATGTGTTCATAGGGTCCAGATGTGTGGACCAGCTGAGTTTGCAGGGTTCCCTCTTAATGGAGGGTGGCCCTCCCCTCCATAGGCAAAAGGAGAACTTCAGATTTCTAGAGAGTTCTAGAACAAACCTTCCTTTCCCAGGGTCAGCTCCTGGGCCGGGATCAGCACCCCTTTCCTCCACCCATTCACTTGCCATGCTACAGAAGGGGCACCCATGCTCAGAGGACATCTGTGAGTTGGAATCTCTGAGCGGTGTGACAGTGTGTGTAGAAAGAGCCATGTGGAAGTCCAGGACCCCATGCAAAATTCATGAAACATTTACTATCTGTGACCTTAGCCCCCCAAAACTAGCAAACAAAATATGAATACCCATCGGATTCTCTGACATGTGGGGACTTATCCCCTCCAGTCAGCGGTTAGCACTGTGTGTTTTTCTTGACCCTTTTACTTATTTGTTTCTTGTTCATTTCAGAGGATAAATTTTCAGGAAGACTGGAAGATAATCACTGTATTCATAGGAGGCAATGACCTCTGCGACTTCTGCAATGACCCGGTAGGTCTCTGGGCCTTTCATCAACCCTCACCCAAAGGAAGGATCTCCATGGTCCGGCTGCTGGCTCCTGGAGCAGTGCAGCTGGGTCAGGACTTGGTTTGTAGCTTGGCTTGGAGCCAGTCTTGGAGGAACCCTGAGACCCAGAAGGCTCTCACCCCCCAGGAGTGAGGGAACAGGTAAGCAGGACTGGTTACAAGACTGATCCTGAGGAAGGGACATTTTCTTAGCAAGAGAACTTTATCAGTCTAGAAACCACGATAATATTCTAGCAATCCAGAAAAGCTTGCCTGCTCATAGATAAACAACTGCCTTCCCCAGCACATGCTAGGTCCAGCCTTGTGCTGTCACTTGCACAGAGAAAAGTTGGTTTCCTATGAAAGCATCTAAGGCAAGGTTCAAAGGCCCGTCATTCAAAGCTGATGGGAAGCCCAAGGTCAAGGCTGCTGTTCCGGGGGTTCTGTGCTTCCTCCTGGAACCCCAATATGTCTGAACTAAAGAAACCACGCTGGCTGTGCCACCAAGCCTTGCACTCATGTTGTGCCAGGCACTGCTCTAAGCATAAGCAAGGGCAAGTGAGACACGGGCTCTGTCCTCGAGTGGCTGGCCCTACCAGTGAGGGACATATAGGCACTGTATCATAACAGAAGAAGGACACCACCATGTGGTTCTGGTGACGCATGCTCTGGGCTCTGAAGTCAGAGCTGCTGTGAGAACTTTGCCTGTCTGTGGGGTCAGGTGCAGTGCAGGAGACTTTCCAGTGGAGGTTCCAAAACAAGTGTTTTGGGCAGGCGGAGAGAACGGGACCAGCACACTCAGGTGTAAGAGGTGGTGACCCTACTGCTGCCTGTGAGCAGCTACCCAGAGGGGCGCCCTGTCCCCAGGTCCCTTACAGCCCACTTGCCTGTCGTCAGACTCATCTGGGGCCATGCAATTTCAAGCTGTGATCCTGAAGGCTCCACAGGAAAACCAAGAGTCTGCTAGGGGTGGGGGCGCTGGGACCATGGGCCCAATCCTAGCTCTGATCCCCTTCCTAGAGCCAGGGGTCTTGGTTAGATTTCAGTCAGAAAACAAGGTCTGCTGCTTTTCCTGAAAAGTTAAAGGCAACATATTGCAGTGATTGTGCATACCGGAGTTAATAGCACATTTCGTATGAGCTGTCCTGTGTGTCCAACAGACGAGTGCATAAAGAAAATGCGGTATCTATACATAATAAAATATTAGTTGGTTAGAAAGAAGGATAAATTTGAGCCATTTATAGGAAATGGCCACACCTCATACACCTAGGACACACAATGTTAAGTGAAATAAATCAGACACGCCAACTTAAATGCCATGGTTCTCTGATTGGAGCAACATAAAGTACAAATGAAGAGAAAAATAAAAGATTAATAAAAGGAAACAGGGAAGTAGATCTTTTGCAAATGGGAAGAGGTCCAAGAGACTGAGCGGAAAGGGGACTGGAAAGGGGAGGGGAAAGGGGAGGAGACGCAGAGAGAGTTAGGATGAGTCTTGTGCATGTGCCAGGTGCTCACAGTTACTATGAATGTGTTGCAAGCATGAACTAAAACTAATAATGAAACTGGGGAAAGAGGATCAAGAGAGCAAGGTATGTCGGTGGGGCAGGGGAGGGGACGAGAAAAGAATGAAGATGAGCTATATACATGCGCTCACTCCCTGAGATGAAAGCAAAGCAATGTGCTAATAAAATATTTTTTTTAAAAAAAAATATAAAAGCCACAAATATCAAGACCAGCAGAAATAAGAGCTAACGTGTATGCTTGCACGAGGATGTCCATAAGACACTTTTCTTCTCCTCCTACTGTCTCCTCAAGGCCCTCTCCCAGGAGGTCGCTGCCAGGAGATGAGGCCCCAGGCAGAAGCAGTGAGGTCGTAGGACCAGAGACTGTTACCACTGCAGGAATTCTCAGGCCCTGCTCGCAGCTGTGTGTTCCAACAACCAAGCCTGCCGCTGCTTTAGAGGGACCCAGGGATGTGATGTGCGTTAGCTAAGGCTGTATATCTGGTTAAGATGAGGTAGATGCAGAGCTGTCTCTAGCTCCATGCAAAAGACAGAGCCTTTCCCTGAGGGTCACGTGACAGGTCTGAGGATGTGGGCTGAGGTGAAGGCTGGGGTCCCCAAAGACAAACCCTCTCTTCTAATATTGTCCGCTGACTGAGCTACAGGAAGAGGAAGAGCCCTGGTGGTAGAGAGAGAGGGTGATGAATGGGGCTCAGAATGCATTTCTCATCCTGTAGGTCAACTCTTCCCCCCAGAACTTCACGGATAACATTAGGAAGGCTCTGGACATCCTCCATGCTGAGGTATGGGGCTGGGATACATCCTTCGAGAGGCTCCACAGCCATTGGCTTGGGCTGAGGTGTTTTGCTGAGACTTCCCTGGAAGGTCCCTTTTGTCTGGTTCCCAGCAATCTGAATGTACAGTGTCAGTGGGGAGCAGAGAAAAGGGAGCAGGAAGGGATGAAAGAAGTGGGTGGACCAGATGGAAATGTCTGGCTTAGAATTCTGGGAGAAGAAGGTGCAGGCCCATGTGAGAGGCTCTGTCTAGCTGTCCAGTTCTGCTTTTTCACAGGTTCCTCGGGCATTTGTGAACATGGTGAAGGTGCTGCAGATAGTTAACCTGAGGGAGCTGTACAAGGAGAATAAAGTCAGCTGCCCACGGCTGATCCTCAGGTCAGAAAGAAGCTTCTTTCTCCTTGTTCTCTAGAGGGCCATAGGCCCTTAGCAGGGGTGTGTGTGTGTGTGTGTGTGTGTGCATGCGCGCGTGTGTGTGCGCTAGTGCACGTGCACGCATGAGAGAGAGAGAGAAAATAAATGAGAGAATGAGAAAGAAAATGAGAGAAAATAAGAACACAGACAAAAACCAGAGCAATCTGATGGAGGGCCATCCCAGGACTTTTGACCCCAGTATAGACCTCAGTTACTTCCCTCTGGGTGCATGTAGTGTGGTGTGGAATCTAACCCTGCCACTGTTGCCATAGCAGTCAAGCACATCCCCATTCCCATCATCCTCCAGGGGAAGGAGAGCAAGATGTCAAGGATGAAGTCAGGTCATGTGGACAGGGCTCAAAAAGCACTCAGGCTGCTATGCAGATCTACATCATGGTATGTCCAGAGCACCTCCATTCCCTGACAGACAGTGCCTTTGGTTGGCAGGTGTGCTCCAGAGGCAATTGACACTTCCTAAAGGATCAGATGACCAAGTCAGAATTGGCATGGTCAGAGAATAATCCTTCCTAGAGAACAACCACCTTGTGAGGCCCTGTGAGACCAACTTTAACCCTCAGCCTCCACAGCTAAACAAAGATGGCTGCCTCCTTCTTCTAATATACATTTCTGTGACTTTGGGGAATAAGATGCTTTTATAACCAAAACATGACTGTTTCCATAGAATTCCTTCCTACAAGTCCTCTGGACCATTACCCAGGTCACAGTGGCAGTGCAGTTCCCCCCCCCCCCAGCCTTGACACACCATGAGGTAATTAGTCATTACCACCTGGTAATTATCCCCCACAGCCTGGGAACTATGAGTCACTGCTAGCACAGTGTAGCTGCCCCACAGCTGCTTGCTGAATGACTGAATGAATAATTCACAAGGGCTAGCCTTGCTCTTGGAAAGTAAGACTGACTTTGGCTGATGCCCTGAAGGTCCATGCCCAGTCTTGCCTGAGGGCCTAGATCCACAGGTCCCGCTGAGAAGGCCCCAGGGCAATGAAAGCAGAGACAGGACGGCTGTTGGGTGACACGCGCCTATTAACAGAGCTGGTGTCAGGCGTGCTATTTTCAACTGCTGACGCATCCCCTGGCTCCTACTTTCCCAGTCACTACTAGGCCACGCTGGGGTTGCATACATTCATCCTATTTCAGAGCAGCTCTCCAGAAAACCTCTTGCTCCTGGTTCCCTGGGGGTTGCAGACCATTAAACCTAAAGGTTCAAAGAGTCCTTCGCCAGCCAGCTCCACTGGAAGACCTGACATGGCCAAGTCGTTGGATGTCAGAGTCAGATAGATTCAAGGTCACCTTGCCCTTGACACTGCAGTGCTCTGCACTCCCTGCCTCTCTTTTCTGTCTCAGGGGCTGAGATGTCATCAGTGATGCTGGCTCTACACCGAGCCATTTGCCCTGATATCACCTTAGCTCCCTGGACCAAAAGCCCAGACTTGGCAGAGGATGGAGCAGAGCTACAGACTAGACAGAGGCAGTTTAGTATAGTGGTTTAGTGCTCCAGTTTAATTGGGCGTGATGCTGCCTACCTACAATCCCAGCACCCTGGGAGACGGAGGCAGGAGGATCTCAAGTTCAAGCTCAGACTGGGAAACATAACAATTCAGTGAGACTGTCCGCACCCCACCCCCCAAATTTAAAAGGGCTGGGGATGTAGCTTAGTACCAAGACCCTGGGTTCAATCCCCATTATGACAACAACCATAGCAAAAACTCTCAGGTCCAGAGCCAAAGGGACTTGAGCTTAATTCCCTGCTTTCACACTCAGCACACACATGGCTACGTGATCTGAAAGAAATTACTTAACCACTCTGAGCCTCAGTGTTCTTCTCTATAAAATGGAGAAAATGATAGTTCAACTTCTAGGATAATTATGAGGATTAAACAGATTATAACCCACAAAGCTCTCATTACACAGTACCTGATAGTTACCATTCAGTGTATATCAGCAATTATTATTCAGAAGGGGGCGCACCTCTGTAGGCATTGTCCCCAGACAGCTACAAGGTGAGCCAGCTCCATGCAAGTCACTCCTCCTTGTACAGACAGATGTTAGAAGCAGCTGTCTCATTTTCAAGAGCAATCCAGGTCAGGGTCACTGTCTTCAGTGCCCTTTGGCCCAGTGCACAAGTTAAGCATCCAGGCCTTCCCTCAGCAAGGATTCCTGGTGCTTCCAACTGAAAGAGAAATCTCTTCAGAGTCCCGAGCCGTGTTTTGGCATGACTGACCTCAGGGTGGGGCATCTTGTGGTTTGGCCTGTAGATCCCTGTGTCCTTGTGTCCTGAAGTTTGCTGACAACTCAACAGAACTTGACTCCCTCATTGACATAAACAAGAAGTATCAGGTAAGCCTGGAGGGGCCCACTGTGTCAGAGAAGGAACAATGCTGAGGCACTTGAGCCCGGTGATGGGTGGGGGATAACCCCTGGCCAGTGTAAAGACAGATGGGGGGAGCGGGAAGGGCGCCGCAGTTCAGCTAATTTGAATGAAGCTACAGAGGCAAACCATAAGACATGTTCCACCGAATCCCAGTTCTTGGCCTTTACATGAAAATGAATACTGCCACTTGTGACAGACAAGGGGGTATTGTCTTAGTTACTTTTCTTGTTGCTGAGACAAAATACCTAACTCTCAAAGTTAAAAGAGGAAAGGCTTATTCAGTTCACAGTTTGTAGAGGTTTCAGCTCATAGTTAGCTGGCTCCAAGGCAGGGTGGCATCGCGTAGCAGGCAGCCAGAAGGCAGCAAGCTACAGGCAACAACAGCAGCTCTTTTCTGTCTTACATTTTATTTAGGCTACCCACACTAGCATGAGTAGATTCACATTCTTAATCCTAGCATCACAGGTGAATCAATCCCAATGTCACATCTTTGACCCCAGCATCACGTACCCTAAGTCAAGGCACTTCTGCAAAGCCCCTCCTTTGACTGCATGAGGCTTTGGGTGGACGTCTAGATGTAAGGCAGAAAAAGCATCAAGGAAAGAAGTCTTGGTGTGCATCTGCCTAGAGCCACACCCCAGCTCCTGGGTGGGAAGTGGAAGTTGCAACAGCTCCTCCCTAGGTCTTGAAGGTCTCAGAGGGATATCCAGCCCTCCTCTACATCCCCTCCCAGGAGCAGGTGTCCCTACAGAGCACCAGCAGGAGAGCTGACAGCTGGCCTGCCTCGTAGACTGGTTCTTTAGTCCTTTTGTCATCTAATCAACCAGGCAGCTGACTCCCTGGAATATCTTGAGTTTCCCCAAAACAATCAAAGGGAACATGGTGGCTTTGCTGTTAGAGTGGGCTGCTAACAGCTTGCAGAGGTAATCCATCCTTCAGAAGCCCATGGACTACATGGATAGAAGCACTTCCCTGCAGCTTCCTCTGGAGGCAGCCATACCTTCTGGGTGTGTCAGAGACTCAGAGCAAAGAACCGTTGTTTACCCTGTCACCACTGCTCAGCCCTCTGGGGCCTCCTCAGTTGTACTTCCTTCTGCCACAAGTGGGCACCTGTCACAGCAGTGAGCAAGTGCACACCCCACAGCTGGAGAAGAATGGCAGCTGAGGTTATGGTCAGGAGAACAGCCCTGTGCTGGGTGGAGTTCTTGGGTGCCAGCAACAGAAGCTCATGCAGTCTGTGGCTAATTTAATGTTTCAGCAGAGTCGCAGAAGAGTTAGAGAGCTAGCCAAGGCTGGGGGCTGAGCCACCAGGAATCAGAGTCATAGGTTCCTAGGGGCTGAGCTGTAAGCTTCAACATCAGGCCAGAAACCTTACCAGAGTAAACATCGCAGACAGCACTGTCACTCCTGCTTCCAAGAGCCAGTGATGGCTACCTTCGTCAGCAGAATGGACCCCGGCCTGCCCCTGAGGTGGGGTTTGGATGGGGACCCCCTTCCTAGGCCTATGCCATAGTTATAAAGAGGGCTGTGGAAATGAGCTAACTTTCCCAGATTCTCCATTAAGAGGCAGGCTGTTCTTCCTACAGTGGGGGTTTTCAAACATAGGAAGACTAAAGAGACTAAAAGAAGAAATAAAGACCTGTGAGTTCTACATGTGCAGATTTAGCCAACCACAGATGGAAAATATTCAGGAGAAAAATGTATCTATTCACCACAGCCACTTTTCCTTATTATTCCTTAACACGGCATAGCAACTATTTCTCTAGTGCTTGTATTGTATTAGGTATTCTGAACAATCTAGAGGTGGCCTAAAGAATGGGGAAGGTGCACCTAGCTTATGTGCAGTTACTATGCCATTTTTACATAAGGAACCTGAGCTTCCATAGATTCTGGCATCCGTGGGGCTCCTGGAATCAACCTCCCACAGATAGAAATGACTGGATTCACTGTCATTTGCCAACAGATAGGCCAGCTGTCCTCAGGTCTGATCTTGGTCACCACTGAGTCCATGATCTAGGGTCCTGGAGACACATCAAGCACAAGAGGCCATCTCGCCCTCTGGGGACTGACTCATTCCCTTCTCCCTGCATTATCTATGGTTTTCATCCTTCTCCCAGAAGATGATCTTTGCTGTTAATAACCACAGTCTTTTATTTAGCTCTTACCAGATGCTAGAGGCTCTACACACTATTTCTTTCCATTGTTCCACTCTGAGCCATGGTGGGTGACACTCTCCCCCCACCCCCAAGAAACTAGTAGCATTGGAAAGGGCTTAAGAGACAGTCCAACCTTTGCCTAATATCCTTCATTTACAGATGTGGAAGTAAAGCTTCAGAGAGGGAAGGGGCTTGCGGAAAGTCATACAGCTACTACAGATTGTATCATCTGGGATTCTTCTTTTGAGAGGTCACTTTCCTTCCCTGTGTCTTACTCAGGGCTATGCCTGTAATGGAAGAGGCTGGCCCAGGAGGTCAGACATGAGAATTCTCTGTTCTGAGGTTCTCATCCTGGCTGACCCTGAGAAAAGACAATGCATGTAACCTCTAAGGTGAGCACACTAATGCTCCCAGCTGCATGAGCCTGACCTCTCTCTGCAGCCAGAATCCTGGCCCTAACAGCTGGAAACTCTAGTGACAGTGGAATGGCAGAGTCTGATGGAAGTGAGTCAGAACCAGGATAACTGGTTCTCTTAGAACTGAACCTAAGCAGAAGTTGGGAGGAATTTAGCTACTAGCCTCCTAGATGGATCTGAGAGCACAATGTTCACCTACACACACACACAAACACACACAGAGCAAAGCAATATAATACAGCATTGTTGTTGACTCATCTTTGATTTTTCTGAACAAATGTAGAACTGAAATTAAATGTAAGGATTATCCAAAATGCCACTTGATCAAATGCCAGGCTTCAAGTCTTTAATCAAAATAGCTTTAAAAAGGGGAGGGGGCCAAGTTACTAGATTTACATTATTCTTGCTTTCCCCTTTCTATAGCTTAAATCAAATATATGTAATTACAGCAGAGGTGGGAGTCAGGGGCTGAGTTTAAGGCTGATTTAAAAAGGTAACTCGCTGGCCCTTGGGCACTTGTGATGTTACTGGAAGTTAATTTACCCAACAGCCGAAGTCTGTTTAGTTCTACATCAGAGAACAGCTCAAGCAAGGCTGAAGTTGATTCAGAGAGGCCCTCCTGAACCCAGTCCCTTTCTCCCCCTCTCCTTGCAGGAGGGGACCGAACAGCTGGTTGAGAGTGGACGATACGACACAAGGGAAGACTTTACAGTGGTTGTGCAGCCATTCCTTGAAAAAGTGGACATGCCAAAGACCTCGGTAAAGAAAGCCCAAATTGCAGAAGAGCAGAGCCCACAGTTGGTGCCCGGCTGTTCCGAGCATCTGTTATGCCAGGCAATATTTCTGTAACTGCCCCTCTCTTTTCTGCTGGTGACCAGGAGGGCTTGCCTGACAATTCTTTCTTCGCCCCTGACTGTTTCCACTTCAACAGCAAGACGCACGCCAGATCAGCTAGCGCCCTCTGGAAAAACATGGTAGGGTGTCTGAGGAAGGAAAATCCTCCTCCCTCCAAGCTCATTGCTTGTGCTCCTCCTTCCCTCCCTCCCTCCCTCCCTCCCACACCCTTGCCCTGAACTCTGACCTTTCCATTCTGGCCACCTCTTTCTCATTCTCCATCTTCCTGCTTCTTGGTTTAGCTGGAACCTGTTGGCCAGAAGACAAGACAGCACATTTTTGAAAACAAAATTGATATCATGTGTCCAAACCAGGTAAGGTGAGAGGCACATCCCTCCAACACTCAAGAGCAGCGTCTTCTCCAGGTTCTGGTACTTTCTACACTCTTCAGTTCAGTTCATCCCAAGTCCTTGCCCCGGCCTCTGCTCTGTCCATGGACCCACCCCATTCAAGATTCCAGGTCAACACCCATAATGCCCCTTCCAGTTGAACTGAGAGGAAGACTGGTGACCCTCCCATGCTCACGGACTCTGTATGGCAACGCTCTCTGATATAGCACAAGCTGGACACATTTTCATGGACAGACAGGAAAAAATATGGCAGCCATATCCAGCTTTCATTCTGAGAGCTGAGAGCAGGGAAAAACTTGAAGGGCAGCTGGAACCAAGCATGTAGGCACATAGCTCCTGGCTCCATCACAATCTGGGAAGAGCTAGGAACTGAGACCTGGAATGCTAGGTGGTTGGATAGAGGGTGGAGGGGTGGGGTGCTAAGTAGGAAATAGGAGCCAGAAAAGCAGAAGATCCCCACTGTCACCCATAAGTTGTTACAAGGATTCTTGGAGCCCTATGGCTGCTCCCCACAGCCCTATAACTCTACATACCCAGAAGGGTTCCAGGCCTGACCCTGAGAATCAAATACTAGGCCTTGCCCAGGGCAGGACCAAAATCTGACTTTTCTTGCCTGAACAAGGAGTGTCTAGGCTGCTGCAGGGTGGAGTGGGCATGGGGTAGCAAAGGAGCCCAGGACGTGGAGACTAGGGCTTTTATTAGCAGGAAGAGACACACTGCTGTTGGGAGGGAGTAGGTGGAGAAAAGAGGCAGCAAGGGTCCTTGGCTAGGAGGAGAAGGCTGGGCTCAGATTGTGGAATCAGGGAGGCCACGGGAGGATGCCTCAGTTGGCACTTACTGCAGACTGGCAATAGTGAAGCAAGTCACATATGCTACCATGACTCCCTCCCTGTCCCCACAGGTCTGGCCATTCCTGAGTACCTACAAGAACAGCATGGAGGTATCTGCTCATTGCTCCCTTTTGACTCATCACACAGTGTGATGAGCAGCCCAAGCCAGGGCTGGCCCAAAAGGATGGGTGGAAAAGGGATCAAGAGTCCCTGCCAAGCAGCCCAGGGACCCAGACCCTTTTACAAAGACTCTCATTCATCTGTACTTTCAGAAGCAGAATAAGCTCCTTGGATTATGGCTGAATAGGCATTAGTTGAACCATAGCATCCTCCAGACAGACTAAAGAGTACTATCCTCTTTACCAAACTGGGGTGGGAGCAGGTGGTGTGGGTTGCGGTCATTTGTGGAAGCCCTGAGTCTTATCATTGACTAAAGATTTGATCTGGACTAGATTAACAGAGCTCAACCTGGCTGACACTCAAAATCACCTGGGGTGACTTCAGATGCCCGTTAGAGATTCCCTTGCCAGGTGTAGAACCCAGAAATCTAGATATTTCCAAGCCTCTGAGTGAATCGTGATGCTTGGCGAGCCTCTCTGGCCCCTTTTAACTCTGGGATTCTGGGATTTGTTCTATGCTCCTAGCGCCATGGAAGCTGGCTATCTTGTGGAGAGAGGACTCCTTCTGCCTGGCCTCCTACTTCAGGTAACCCCCATGACCTTTAGGGCTCAAAGCTCCTCAGGACTTATACACCATGGAGCAATCTGACAAGGATTTTCTTAAGCTAGTACCACGTTTATGGCCAAAGCTTGCTTCCTGTCTGGGATGGGCATGTGCTTTGCCCCACGATGGCCTCTGGCAATATCATACCCAGCAGGCCAGAAGCTCTTTCCTGCCCTTCGGCTTCAGCCTCCTCTACTAGGCACCTGCAGGTGGCCCAGTCCCGCGGTGTGGCAAAGCCCAGGGACAAGGAATCCCACCAGCAACCTGGGTCCGTGAATTTGTGGCCCTAGCTTTACAGCCACTTCAGCTTTCAGTAGGGTCTGGAAGGTTCCCTGGGCTCTTCAGATGAGTTTGAGGACAAGGAGAGCCTTCATAACTATGCTCTAGATTCTTGTGGGATCCAGAATGGAGCTCTTCATCTGCAGTGGCCTGTGTTTGCACTCAGGCCACAGCCGGCTTCTCACATCACCACTAAAATGAAATAAGGGGATCGTACTCTGCCGGCCTCCTTTCCTCCTCCTTTCCTTTGACCCATTTGTCTATCTCCCAACCCCCTACTGCCAACTTTGTTCTGGGATTAGCTTATCATGTCTCTTAGGAGGAAATTCTCCTTGTGTAATATCTGCTCTTGTGGCAGAGTGGATGCCCAGTCCTGCATGGTCCAAATGTCCAAGCAGGTCTTGCTTGAAGCATAAGGTGCTAAGCTCTGGCTGCAGCCTGCTACTCAAGCATGTCTCCTTCCATTCCAGTGCATGCCCTGAGACCCGCAGACGTCCGTGTTGTGGCTGCTCTGGGGGATTCTCTGACTGTAAGGACCCTTGGACTCTGGGCGAGTTGGGCATGGAGAAGTCATCCCAGATCCCTGCCCTCCCAACCCCGGGGCTTATATTCCTGTCCTCTGCATTACCTTCCCCTCCCTGACTCTGGCAGCCCAAGAAAGTAGCAATGATTGGATTTTGTAACTACTTTCTTGAGCAAATGAACAAATCTTTAACAGGAGCAAAGTACATTGTCTCAGTAAGTAGAGGTTTCAAACATCCAGCAACACTTTTTAAAGGCACACAAAAAGAGAAGTTATTTTGGTTCAAAATCCTTCTAAGCCTCCCTGCATGGGCACTCTTCTTCCTTGGAGTATACTTTACAGCCAGCTCCAACCCTTGCTTCTGTATCACCTTTGTGATTATAGATTTGAATGCAGCAGAGATTCCTCAGTGGTGGGTGAAACTCTTCCCCCAGCTTCCCAACCAGGAGCAGTGCTAGTTGGAGGTCTCGCTTTCTAGCAGCACCTTTGTGAATGCCTCCTAGAAGGTCCTGGAGGGAGAGAGGAGAAATGTGAGATTTGTGTGAAATCCTTCCACTCCAGTGGCCCAAGCCTATGAACACCCTCTTTATAAAGAAGTGAGGAACATAATGCTGGCAGTGATATTATTAACAGTCTCTCAGGTTTGTAAAGCACTGGAGAATTTTCAGTCTTAACAACTGTGCCCAAAGTTGGCCCCAAACTGGCCTGTGAGAATCATGGGGCTTGTCTTTGGTTCAGGCAGGAAGTGGCTGCAGGCAGGGTGGGGACAAGGCTGGGAGGGAGGGCTGCCAGTGAGCCTGTCTTCTAGTCTCCTGCTTTGCTTCTCTTCCAAGTCGCTGAACCCACAGCTGGAAGCCCTGCCCTGCCGTAGTCCCCTTAACTTAACTTGGTAATTTCCTGTGGATTTTGGTATATTTTCAAAGGCTGGCAATGGAATTGGCTCCAAACCAGGCGACCTCCCTGATGTTGCCACACAGTACCGGGGACTGTCATATAGGTAAGATTAACCCTTGAGCTCCTCCCCAGGGCCCACTCCCAAAGACTGGGTGGGGGTTTGACTCCTGTAAATGCCAGAGATGGAGCTTTCGTTTCTACAAAGATGAACATTTGGTGGATGGAGACACTATTTTACTGTTGATAATCTTTTTTTTTTTTATTTTTAAATTATACAGAAAAGGTAAACCAAGGTTCTTATCAACCTCCTGGGTCCGCAAATCCAACATGAAATGTACTCGAAAACCACCAAAACCCTGATTCTTCACCTGCCCATTTGCATGTCCATGTGCGTGTGTGGATGCTCCTCCGTCTGTCTGTGTGTATTTATTTGTGCTGTTCTACAACCACACTTCTGCTGCTATGTATATGTACACGTCTGTACCGAAAACCTCCAAAACCCAACATGCGCTTCAGGGGAAATGACTAAGACAAAGTCACAATCAACAGGGACCCAGAGCCCTCCTCTGTCCTGGCACAACATGAAGGCGGTGAGACAGGTGGCAGAGGGAACTCTGGAAGGCGTGAGCTCAGTGGGCAAGTGCTCCTTAAAAATAAAAGGCTCCTAAGCATGACAAGGCTAGAGAAGGGGAAGTAAATAGCCTTCCAGCTGGGAAGGCTTCCCAGGGAGGGCGGTACCCAGCAGGCCTTGAAAGATTTGCCATTTGGCAAGTGAAGAGGTAAGAAAGGGCAGTCCAGGAGCAGAAGCAGGAAAGCTCAGGGTGCCTAGGGAGCAGTTGCTTGTGGGCATTCTTACATGTCTTTCTTTCCTAATAAAATGTGTGTTGGTGAACGCATCAGAGGAATTGGTGAGTAGCTCAGATTTTATCTGGGAAAACGACTAGACCAAAGACAGCCACTAGAGGGCAGTGAGCCCCGAAATGAGCTGCGGATGGCGAACGAATGCGTTTGTTGCTTATCTGTTCCTTGGGGAACTAATTGCAATACCTCCCCCAAGAATGTGAAAGGAAACAGAGGGGTGAGCAGGCCTGTGAAATTCTTCAGCCAGAGGTGAGCAGAAGATTTTCAGGACAGAAGAGAAGCACCATGCAACCACCCACAGGAGGGACCTGCGGGGTCTAAGCACAGGGCATCCTCCTGCCCAGGCACCTCTAAATTTCTACCACATCTTCAGCCAGGTCAGTGGTCCCTAATAGGCTGCATAGAACAAAGCAGAGCCTGGGCCGCTCCCTCCTCCCCCATGTTGCTAAGGCTAAAGAGCCCAGAGGGAGAGGAAGAAAGGGGGCTTCTTCCAAACTCAGGAAAAGCACAAGTTGTGGTGGCTGCACATGGTCTTAGCTGAAGGAGGCCGTGACTTCTTATCATAAGCTGGGAAAGAGAAGGTGAAGCAGGCAAGCCGCAGCACGGATGGACGCGTAGCTCCTGGGGCAGTGAGCTCCTCAGCCCAACTTCCCAGGCAGCTCACCTGGCGGGGCTCCTGGAATCCTAACACTGTACAGAGGCAATCTTCTGTTGAAAATTTCTCTCTGTCGCTGTGGAAAAATCTAGCCGTTGCTCTCTGTTCCTTCTAGGGACTGTTTGAATTTTCAAGTTCTAACTTCAGTACTCCCTATCCAATAATGGGTGCTTTTTCTTTAAACGTTTTGTGTATCCTAAAATTTCAAATATCTGCTCCTACATGTACCAGTGTGAAAGATGGAAACTCCAGGTCAGAATTTAAGAGATGATTTGAGTTGTGGTAGAAACTAGTTTCTCAAAGCAAGTTCCATGGAACACCCAAGAAGGAAAAACCGTTTGTGTTTGGGAAAAACTACAGGCTATATCTTTTCTTTCAGGAAATTTACATGCATAGTAGCATAATAAAGGCTCTGAGAAGTGCTACATTGAAGAAATCTTTTCATTTTGTTTGATCTAGTATTTCCCATAATTCCAGAGTTCGTTCTTTATAATGCCTATGAACATCCCCTGGGAAAAGTCCGTGTAGTAAACTGATCTGAGCAAAACAGCTCCCTGGAGCCGCCAGTGCCTCTAGATTGGAAATATTAGTCAATTAATGATTCTAGGTGAATTAACCCATTAGGGCTTCCTCTGGTGAGGAAACAGAATGGGAAGTAGACTTCACAGTTAGGAGAGACGTGGGTGCAGGACTCTTGAGGTGTGGGTGGCTGTGAGCTGGACCACTGTAAGACGTTTGGTTGTGAATATTTCCAGGGCCTCTTGGCCCATGAGGTCATACCCCAGTGGGCCGTCTGAGCTTTGGCCAGCTCACCCATGAAGCAGGCAGAGGTCTTTAGACCATGGATTTTGCTTCCATTGAGATATGTTGGTTTGTTTGGCATCATTCAATGAATCAAAATAAAATACTTACCAAAAGATACATTTCTCTTTTTTTTCAGTTAGGACTTGAGTCTCACATTACTAAAGCTCCTTCAACAAATATTAGTGAGCACCCATTTTGCTTTTCAATATAGGAACAAGACCCAGCCACTGAACTTGGAATGTCGTAGATTATGTTCCCCGAAGGATCTAACTTACACTAGCATGGGTCTAGCATGCTAAACTAGCATGACCCAGTTTGTTTTCTTTTGTGTTTTTATAGTTCTGATCAGAATAGTGACTAAAATAGTTTTGTTCCTCTGTATAAATTTGTATAATCTCTTTTTATCCTACACAGTTTTACTCCAGAATGGTACCAGGGAGTGATTCCCTGGCCTGTTGGCCTTGGTGTTGCACCACATTTCTTTTAGTACCAAGATGCCTTTAAGCAAGAAATTACAGTAGAAAGCCAGCAGGGTAGCACACACTTGTCATCCCAGCACTCGGAAGGCTGAGATAGGAGGATCATTGCAAGTTCGAGACCAGCCTTGGCTACAAAGTGAGCTCAAGGCCAGCCTGAACTGCACAGCTAGACCCTGTCTCAAACAGATAAAAAGAGATAAAGAGATCACAGTAGAAAGTACTTGATGTGCTTGCGTAAGTCTTCATGATTATATATTTGTTGAAGGGGAAAAGAGGGAAGAGTTAGAAGAAAGTAATTGGAAGTGGTATGGGGATTTTTTTTCAAAAAGAAAATGCCCCTCTTTGGTCCAAAGAAAGAATCAGGAAGCAGCCAAAGTGGCAGCTTTGTGCAGAGTTGGAAAATAATTAGAAGTATGAACAAATGTTCAACCACTGGCCCTCTATATTCAGACACGGCTGGGCAGTTGGCAAAAGAACCGAGTGGGCAGGAGAGCAAAGCTTCCCAGCTGCCTTTTCCCTACCACCTGGCTGTCCTCAGCCTGTGATGAGGCCCCCAGCCAGCCAGCTACAAGCAGACAAGAAACAGTCCTCTCGTTCCAGGCATTCCTTGAGTGAAGAACAGCTAGGACTGATTGGTGGCCGTCCTTTAAAAATCTCTGCTACCCAGAGGGGTGCTAAGGCTGTGTTCTGAAAATCAGCTGTCCTGGAAGATGTAAAGACTGAGGAAAGAGGCACAGAAGCAAAAGAACCATAAATACAGGACATCTGAAAGTTGGGTTTTGTTGAAATGCTTCTTGTCTCCTATATACATGCTTAAACTCATGAAAGGAAACGGAGTCTTTTAGGGTTCCTTGAGGTCACAATAGAAATTCAAGGGAGCACTGGAAGGCACTGGGAGACTGTCTTCCCAAAGCTTCCAGCAGAATTTATCTGGAACTGGCCACAACAGTTTATGTGGTACAGGTTGCCCACTCAGCGTGGGTCCCAGTCACTTTGAGCAACTTAGCTAATCTCTAAGCCCCACAGTTTTCTACTCTGTAAAGTGGAATAAGTCATATCTACCTCATAAACCTGTTGGGAGAAGAGAACCAGCGTAGAGAATTTACGCCATCCTGGGCACACAGTGTATTCTGAGCTAGGCTCGTTCCTTCCTGGTATAGCTAAGAGAAGGAACAGCTTTTCTACCTCCAAATCCTGAATTTGAGGGGAAACAATACATAAGTGAATTTCAAATTTTCTGAGGACCTCTCAAATACCTAGAGGTGGGTCTGCTCCCTGTGCAGGTACTTCCGCCCTGTGAAGGGCAAGGTGGCCCTGCTGTAAATCTTGTGTACTGACTCCCTCTCTCTCCCTCCCTCCCTGGCTGGTTTGCTCCCCACAGTTCAGGTGGGGACGGCTCCCTGGAGAACGTGACCACCTTACCTAGTAAGTAACCACTAAGGGCTCAAGTTTGTCCTCCCATCCAACTCGTCCTGAGGCTCCCAGGAGTGTCTCCCAGTGAAGAAAGGAACAACAAATAACATTCTTCCATGGACCACCATTGTGATAGGAGGGGAGGCTCTGGACAGGTAGTTAAAAAGGTGGAATGGAGGCTTGGGAAATGTGGGTTCTGGCCTGTACCCTCTCTATGTGCTTGAGTCATGATCCAGGACAAGAAGCCAGACTCTCTGAGCCTCTGGTTCTTCAACCAGCCTGGTGGGTGCTGAGACAAATTAGGGATCATTACTGCATTGCGAATTGCATAAAGGTGCTTTAAAGTGAGAGGCTGTTGCTGCCTGGGCCATCTTGCCATTAAGCCATTTCAGCTCATGGAGGCCCCAGTTTATGCTAAGCATACACCAGGCCTCCCTGCCTCTCCTCATGAGTCAAAAGGATGATGGCACCATGGGGAGTGAGACCCCAGGGTACCAGGGAGGCACCTCAGCCTTCCATCCTGCGCACTCTGTGCCCTGTTCCCTTCTTCCCATTCAGATATCCTCCAGGAGTTTAACAGAAACCTCACTGGTTACGCAGTGGGCACGGGTGATGCCAGCGACACAAGTGCATTCCTCAACCAGGCTGTTCCTGGAGCCAAGGCTGAGTACGGCGTGGGGGCTGTGGCGTGGGAAACTGAGCAGGCTGCCAGTGCTTAGAGATTGCAGTGCTGGCCTCAGGGTGGAGAGGGACCTTCGTTCATTTGCAGTAATGACTGCAGAGGATATGGCTGCCCTTGCCTGCTGTCCCTGAGATCAGACCATGCCAGGGAGTCAAGAGATGCTGTGCTCTGGGGAGGAGAGAGAACTCCATAGTGATTGTTCAGGGCCTGGTCCTATCTTTTTTTTTTTTTTTTTTTTTTTTTCAGTACCAGAGATTAAACTCAGGACCTTACACTTGCCAGGCAGGTGCTTATGCCACTGAGCTGTGTCCCCAGCCCCTCCTAGCCCTGTCTTAACTGGCCAACATACCCAACTTTTTTAACTTACCTTGGCCTAATGGTGCTAGAGAGATCCACTCTCCCCAGACCCTCTTCAGTGGCAATCATGGAAGGCCCCACATGGGTAGGCCAGCCAGATTCTCCAGACTAGGAAGCCTCTGCTTCCCCTTGCGCTCTAATGGAGCAGAGAGGCTCAGAGGCCCTGAAGGCAGTGTTCTAGGATGATCTTGGAGGGGCTGGGTCTCCCGCTCCCAAAGGCCCCCAAAGCCTGAGCCTCCTGCTTCAGTGCAGCTCCTGGCCTAACCATCTGAGCCTGCCCCATACTGCACTCCAGTTTAGGGGGGCTCAACTCCCAGATCTGCTCACTAGGCGTGGTAATGGAAATAGCTTGAACCAGATGATCCATGCATCTCATCACCCATGTCACTGTCCAATGGATCTATCACTGAGACCTACCACAGGGGCCTGAACAAGGTGTTCACGTGCCTGAGATCTCTTCCATGAATGTCCATAGTTTCTACCTAGACATAAAAGTTTTAGATACATTCATAAAAATAACCTCAATTATATATATATATATATATATATATATATATATATATATATATATATATATAGAGAGAGAGAGAGAGAGAGACAGACAGACAGACAGACAGACAGACAGACAGAGAGAGACAGAGACAGAGAAAGAGAGCAAGCAAGCAAGCAAGTGCAAGCGAGCAGTCATTTTATGAGAAAAATCATAACCACTGGGAGAAACAAAGAGGAAGAAATGGTGTCAATTAGAGCATTTTTAGGGTTACGGTTTAACATCAAACTCAGCTTTTGGACAGCCAAGAGGGCAAGGATGAAGCATGCTAAAACTTTTTTAGGCCCAATTGTCAGATCTTTCCAATGGTTTTTTAGCATAGAATCCTAAGTCATTTTGCACACGGCACCCTAGAAAGGAGACCGTGAGCAACACATGCAGGTTTAGGACAAACACAAATTTAGCTTTTCCCAGAGACACCTGCTGTAACAACTCTCCAAAGAGCCAAGCAGCTTCTGGCCTTGGAGCCCAGGGATCTGAGCAGCTCACTGAGTGGGAATGATATCCCCAGAAGCCCTAGTTTAGGCCCTTTAGGCAGAAAACATACGGGCACTCTCCCTCGATGGAAGAACTGGTTGTTCCTTCTTTTGCAGGGAACTTATGAACCAAGTCCAGACTCTGGTACAGAAGATGAAAAGTGACCATGTGAGTCAGATTTGTGGTTATTTATAAATTAATGGAATGCTTTGCCACAGAAGGCAGTGAGTCTCCCTCACTAGTGGCGCTTGAGCAATGGTAGGGCTGCTGCTTGTCTGGCACCCTGCAGAGGACACTGTATCAGTGGGAAGAGGATTCACAATGACCTTGAAAGTCCCTCCAGATACATAGACGTTTTTGGTCTAGAAATAAACCCAAAATTCTGTCAGCTCTGAGATGCTGATTCGATTCTATTCTTTCTTTCTTTTTTTTTTTTTTTTTTTTTTTTTTTTTGTGGAACCAGGGATTGAACTCAGGCCCTTGCACTTGCCAAGGAAGCGCTTATTCCACTGAGCCATCTCCCCGCCCCCCTGATTCTGTTATTTCAAGAGAACAAGGAAGTCGTAGAGGATGACCGGGTTTCCTAGACCTGTGATGTTTTTGTTTGTTTGATGTGAATCACCAAAGATTTTCTTCCCTCCATGCAGAGAATAAACTTCACTGAAGATTGGAAGGTCATCACGGTGCTGATCGGAACCAGTGATCTGTGTGACCACTGCACAGATTCGGTAATGGGGCCAGGATCCAGGCTTATGCCTCGCTCCCTACTTTGGCCAGTAGGCGTTGCAGATCTTCTCTGAACCAGCCCGAGTGCCCAACTCTGCCATAGCAGCACACATGCTTGTACAGTACACACACATATGCACACAACCCCTTCTTTCCCCATGACCCTCAGGTTCATGGCACCATCTTCATGTCCCACGTGGCAAGGTAGCAGGCGACAGACATATGGTGCTTCTATTGGGGACTCAGAAAGAAAAGAAACTGTAGACCACAAGCAGCTGTGAGAGGACTCTCTACTTTCTGCTTCCAAACTAGAGCTCTGCCCACAGATGCCAGTCCTCTTTGTGGCCCTCTCTGACAACAGCAAGTAGTCAACTGTTCTCAGAGTTTGCTGTGCTGAGCTAATTACAACTACAGGCCAGAGGGGGAATTCTGGAATCAGAAAGGACACCTTCAGCCTACTCCCCCTCTCGCCTAGATCAGCAATTCCTTTCCCTTCCTGTCTCTTCCCAGAACCTGTACTCTGCAGCCAACTTTTTAAACCATCTCCGCAATGCCTTGGACATTCTACATAGAGAGGTGGGTAGAAGCTCCTACAAGCTGGTGACAGCTCCAGCATGGTGGGGGTAAAGGTGGGAGGGGAAGAGTGGTGAAAGTTACCCTTCCTCCGAGGAGAATGCCAAGAGCATGGGCTCCTTCCCTGTCCAGAGGATGAGGTCCACTCCCAAGGAAGCCCATTCCATGTGGAATCAGCCCCACAGGATCTCAGATTTGGAGAAAGGAAGGCAGTGTTGTCTAACTGGCACTGCAGCCCCAAGTGTCCCCACCCTAGCACCATCCCCTAGCAAAGATAGATTGTTCAGATACCCACAAGGGTGCATTCTGACCACCAGATGCCCTGCTTGGTAGCGGAATCCCTCTGCCTAGACCAGGCTGCAATGGCAGGACCTTATCAAGGACCAGTGGCCTGGCAAGTAGCACATGTATTTTACCAAACAATGTTATGGGGCTCACTAAGTGATAGCTGAACAGGGCTAAGGGTCACCCTTAATGTTTATTGTCCTACTCCACTAGGTACTGTAGCCCATGCGAGCGTCACTCTGTGCAGTTGTGTGATGCACAGCCCTAGTGCCCTATGAGGTGGTCCTGTATAGCCTACTGCCAAAGGTCTACTGCAGGATGGACTGAGCTGGAGGCCCCAGACTAGCCAAATCCCCAGGTCCCAAGGCAGCTTAGTGAAGAAGCTCCTGAGCCCCCCCTCACCTGCAACTCGGCCCTCAGGTTCCCAGAGCCTTGGTCAACCTCGTGGACTTCATGAATCCCAGTGTCATGCGGCAGGTGTTCTTGGGAAACCCAGACAAATGCCCGGTGCAGCAGGCCAGGTAGGCAGCTGCTGACCATCCCAGGCTTGAGACATACTTACCCGTGGTCAGGCCCACATGCAGCACTGACTTCTCAGGGTCTTTATGACTTGGTCTGTTCATGTGTTCACATCTGTAAAAAAGGACTTGGGCCAGGGTCACCTATTTCTGGGAAATGGGAATGTTGGCTGAGCCCCCTCTTATCCAACCCCAAGGTGCCAGATGCCAGCTAGAGACTTCTGTGACACTGAGAGCCACATGACTACTGTTTGTACAGAGTAGCCCAAACAATGAAGGGGCAATATCCTAGGCAGTGTGTGTGTGTGTGTGTGTGTGTGTGTGTGTGTGTGTGTGTGGTCAGGTACCATGGGCAGCAGGAGAACTGTGAGGGACACGGGGGCTTCACATTGAAACTGTTCTGCTGCATAGACTAGGTAGCAGGTCCATGGATGAGTGTTTAACTCTTCTTACACAATACTTCTGCCTTATACAAACATCTACTAATTAAACAAATCTCACAGAACTTTGTATATCTAATACTGTTTTAAGTGCTTAAAAATACGCAGTCTCTAATTTAGAATTTTCAACTTCATCATAGTGCAAAAGCCATGCATACTCACTAGAAACCATACTTGGAATTTTGAGTTTTGATCTTTCTTGGGCTGGCAGCCTATAGATACCTCTGGTAGATGGTACCACACTGTTCAGTGATGCCAAGCAGGAGCAGAGACCTGTGCTCTGTCAGCCTTACAATCCCAGGGAAAACAGCCAGCACGTGGGATTGCTAAGCTATGATAGTTGGTAGTTTAGGTGTAGTAAGTGCAATCTTAATGTAAACTAGTCTCAACTTATCATAGGCTCATCAGGACATAACACCATCGTAAGTTGAGCAGCACCTCTAGTGGGGTGTGGTGGCATACTTCTGTCATCCCAGGACTTGGGAGACTGAGGCAGGGGATCACTGTGTTTTCAAGACTAGCCTGAATTACATGGTAAGACACTGTCTCAAGAGAGAGAGAGAGAGAGAGAGAGAGAGAGAGAGAGAGAGAGAAACAGTTCTAATCTTTTTTACATGAAGTACATATAGATGTGAATTAATTCATTATAAAACAAAAGACGACAGTTTGGACTGAAGGAGCATCTGGGGGCATGACCAGCAAAAGCCAAAAAATATGTGCTGCAATACCCAAGGATGAGATTTTTTATTTTCTCCTTTAATTAAGCACCACATTCCTGCAGCTTAAACTCATTGGCCCAGGGCCTGCAGTCTCTCACCAGTGCTGTGTTCATACAGAGGGTGTTCCCTGTACCCCATTTCCTCTCCGGACCCAGCCTGGCCCCCAAATGTGTGTGGAACCTCCAGGCAGGCATGCTCCTAAATCAGTTCATGAGAACCCCTCATCTACACCCCAGGCAGCCCAAAGGCTGCACACCTGAGCAGAGCTCTGGCTCTGGGTTCTCCTGTCCCTTCTGTGCAGCGCCTTGTGCAACTGCGTCCTGACCCCGAGGGAGAACTCCCACGAGCTGGCCAAGCTGGACGCCCTTGCCCGAGCCTACCAGGTGAGATGAAGCCAGGCACTCTGCGGTGTTTCCTCCACACTCACGCTCACATCACAGCTCACAGCCCTGGGGTGGCATGCAGGGAAGCAGACATCTACCTCCTGGTCTGTCATCTGTCCTGCCTGGCCATGAGATGGCTGTGGCCGGAGTCAGCTCAGCAGAATCTGGATGACAAAGCTCTCACAGTGGAGCAGCATGCAGGGGCTTTACCCCAACCTTGGCCAGTAGGTCTGGGTGCCCAGGAGACCACCCCAGAGGCCCAGCCACACTCATCCCTCTCACCCGAGCCCCACAGGCTCACCAGCACTGCAGACAGGCCATAAGAAAGGAGCCTGGGGTGTCTAGGGTTTATTGGTTATGGGACTCCCCTGCCTGCCCCTTCAGACAATGCAGACCATTAAAACCCAAACCTAATCATACCCTACCCTCTTTCCAAATTCTCCTGAAAGAGATCTGCCTGTGTGTTCTCAGGGCAGGGCTGGCAAGGGCAGGGGTGTTTCTCCCACCTGCCCTTGCCTACCTGTGCTGAAGGTCCCCCTGTGCATGATGTCCCCAGAGCAGCATGCGTGAGCTGGTGGAGTCAGGCCGTTATGACACCCGAGAGGACTTCTCTGTGCTCCTGCAGCCCTTCTTCCTCAACATCCGGCTCCCCTTCCTGGAGGTTTGCTCCCTACCCTGCCCCGGTGTTTACAGGATGGCAGAGCAGGCAAAGAAGCCACGTGCTTCTGTGAGCCTGCTAACAAAACAAAAGACAAAGCTCCCCAGGTGCCCTGCTGGCAGCACCAGTGTCTTTGAATACCCAAGACATGTTTCCAGGGACAGCCTGATGCTGAAGTTCCTGTAGTCCCCTGAGAACAGCCTCCGTTGTGTTGAGCACCTACTGTGTGCCAGACCCTACACTTGTTTTTGTATGTCTTATCATCCTCATATCCTCCCTAAATGCAGAAGTGTCCTTGCTTCTGAAAAGGTAGGCAACAAGGCATGGAGAGGCAAGATTCAGAGGTATCTAATCCCACATTATTAACTTCCCGGTATACACTCAGTCTCTGTCGCATACAACCCTGCCATTATAATGGAGGGTCCTGGTGTTATGTTCCAGCCCTTGGCTGTGCTCTTTGCCTGGTGCTTCCAAGAGAACAGAAGAGATCTGTGAGTGGAGAGAGTGGGGGGGTTCCTCCCAAGGGCCTTATCTAGTTGGAGGGAAGCCAGGAGGCGAAAAGCCTTTGTGCATCCCCAAGTGCCACAAGAGAAAGAGCTGAAGCCAGGTGGCACCCTGCCCCGGTGCCAGTTTTGCCCAGGCCTGGCCAGCGTTCAGCTCCATTCTCTCCCTCAAACACCACCAGGACCAGGGAGTTGCAGCTGGAACATCACGTTTCCTGGCCTGGCTAGTCTAGCAGGGGGCTAGTCTGTGGCCTGAGCTGGCGCGTTATACACAAGTGCCTATAAATAACATAGGGTGTTTTTATTAAATAAAGGGGAGATAGAGAGCCAAAATGAGGGGGGTGGAACTTGGGTTTATGTGTGGATCTGCTTTTGTATCCCACTTAAAGTGAGCAGACTTTGTAGAGAAAATGAGCTAGAACCTTCCCAGGGGAGCAGGGAATCTCATGGTCTGTTCTAGGGGTCTGACAATGGCTGAGGCTTTCTCTTACCTAATTGGACGAAGATGAAAGATATTTGTCTCTTTCAGGATGGGCGTCCAGACACCTCCTTCTTTGCCCCAGACTGCATCCACCCAAACCAGAAATTCCACACTCAGCTCGCTAGAGCCCTTTGGGTCAATATGGTAAGATAAGTCAGGTGTTGCTGGAGTTCTAATCTACAGCAAAGTATGCACCCTTATAAAAGGGCCAGGCCCTTGGTCAAGTGCAGCAGCCTATGACTAGAATCCCAGCACCCTGGAAGGCTAAGGTAGGAAGATAGAAAGTTTGAGCCCACCCTGGTCATCTTAATGAGACTCTCAAAAAATAAAAAAGTAGTTCAGTACACAGGTCTTGGGTTCAATTCCAAGTACTGGAAAACATGGGGGCAAAGCCTGTAGAATGGAACAGGGGATGTGAAGAGCTGTGAAGGATCTGCCTGGCCCAGGTTTCTCTACATGTGCGCTCTCTGTAAAAGGCAGAGACCCTACCTTCAGTCAGCAGTGTCCATGTGCCCTCTCCTATACTGGGCAGTTTAGGCTGTAGGAGCTCACTTTAGCCGTTCCCAGCAAGAGCAGTGTTAGGAATTTCTAACACTGAGTCCCACAGGGGTTAAATAAATTGCTTAGGATCCCTGGGGAACAGGGGGGCAACTGGGAGAGCAAGGAGTGGCACAGCCAAAACCCCCAAAGTTAAGTTCTGAGCTTTCCCTGTGTGGGATGCTGCCAGGGAAGGGGCATGCCGTAACTTTCTTTTCTTCCCTGATCAGCTTGAACCATTGGGAAGGAAAACCGATACCCTGGACCTAGCAGCAGACATCCCCCTGCCCTGCCCCACCCAGGTATTTGTTCCTTTCCAGAACGGGAGCTCAGCCCACCTGCCCTCTTGTCCTCTGTACCTGGAGTAGGGGTGGGGCTGGGGGCGGACTGGAGGAGAGAGGGAGGGAGGTTGATGGGAATGCACTGCAGAGGTGGTTGCTTCTTTGGGGATGGACGAAGAAGCTGGGCACCCATGGAGGGAAGGGGTTGGGGGATGCAGCAAGGGTCTCTAGGAGAAGAACAGGAGCCAGAGGAAGGCTCATTTTGGCCCAGCTTCTGGGGCAGATAGAACCATCTGCTGGGGGTGAGCAGGTGTAGCAAGAAACCAGACAGGCTCAGGAGTAGTGTTCAGAGAGCGCAAAGCCTGTCTGTGCTGCACAGTGGCAGCCAGGAGATGGTCAGAGCTGTGCAGAGCAGAAGAGGCCCGAGCAGCATGTAGTCAGGGCAGGAATGGCTTGGATCCTTTTAAGGAGGAATGTGTATGCGGTGGTTGTTAAGCTTGATTTCAGGCCTAGGACTTGGGGGAGGTTCATGTTCCCATTGCCTTCACTCCCGTCCCTCAGCTTTTTAACCAAATAAGGGCAAGGCCAGACAGCCTGCAGTGGCAGTAAAAGCAGAGGGCCTGACCCATGTGGGGAAGCTGGGTTTCCCTCCTGGGTTGGGCAGCATCGACCTTTCCTACCTCCTGGCTAGCAGAACCAGGACATGGGCCTGCAGCTCCCCCATGTGTCCACTGGGCCCTGAGCAGAGGGGACACCTGTGCGCAGACCCTTGCTCCTTCACCTCCTCCACCTCAGCCTTGTACCCAGGCCCCAACTGATGTTCCTCAGCCTTACCAGGACAGCAGGAATGGGTGGTTGTGATGTAACATAGCTCACTTGCCAGGGATTAGAGCAAGACAGTTGAATCATGCAATCGCCAATGCCCATGGATGCCTCCAGGCAGACTGTCACGTGCAAGCCAGTGGGTGGGCAAGGTCCCTGTGTGCCACATAGAAACCCTTTAATTGCCAGATCCTGTGGATGTTCAGGAGGGTCTAGAGAGAGAGCAGGTAAGTGGTGGGAGCTCTGGAGACTCAAAGTGTAACTATAAGTATTTCAATATTTTTACAGTTCATGTGAGCCATCTTGGCTATCAGCCAGGAGGGACCCAAATTGTCAACCCCACTTTCATGAAATAGTAAAAGTAATAATTCACACCAAGCAACTATCCTTTGCTCTGAAATACGTAATCAGGTTGGTGTCTAGTTAAAGAGTCAGGGAGATCTGCATCACCGTGGGCTTCAAAACAACTGCCACTCCCCACCCCAGACCAGGCAGTGAACCCTGTATGAGTGACATCCACTCAGCATCTCCAGGACCAGCCTTTCCCTGGGGAGCCACTGGTGAGCTAAGGAGAAGAAACCCAGCCTCTGAAAGCCAGCAAAAGCCCCACCTGGGAGAAGCTGTTGCTAAGCAGCCCGGGAGCCCATTCCAGGAGGGTCCATCTGTTAGCCAGGCCAGCTTTACTGTGCTGTGTCTCAGGTGCCATCTGCTCCCTCCCATGTGCCTTGGAGTCATGCGAAAGTCCACCAGCACCGCCATGTGAGCCCACAGGGGACAGGCAGTACATAATTTTTGTCCTAGCTGTGTCTAAACATAGAAGCAACAGGCAGGACGCAGCGGGAGGCAGCCGTGAGATGGATGGAGCCCTAAGGAACTCTTCCAGCGTCTGCTCCTCCTCCCCCACCCCAGCCACAAGGCGGCAGACCACAGGGTGCCTCCCACCATGCAGTGGGGCAGCTGCCAGGTGCTGGGATTTCTGTTGTACTTTCAGGTTAGATGAGACGCTTTACAGCCCAATTTTGGATTAGCTCAGTAGACTGTGACTGTTTTTTTCTTCCCTGATTTTACTGGCTCTCTATCCGCTCCTTCCCTCACCCCAGTGCTGCTAGCTGGGCCATCTGAGTGGTCAACTCAATCCTTAGCCAGCTGTTATTCTTGACCTCTGCTGTCAAAGTTAACTATCCTCTTCCTTAAATGTATTCCTCCCTGGACTTGGAGATGCTAACACACCTTGAATTTTCTGGGTTGTTTTTTTTTGGGAGGGGGGGTGGGGGGTGCTGTCCCTTCAGATCTCTTTTAGTGACCCTCCTTTCTTCTCCTAATCCTGAAAAGGTAGACCTCCTCCAACTTTCATGGCTCAGTTCTATTCTGTCCCTCTTCCATCCTGTAACCAGGAGATTTTTCCATTTCTTGGTTTTCCTCAACCTCTGGATCCCTCGGTCTTTCAATTTCTGTCTTCATTTCTCAGTCCAAATTTCCTTCTGGAGGCAGGTAGATTAAATGTGTGGCCAGAGAGCCAGAGAGAAAGGCGCTGAGAAAACATCAGATAACTTATTCTATCTTTTATCATGAAAGAGAAAAAAAAAATTGTTGTTAGATTCCCTTAAACCTGATTGGTCAGTGCTTTTTCTGTTGCATTCAGGGGCATCATTTTTTTTTGGGGGGGGGGGAACCGGGGATTGAACTCAGGCCCTTGCGCTTGCCAGGGAAGCACTTATTCCACTGAGCCCTCTCCCCGGCCGGGGCTTCATTTTTTTAATGCTCAAGCTTTCTAAATCCTAATCCTGCCCTCCCCCACCCTCATCTATAACCCAGCAAACATTCATCCAAAAATTAATTGGTTGAGCAAATACTATCTAAATAGCAACCATTTTCCCAAACTCTGTGTTCCTTCCGACTTCCGTTTCTGTCTGTGCTGTTGCCGGCACCAGGTCTAGCAGTTTCTTCCCAGTGTCCCATCCCCGTCGGCCATTCTTCCCGATTGCACAGCCACGCAGGCACAGGCCCTGTTGCTCTGCTTGTAGTTACCAAGGCCCCAGCCTCCCGTCACTGTCACAGAATCAGGTGAGCTCAGTGGGGCAGAACACTGAGATCAGCGTGGTGACCATGTGGTAGCCAGGCCCTTCTACCGTGTTCCTCCAGGAACGGTGACTCCCGTACTCCAGCTTCCACACTTGTTGAGGGCAGCGCCACAGGTTGTGCCATCTGCCGGGAAAGAGCAGCATTTTCTGCACAGGTGGGAAGAACTGGGAGAAGAGACAGCAGAACACGCCCCACGACAGGCTGTTGTGCCCCCTTTCCTCCTCCACCACTCACTATGGGCCTCAACCACACACTTCAGATGTGACTGCTGGCGCTTGCCTCCTGGGGACATTTCTCCTCAGGATGTGACCCCTTTGAGCTGGCAACTGTGCAGCACAGAAGAACAGAGCTCCTTCTCTGTGGATTGTGATACCTAGTACTGTAGCCAGGCCCCCGACTCACGCGCCCCCTGGAAGGAGGGGCCGTCAGGTTCTGCCTCCCAGGCAGGCTGCTGTTCCGGATGGCCAGGATAGACTGCTTCCTGGTCCACAATTCCCTTACTGTCTGCTCATGTTCCTAGCACCCTCGAGAGCTGGGCAGGTCCCATTGGATTCCTCTTCCGCAGACTCTGCCACCTGCCCAGCCTTTAAACCAGCAGTCCATGGTCAATAAAAACGAGTGCCTGGCACCCAGCTCACCCCTCTGGCACTGCTCTGGCCCCTGTTCTCACTCCTGATGGCATCCCAGAGTCTTCTTCACCTCTGGCCCCTTCAGTGATATCCACCCTCCCCTAACACTGAGCCTATGATCAAGTACATGACCAGACCGGCTCTCCCAGAAGGGCAGGGTGTGTCTTCGCCTCTGCTTCTTCCCTTGCTGGTCAGTCTGGAACCAACTACAGCACCCCCGACCCTGGGCCCAGTCAAGACTCTTTTGTGTAGGGACAATCATAGTTAGCAGCCCCAGCCTCATCTATCTATCTATCTATCTATCTATCTATCTATCTATCTATCTATCATCTATCTATCTTTCTTTCTTTCATGTATTTTTTAAAATGTATTTAGTACAGGGCCTACAGTCCCCTACCAGGACTATAGGGTCTCACTACATAGATCAGACTCGTAATGATCCTCCTGTTTACAGCCTCTCAAGCACTGGGATTACAGGCGTGCACCACCACGCCTGGACTTGGTGGCTGGCTCAGCGCATCTGGGGGGTGGGGCTGGCAGGGCATGTGGTGCCAGGGATCAAACCCCAGTCCCTGCCTTGCCTAGGCAGACACTTAGTCCGAGCTATCTCGCCGGCCCCCTAGTCTCATCTTTAAGGAGTGCATTCGATCCTGCAGCAGCCCCTCAGCATCACTGCACTCACTGGGCCACTGTTCTCAGCTGCTTTGCAGTCTCTGGGCTTCTTGGGGCATCTCCTTGCCTTCCCAGAAGGGGAGCCTCTTGTGCCCTCCCCTCATCTGAGGGGAGGAACCCGACTCTGAACACAGGAGCAGCCCCATTTCTTTTTCTAGGAGGCTCCCAGAATGCCATTCTCTGAGTAACTGTTCAGCGCACAGTGAGCGTTACCACGTGAGATGGGCAGGCAGTCACATAGACAGCTACAGAGAGCCCTCTCTGTCTTTCCCTGGGCCTCAGGTACATGTCCCAGAAGCGTGGCCCAGGTTTCAGACAGGAACACTGAGACTCAGTGGAAAGGAGAGGATTGTCCAGTGCCCCAGCATAGCGTGTCTGTGTTGGGGACTGAAAGCTTTGTGCACATCAGTTTTGTCCCCCAAACTGACCTTCTCTGTTTGCCCGGTCCTCAGGTGAGGAATAGAGCCAGGCAAGAGGCCAGTCCAGACCAGGGCAGGGCCCAGCTTTGCATTTGTTACTCTGTCTCTGGCCTAGCACAGGTCCCTGCCCTATCTACGCCTCAGCTGTTTCTCATCTGTAAAACGGGGACATTTGGAAGTTGCAAAGCCAGGTGTCTACAGTGCCATGTAGGAATGGGATTGCGTGCATGGGGTCAGGTGTGAGACAAGGTGACGTGAGCACAGCAGGAACAGAATAAAGCAAGTCCCTTCTGGGAGCACTTACATCCCGCTCCTCCCCCTCATCTTCCTCCTCCTCCTCCTCCTATTTCCTCCCTTGTTCCTCCTCAGTGGGTTAAAACATGTGGTGGAATTTACCCCTGAGTAGTTAGCTTTCAAACACTGCCATTTATCTCTAAAAATCTTTTTCAATATGTTGGTTTTCTTATTCCCAAATTTTCAGGCTATGGCCTTTCTGCTCCGTAAATGCATATTGAGAGTGTTCCCAGCTCTGCGTCCACTTTGATATTTCCTGATCTGACTCATACTAACTTGATCCTGCGTGACTGTCATTTTTACATTTTCTCTTTGGCTTACTTCCCCCATTTCCACTTTGGATACTTGCTTCTTCTTTCTTTGGTTAACCCATCGTCTATAGTCAAGAGACTGGAGTCTAGACTAGACTTGTGAGATAACTGATTGTGAAACAGATAGGTAAGTGGAAATGAAAAGTATCTTTCACAGGAGAAAATGTCCAAAAGCTATAGGAAACTGACCCAAAGTGGATATAACATATATATCCAGTCATGCAAAGGAGGCAGAAAGAACAATAACATAATAAAAGATATTGATAATCAGGACACTTCTAGGAAAGAAAATATGCTGACATGTGAGTCTCTTGCTATAGAAATTTCAAAACAAAGAAAAAAGGTAAATCTGAGAATTAGGGAGCTGTTCTGTTGCTGAGCCAAAAATGAAAGCCAAGACCAGAATACATGTGGAACCCTTCTTAAGCCTTTTATCATGCGTCCCTTGCCAAAGCTGTTATGTAAAATCCTCCATGGAATGAATGAAATTATGTTTACACAGTTCTCTCTATTTAAATACAGAATGATGTTAAATCTAGGCAGCAGGACTTTTACTTCTTAAGCAGTCTTCAGTACTGTCAGATAACTTGTCCATATGGGTTATTTTCTCTTACAGGAGGAACCCTTCCTGAGAACCCCCAAGAATAGTAACTACACGTACCCCACGAAGCCAGTCATTGAGGTAACCCCTGACTCATGTCTGCCTCTTAGATACAAGCTGTGTTCACCTGCCAAGGACTTAGGGTGTGGCACAGGTTTCATAGTGCTCACTTAAGCAGAAATATACTCTTACGTAATGGGAATTGGAATGTACAGAAAAGAGTCCAGTGAGGCCCCAGCCCTATCCCAACCTGTTCTCAAGTTGCCTACCTGATGCCAGTGACCAATCAGAGATAGTGTCTTTGACTTTTATAATCCTGTGCTCACCAATGCCACTTCTGTTGAGGCAGCTGACCCTTTCAAGAAGAGACGGGAGGAGGCAGAGGTGTGCCATGGACTTCCCCGCAGTGGAAGCTGAGTGGGAAGGACTTCAGTGCCAGAGGTGGGGCCAACAGGAAGCTGACACATACCAATCTGCACAGACCGCTGGCCTTCTTGGCTCAAGTCAGTCATCCCACACCGAGCATTCAGAGCCCAGGGCTTCGGGGACTGCCATTCCCAAGATGACCTTGACCACATCTCAACCCTTGCAGGACAGCCCTGGTGTAGACAGTGTCCTCTGGCCACCAGGACAAGGTCTCAGCCACCAGGTTCAGCTTCACATCCGTATTTTTACACCAGTTTTATGGCCCACACCCATGGTTTCACACGCCTTATGCTAGGTACTCGTGGGTTGGAGAGAGCTCACACATTGTCCTTACCTGGAGCTGTTAGAGCCCCATAGAGATGCTACACGGTTTATTGAGGAGCTACTATGTGCCAGGTACTTTTTTGAGGAGTTAGAGAAATAGACCTGACAGATGGGTCCCAGCTCTCTTGAAGTTTATAATCTGCTTTCACTGCTGGAGAGTTAAAAACCCAGGCTTAGAAATAGCTGTCTGCTTAAAGTAGCCACAGACAGAGGACATCATTCTTACCTGGGAACATGTCAGAAATGCAGCACTGTAGACCTACCGAATTTGTCCTGGCCCTACCGAATCAGACTCTGCACTTTTACAAGATCCCAGGGGTCTAGGAAGCCCTGGTTGAGGGTGCAGCGTGAGGTTCTGCCCCTGGGGCAGGTGATCTTGCTCAAGTTCCAGGCTGTGTCTGTCACTCTCCATGAAATGTACCTGTCCCTGGCTCCCCAGTGATTAGAGAGATTTTGAAGGTGTAGATGGCTATATAGTTTTTTAAAGTGTATTTTCTCAGAGTCTTTGCCATTTTCCCACAAGTCCATTCTGAATTTCAGTAAACCTCCAAACAGAAGAAGAAACCCAATGGTATGTTGAATTGAGCAATCCCTTGGAATAAACTAAATTCCACTGGGTTAGGTGAATAATATTTAAAAGATTCATTTTCACTCCCCCACGATAGGGCAGTTTAACAAAGCTTGTCTGCACCATCAGCTGCCTGAACAGGTGAGCTGAGCTTTCAAGGCCTCCCTCGCAGTCGCCCTCCAAGAGAGCCAGCCTATCAGTGGAGGCCTCCTGTGCACCCCGCAATAGATATTTGGGATCTGGGGACCCAAATCCAGGTCTCCATCAACTTTCTGGATTCTAGCCATTTCTGTGCCCTCTGCTTCCCCCCACCACCACCACCTGGGTACCTGGCAAGAGTGCCCTGTATTACAGAGACAGGGAAAGCCGATCAAGGGCACTTGGGGTTTGGGCATTCATTTATAAACTTACAAGGAATTAGTGGCTCTCAAGTTTGTTATGCAGAAATACCCACAGGTATACAGAAAAGATATGTAAAAGAAGGAGCTTTGCAATTGTAAAATTTTCTTAAGAATATTTTAACTAATGATCCCTGAGGCCCTGGCATTATAATTAGTGCAAGTTGGCTTCATGCTAACCACACAAAGGCATGCCTATAATCAATATTTGGCACTCATTCTGTGCTCCTTCAGGAAACCACGTGTAGTAATAATTCACTGCTTTTCCCCATTTGGGGCAGCTGCTGGCTCCATTCAAGAGCGTACATGAGGCAGGATGGGGGGGGGGTTGTGTGATGGTGCAAGTGTGTGTCACATGGATATGCACCTGTTTACGTGGGGGTGGATATGTGGCGTGGGCAGACGCCTATTTCTCTCCTCCAATTTTCCTTTTAGCCCACCTGCAGTTAGCAGCTCTTACCCTTCATGAGCCACTGCAGCAGTGTATTTCTAGTCTTCACCCAAACCCCCTTAGCTGGCTCTTCTTGGGCCAACACGCTCTGCTCAGTGAGTGTTGGCCTTGTGTGTTTTCTCCTGTTGATTTAGAACTGGGGCAGTGATTTCCTGTGTACAGAGTGGAATCCTTCCAGTAGCATCCCTACCTCAGGTGAGTGAAAACAGTTTCCTTCCCTCACCTGAGGGCCTTGCAAAGCAGCAAGGACCCAACTTGGGACTTCCAGCAGGCCTTGCTGATGCCCATGTAGTGTAGAGCCAGATCCTGTGGGCCTCCAAGGAATGGGCCCCTGGCCACCACTGGGTTCCCGTAAGGAGGAACATGGGCCACTTCTCCTAATTACACTTCCCATCTCCTTCTATTCCCACTGGCAGCCTGTCTGACTTCCCTGCCCAGTGAAATGGATACAGTTAGGAGCTGGGGTCCTAGCTTCCTGTGCTGTGTGACCCTGCAGCTGAATCTTTCTCAGACCACCCCAGTATAGGCTGGCTCCTCTCACGGAGGATGAAGTCCACCAAGCCCCTGACCATCAAGGGGCTGGTTGTTCTGAATAAGTGGAAGGGGCAAAGTTGCTAAAGCCTTGAACTGGGAATGAAAGCTATGGGAACTGGGGGGACTAGAGCAAATTTGCAGGCCCTGGTAAAGTTCATATTCTGGAAGATCCCCCAACCCCATCTCTCTTTCCTACCTGTCTTCCCTAGTCCACAAGCTCCAACCAGCAGACATCAAAGTAGTTGCAGCACTGGGGGACTCCCTGACTGTGAGTACTAAGCCATAGGCCTGGGGGGAGGGGATGCTTGGAGCCAGCCAGGCCCCGTGAGAGCCAGCTTTTCTCAGCATTAGCTCTGCACTTTCTTACTGAACTCCACCCACATGAGGGCCCCTGCCCGCTGGGGAAAAGCAATTTCCCAGGCACTTCGTCCATGTGTTGTGGCATTTGTGCACACTGCTTACCTTTATGAGTGCGTTCATCTCCACCCACCCAGATCCAAAGAGTCTCACCCACACATTGCCCAGTGCCCCAGCCCTCGAGGCAGCCGGAGCCCAATTCCTGGCCCATGGAGCATCCCCCTGCTAGCATTAGCACAGCATTAACCCACTATCTAGCTATTGCTGTGTGCCTGACGCTCCATCAGCAGTCCTTAAAAAAAAAAAAAAAGAAAAAAACACAGCACAGCCAGAGCCTTCCAATAACCTGTCTGGCCAGGACAAAAGAAATGTGTTCAGAAAGAGATGTGTGATCACTTGGGTGGCATCACAGGACTTTCAAAATATAGTATTCATTTCTGAGGAAATAAAACCACGCCTACATGTGTGACAGTACTTTCATTTTGGTAGGAAAATGAGAACTATATAAAAGAGAGCACACTAGGCTTATCAGCACGATTTTGCCCTGCTGGGGTGTGGGGGTGGGGATGTGGATTCTGTATCAGGCACAGGATTCATAAGGTGGGAGTAGACTATTCATTTTTAAAAAAATCTTTATGTTGTTTCACTGGTTGTTGAATATGTGTTACTTCTGTAAATTGCAAAGAAGAATTTTAAGACAGAGAAAGCTTTTCATGGAGGCAGTGGGAATCAAAGAGCATCTTGGTGAACGAATTAGGGGTTGAGGGGGCTGGAAAGGAGGAAGTTCAGCATTCTGGGGAGAATGGAGTGGCCAGGGATTGGGACAGAGCAACTTGAGGTCCTCTTGCTTGGGCAATGGAGACAGACCAGGGTGTCTACACCTGAAGGATCTGTGTAGAGACAGAGAAAGACAGAGTAGAGGAGGGGAAGGAAAGCAGATGCCTGGTTATGGTGTCTACCTTGGTGTTGGGATCAGGCCTTGACCCTCGTGCAAGGGAGACACTGAAGGGCGGGAGAGTGCACAGAGAAGCGCTCAGAGGAGCGGGTGGCATTGCTGCCACTGGGAGGGGACAGAGGCGCAAGACCATGAGGTCAGGATGGAGGCCAAGTATTTTTCACACCAGGGAGACAAGTCTCAACCGGGAATATGGGAAAGGGAGCAAAACAAAGGGACAACAGGTCAGGAACAGAGAGCCAATCCAACCTGGTTCCTGAGAGTTGGTAGAGGTCCAGGGAGGAGCTCAAGGGGGCCTGGAGAAGAGCACCTTACATTTTCTGAAAAGGTAAATCCAGATCTGTAACAGCCCTGTGATCCTGACCCGACAGCAGCCTGGAAGCTTCTCTTTGCTTTTCACAGACAGCAGTGGGAGCTAGAGGAAGCAATTCCAGCGACCGGCTCACCTCCTGGAGAGGGCTCTCCTGGAGGTGAGGATGTTCTCAGCTCACTCTCTGCTGGCAATGACTACTCTCCCAAAGGGAAGTGTATTTCCCCTCTCCTGCCCCCAGGAATGAAGTGGGGTCTTCACAACCCAGGTCCAGGTCCCAAGGAGACTCCATGATGCTTGCATAGGCCTGAGGGTGATGGGAATGATGAGCCAGGGGCAGAAACTATTGTGACCACATGCAGAGCAGGCCAGAGTGATTTAACAAAGACCTTTGTTCTTCCTAGCATTGGAGGAGATGGCACCTTGGAGACCCACACCACACTGCCCAGTAAGTAGCCCCACCAAGAAACATTGTCACTATGGCTGTCACAACCCTCTCTGAGGCTAGGACCTTCTGCCTGGGGGTGGGGGGAAGAGCAGGTTATCAGCAGGGAGGAAATTCAACCCTACAAAAAACAGAAACCTCCTGCCCACACCTGTACCTCACATCTGTGCCCCACACCTATACCCCCAAACTACAGCCCACCTGAGTTCCTGGTGCTCTTATCTGTACTCTCTGCCTTGTCCCCTTCCAAAGACATTCTAAAGAAGTTCAACCCTTCCATCATTGGATTCTCCACTGGTACCCTGGAAGAAACAGCGGGATTCAACGTAGCAGTGCCAGGGGCCAGAGCTCGGTAAGTGGCCCAGGGTACGTGAGGGCATGTGGAAGGGAGGCTGAGCAATGCAGGCAGGAGGCAGGAGTAGGCAAGGAGGGCCTGGTCTCTGATGGGCCATCAGAGCTGTGCATGGGACATTTCTGTATGCCATCCTTGTGCCAAATCATCTGTGTGGATGGTCACATAATTCCTAGGCCTTTGGATGTGGACACTATGAGAAGGTCCTTGAAGTTCAGCAGGATTCATAAACAGCCAAGATCACCCAGTGAGCTCTCAGACAAGCCGGGACCTGACTGTGTCTGAATGTAGCTCTGATCTCTATGACGTTCCAGCCTCTCCAAGGCAGCAGGAGGGCCACATCCCTGCCCTGGGCACTGTCCCTGCTGACACCACCTCCTGTGCAGCAGAGGCACCTGTTACATGTGTGTCAGCTCTCAGTACTAGGAATGGTTCCATCTGTGAACCTGTGGCAGTGTGCCTTCCTCTCCTCCCCACCTTGCCTCAGGACTTGAGTCTTTGACTGCGAAAGGCTATACTCTGACAGTAGGGAGTTAGGTGTTAAGACCCTCCAAATAGCAGGTGGTGGTTTGTTTTCACTGAGCTCTCCCATGTCGACAAGATGCACATAATTAAAGCTGAAATGCCTGACTGGGTTCATTGATTTTCTGCACAGAGCGTGCTGGGTATTTGCTTTGTAGGAGTTTCCGCTATGCTCAGATCACCAGGGAAACGACACTGGCTTGACTCACTCTGTTTACAGAGAACGTTCCTTTGTAAAGCCGCAACTCGGCCTTAAGCTCTGGTTCAGTCTCTGAGCTACAGGAAACCATCTCAGTTCCTCAACGTCAACAGGAAGGACTTCTATTTCTACAAACAAATTGGGCTTTGTGGGGCCACTATTCTCACATCTAATTGCTATTATTATTACTATTATTATCATTCAGCCTGGTATTCTTTAAGCAGGGCTTGATTTCTCAGTCTACTGGCATTCAAGCTCCCTCATCCATTCCCTTCTCTCACTTCTTTATCTATTCTGCTGTTGCTCAGTATCTCCACCAGGTCAAGGTCAGAGGTGGAAGAGGTAGCTGAGATCACTGATATCCAGAGTTAGGGAAAACAAGAATAAGCTGGTGACCTCTGTAAGGTTAGGGAATTGCCCTGTGAGAGTCCTTTGTCTCCACTCTTGGTTTTCAGTATGAATAAGGCTGAATTTGTCTAGAGAGAGATGAATACCACAGCAAAGTACCTAAGATCATGAGGTCTGGGGTCACACCATCTTTGTCTAAATCCCAGCTCAGGTCCCTACTAGCTGGGTGGGCAAGCTGCTTAGCCTCTCTGAATCTTAGTTTCTTCATCTATAAACAGGGATGATGGGGCCAGGGAGATGGCTCAATAGAATAAGCGCCTCCCTGGCAAGCGCAAGGGTCTGAGTTCAATGCCCAGTTCTGCCAAAAAATAAACAGGGATGATAACAGTAGCTGCTTCTCAGGGTCTGCATAAGGACTGCATGTGATCCATAGTCCTTGGATAAAATTTAATACAGCATATATGCATGCACAGATCTCTGCCTGTATTAGAATATTTAATTTTAAGGTTAGGTCAATAGCTAATGTCCCTCCATCAACCAATAAGCACGAATTCATTCAACACCTACAAAGGCCTGAAGACCCAGCTGGTTACTAAGAGATACAAAAGAATGTAAATGTATGTGAGCTTGTTTACAAAGAGCTTGTGCTTTGGTTAAGGACACTAAGAAGACAAGAAAAAAACTGGGGTAAAGTTAGTGTTGTATATGACAACACTGAAGACTGAAATAAATTGATACTGAGTCATACAGTACAGTGAAGAGAACAGGCCTGATGGAGTGAGTTACAATCAGCCAGGATTCCTGAAATCATTTAACCTGACCTCTTGTTCTTCAAGGTGGAAAGGGTCCCCCTAGTAAGTGGGGGACTTAGTACTTTACACAGGCTCACTCAGCAGAGCAAGCTTACAGAGAGGAGGAGAAGCCCTGAGCCCCGCAATGAAAAAAAGAAAAAAAAAAAAAAATGGAAGAGATAGTGATAAATGGGCTCAGAGAAAAGGTTTATGGGAAACCAGGACTTGGTCTGAAGGGTGAGAGCTGGCTAGGAAGGAGGAGGAAGTAGCCAGTCTTCATTTCCGCTGCTGTGCTTGAGGGCTTATCAACCGTGAGTTCTCTTAGTCATGTCTTGAACCTGTTAAAAGGTTACAGATACTCCTGTGGTCACTTTTACCCAGGACAGGCTTGCTTTATAACTTCCTGATATGCCCATCAATAGCAGTACCATCCCAGGGTATGATTCCAGAAGTACACATTCTCCTTAATGAGAAACAAAGGCAGGGGCGGGGCTTGCCCAATGCCCAGCTTACACAAAGGCTTTAAATGGCTCTCCTTTGTCAGTTACTTTGTTTATGGCTCCTTCAATGGAAGATTCCATCGACTGTGTTGCCCAGTGCAGACTTAACTTCTCATATCCATATCTTTTTTAAGAAACAGCTTTATTGAGACATATTTGACCACAATAAAGTATACACAATAAAAGCATGCAATCTGATGAGACTTGACATATGTACATAGCTGTGCTACCATCACTGTGGTCAAGATAATAAACATGTCCATCACCCGCATCAGTTTCCTCATAACTTCCCCTTTGTAATCTCTCCCTCCATTCCTGTCTCTACCCCTCCCCAGGCCAGTTACTATAGGTTAGCTTGAATTTTCTGGAATTTTCTGGAAATGGAATCAAAGAATATGTACTGTTGGTGGTGGGTGGAATTTGATTTATTCTGTCCAGCGAAGTTATTTTGAGACACTATGATTCATCCATACTGTTGAGTACAGCAATAGTTCATCCCCTTTTTATTGCTGAGTAGTGTTTCACTGGCATACCTGTAAGTACCCAGTGCGCCAAGCAGCCACGTCTTATTTATGCAGACATCTAGGAGATGAAGGAAGAGCTAATCCTGTTTTGCTGCAGAGCTAAAAAAAGGAATAGGGGATAGGGAATAGTGTAGGAAACTACATCACTACAAAGAGGAGAAACAAAACAAAGGAGCAGAGTGATTAAAGTAAAAGTTTTAAAGAGTCAAATACAAAGAATATTTTTTTAATTTTTTATTTACTGTAATCTAAGTAGATGTTAGTAAATATAAAAAATTCTTCTATTAAAAAAAAAAGCTGGATGTGATGGCACACACCTGTAATCCCAGCACTCAGGAGACTGAAGCAGGAAGATTTGCCATGAATTTGAGGCTAGCCTAAACTACATATCGACACTCTATCTCAAAAAAGATAAAAAACAAATGGAAATTTTTTTTTCTTTTTTTGTGAAACCGGATTGAACTCAGGCCCTTGCACTTGCCAGGGAAGTGCTTATTCCACTGAGCCATCTCCCCAGCCCCAACAAATGGAAAAAATTTTATAACAAAATAGAGAACA